TCATCGAATCGTCTCAGATAACGGACAATATCCTGTGTCCATCCCCGTAAAAATCCTCCATCCTAAATGCACCTGCCATTGGAAAAAAAACCAGGTTCACGTGTTGTTGATGTTGGCAAACCAAGGTCTTGTGGCTGTTCTGGCTCAGTAGGCGGAGTTTGTACACTTCTCAAACTATAATTTGACGGTCTAGACGAAAGTGGCATTTGTTACTCGCTTGCTGATTTTACTGGTTACTCGCTTGGCTTGTGAGAGGTACCGGGATCGTTACCCGGATTCTCCACCAAGTGTTCTGCTTAGGTACTAGGGGAATTCTTGTACAACTAAAATACAAAAAGATGTCCTTTTTCCTCAATTTATTTTCAAACTATTTTTTAAACTATTTCAATCCAGAGTCATACAATCTATATGTCCATATATAGAATAACATAAACAGATATTAAAGATTGAAATTATAATAGAATTATATTACACATACAAATTATCTAAACAAAGTGAAAGTAGAATTCAATAATTTTCATTCAACATGCCATTTTAACTTGATTATATTAAACAAAAGATGATGATTTCATAGTCTATTACATGTTTTCATTCCCATTTATTATCATCTTGCCTTCTAACATATAATAAAGATTAAAACTTAAGTTCTCACCAAATAATAACAATATAAAGTTTCCGGAAATAAATTCTACTGACAGAAAGCGCCATGTTTACTTTTCTATTAAATTATGCCAACTGGTCAAATTAAACGAAACGACTAGTTGAACGAAAAGTTTAAACAATTACGCCAAGTGCTACCAATAACAAATCTTAAGTTATTAACTAAGAAAGAAACATTAAAATATAAAACGGAACATTGTGTTGTGATACAATCCACCTTCAGTAGAACCCATAATTCAGCGCATAATACTGCTTCGTAAAGTCACAATGTTATTTGATTGTTTGAAGCTACACATAAAACAATAAAACCTAAAAAAAACTTTAAATGATACATGGTGTGTTCTGTTTAATATTAAAAGTACTGGTTCAGACATATAATTTTTTGGTCAGTTGTTTAAAAAACTTTATGGATATCTTAATGTTAATTACCAGTACAATGTTTAAAACTTTATTTTCTGTCATGTTGTTCTGTATATGAGCCTGACATGAATAAACGTTTATGTTGTTGTTGTTGTTGTTGTTCTATCTATGTGTTCAGGGTTTTACATAATTTTGTTCATAGAAGAACTGTGAAACAGATACGTTACCATGATTTAATATTCGTTTCCATTGTGTCAATGGATAAGTATGGAACATAGTATTTTTATTGACCTAAAATGCTTTTATAAGTAACTCATGTATTTGGAATAAACAAGTCTGATTAATAAGTAACATTTTCATCAGCTTCAGTTCACAAGCTATTCATAGACGTAGATTTTTTTAAAAATGCATATTGGTGCATAATATTTTGTACTTGTGCTATAATGCTGAAAGAATGATAATAAATTTCTAAATCGTGTATATTCATGCTAATTATTTCTATCTAGTCTCTGAAAGCAATTGGAAAAATGGTAACGTATCTGTTTTTGCACAAATCTCGAATTCTTGGTAACTTAATTTCAGGAAATATTACAAGTTTTTTGGTGAAAAGTTAAAAGAACCAGTATGTGTTCAATGTTATACATGAGTTAAACCAACTAAAAAAGGTGTCTGGGTAACTATTCACAAATGTCAATTATTCACTATTACTTACAGCCTTATTTGAATGCTTAGTGGAGAATCAATGTAAAATGAATTCAGAATATGTTAAGTAGGCCTATATATAGGTTCTAAGTAACACATTTCTTAAGTAATTAAATTAATTAAATTTTATATTTATTCGACAACCCAACCATGAAAGGGAAACTAAGCTTATTATTTATTTCCAGTTTTCAAGCAATTTAATGAAGAATTTAATACTTGAGAGGAAGATTCCGTGCAATTAGTCTTTGTATTATTTAATATACATGTTATATACATAAAGTTAGATAACCCAGGCTACAGCTAGTATACTTGCTAATTAATACATTATGTACAACATAAGTTTACAACTTATATCTACATAGCTTTATATTATTTAGACTAATTAAGTTATTAATAAGTAGATTTGCAAGTGCTTAAAAAAACAAACAGCAATGCCCCACAAAAAGTGAAAAGATAGTATCTATATAGACCACACAGTATTACCGGCGGCAGTGATGGCAGATCACTGCAGTGATGGCAGATAGCTAAAATTTACCGCTCGGTACAGGTAGGTTATAAATTTGGTTGGTATTATAATATTACACAAATACGGCCCATTTCATTGCTATGAAACTATTGTCCATTGACTAGAGATACTATTAGGTAATTTTGGACTCGTTTTTTCCTGTTTTTAGATTACTTTGAGCAGGTTAAAAGTGACAGCTTCGGTAAATCCATAAAAAAGTCTGTTTTTTTTTGTTCAAAATATCTCAAGTTTTAACTAAATGGCAGGATTTCGTGTTATTAATATAGACGTTCATCCATTGGGGTCACGCAAGCCAAATATCTACCCCGTGAGTCTTTTCTTGAAAGTTTTACAGACGTTCAATCTGGTCCAGTCGAAGAAAAAATGCTGCCGTTGTAGGCAGGTACTTATTTTAAATGCTGCCGTCGATGGCAGAAATACCATGAAAGTGGCTAACATTCTGACAGAAAATAAAGGTCAATCTTTTATCAATTCCTCTATTCTTTGCGTCCTTTTAGTCGGAATTGAGACGTTAAACTATCATTTCTAATATTTTCTCAAGAAAGAAAAGTTATTAATGCGGTATGTGCATCGAAAAAGCTTTCTAGCAACTCGCAGATACAATACAAAATGTGATGATTCAGTACGACCAAATTGCACTATAAATAGAGCAATTAAGATGAAGAAATTCAGTTTTCTATATTCATGCATGTGTGCTTGATCTGTTGTGTCTGTCAGTTACATGCATACAATACCATATGTATCTTAAGTTTAGCAGCGCATAATTCACTGCCTTTTCAAGACATAACGCCATTTGCATATTACAACTGTAACTTCAGTAAGTGGATATTCATTTGCTAGCATATGACATTATTTTCTCGAGGTTCATCGCTTTATGACATATAAAGCCTGAAATTTACTAAGTCGTCGCCAATGCTGCATATTATAAGTAACTAAATCGAGGTAATATAGGGAAGATTATTAACATTGCAACTGACAAGATCTGTGGACATCAGTTTATCATAAAACAATATATGTTAATGTAAAATGGAGATTAAGATAATATTATCGACAGTTCAAATATTTTCCTATATTATCAAGTTCTTGAAAAACACAACAACGTGGATTCATTTCTTTAAATTTTCATGTTTGAAATCGCGTTGTAGTTTGCCTTTGAATTACATTTACTATGCTAAAATATTAACAACAGTATAAGGTGCACATACAACGCGATTTCAAACATGAAAATTTAAAGAAATGTATCCACGTTGTCGTGTTTTTCAAGAACTTGATAATATAGGAAAATATTTGAACTGTCAAAATAGTCAAAAACCAGGAAAAACGAGTCCAAAATTACCTAACAGTATCTCCAGTCAATGGACAATAGTTTCATAGCAATGAAATGGGCCGTATTTGTGTAATATAATAATACCAACCAAATTTATAACCTACCTGTACCGAGTGGTAAATTTTAGCTATCTGCCATCACTGCAGTGATCTGCCATCACTGCCGCCGGTAATACGGTGTGTAGACTACGCTCCAGCATTCGATCAAGTATGATAGAATAAATGTCAAGGTCGAATTACAGTAAAATGTAAACAACGAAATACACTTTTCATCATGCTTCGACCCGAAATGACGTCCTATATTTAACATTGAATTGTGTTCTTTTTCTTTAATAATTCAAAGTGTGATTTCAAATATATATCATACAGTGAACTTAAGATATATCAAGGTTTTATCGCTTTATTTTATTATTAACTTTACGTGTATTCGGATAGTCACATTTCAAAAAGGTTATGCTTCGTCAAGGAATACTTAGATGTCAGCGGGCATTTGCTCCGTCGTTACAAGTTTCAAAGACTACTGTGAATAGAAATGGCACGGCTTACGTCAGAACATGTTACGCTGTCCAGACAAGACGGGCATCGGCTGCTGCCCCTACCGCTGACACCCTTAAAAAACCGGGTAAGTTAGTCGATGTAATTGTAGATTTGATATAAGCTATCGACAATATCTCCAAGTGAGATCCTGACACAGAACAAAAAGTATCTCAGAATCTAGCTCTTTGGTATCACGGGGGAGGAAGTGTTACACGAAGGATGGAGTTCTTATGATAACTTGTTCAGGAGTTCTTGTGATAACTGTCACGGAGTTCGCCGGAAAACATCTGTATATACTACAAAAAACACTCGTCAAAAATGGTTATTTTCATCTTTCCAAAATGAGTTTTAGGTGCTAAATTAAACTTTAATGATTAAGCTTGTCTTACATCTTGTATTATGTGTCAAAAACTAATTCACAGGCTAATTTTCATCGCCTCTTGCTTCAAATCTGGTAGTTTTGAGTAAAATTTCCAAATTACTTGCCAATTCACAAGTTTTGACCGTTTTTTTTTTCTGGCCTTCATCCTTTCCATACATAATTACCTATTTATAATGCAAAATTGCAAACATCAAGCGCCGGCTTACAAATTTATACCCGATTTTTCAAATGTCCCGGAGTTCTTGTGATAACTCTGAAGATGTCACAGAGTTCTTATGATAACTTTTGTTATTGCTAGTGTGTTTCTTTGGCTAAATCACGGCACGTTTTGGCGTTTATTATCATTCAATAAGATTGTAAATCATTATGAAATGCAGTACGATCATCCTTTGCACAAAAAATGTGGATAAAACGTTGGTCTCAAGTGTCTACAAAGGATAAATAGGTGATAGGCTATCATCTACAGTAAAATTGAACCAGCAGCCACTGATATTCAGCAGTATAATGGCTTAAACAACAAAACAAAAATTCTCAAAACGTACACGTTGTTCTCAGTTTCACATGTTTTAAGCAACCACCTTTCTTAAGCAGACAATATATAGGCATGCTTCCCTTACCTAAAGGCTAAGTAATTTGTATCATTTTATACCATAATGAATAAGTATATAACCAGGATAATTTCCACACCTATGTCTTTAAAAAAAGTACGATACATGATAAAAACTCAACTGCGGTTGACTCTAACTACTAATCTCTCGAAAAAATTTGAACTGTCCCTCCAGGTTCCAGATTTACCTAGGATGGGATTTATTGTGCATGGGCATTCAAACTATAATTCCCCAGGTGTTGCTTGTAAGTGTCGCAAGTCCTCTAATGTAACTTAAAACCAACAGACAAAACTCTGAAACATATTAATCGCTTGTACTATTATAACTGCTGTATTACATAGAAAACAATGTTTCACTGATTGATGCAGTAACATAGATGCTGTACTGAGAAAAAAATAGACTGTATGCTGGATGAAAATGATAAAGGGCCAGAACCATGCTAGGGGCCGGAAACTGCAAGGAAACCAGTACATAAATCATTTTTCAAGTCTACGAAATCTAAGTCAAAAAAAAAGAATACTATGAAAAAGAAACAGGGGGAAAGAAAAAATATCTCTTGAACTAAAATTCACTTCGAAAACCAACGTTATATATCCTATTTTTTGCGCAAAGGATGAGCGTATTACATGTCATAATGATTTACAATCTCAATGAATAACTAAAAACGCTAAAACGTGCCGTGATTTAGCGCAAAGGAACACACTTGCAATAACAAAAGTTAGGTCATAAGAACTCTGTGACATTTCAGAGTTATCACAAGAACTCCGGGACATTTTTGAAAAATCGGTATAAATCTGTTAGGCCGATGCTTTAAATTATGTTTGCAATTTTTTGCATTTAATTAGGTAATTATGTATGGAAAAGAATGAAGCCCAGAAATAAACAAGTTTCAATACTTGTGAATTGGCAAATAATTTGGAAAATTTTTACTCAAAACTCAGATTTGACGGAAGAGGCGATTCAAAAATGGCCTGTGTAATCAGTTTTTGACAGAATAATACAAGATGTAAGGACAATCTTGAATCATTAAAGTTTAATTCAGCACCTAAAACTCATTTTGGAAAGATGAAAATAACCATTTTTAACGAGTGTTTTTGTAGTATATACAGATGTTTTCCTACGAACTCCGTGACAGTTATCACAAGAACTCCTGAACAAGTTATCATAAGAACTCCATCCTTCGTGTAACACTTCCTCCCCCGTGGGTATACTCAGTCATAGTGCAGCAGGCCTATAACAATTGAACTAATTGTACTTCGCGAAGCGAGATTCTGACCCAGAAAAAAATCCCAGAATATAGCTTCGACACGTCAAGTTATTTTCACTAGAATCAGGCCCGCCTTTAAAGTATGCTTAATAATGTTGAATGTGTAGATAAGTTTGTATTCTTAATAACAATGCGTTTAGTTTATGTCTCTGTGAAACAGAGGATATTGAATGAGTTTAGATTCACTATTTAACGAGTTGAATTAGATCTAGATCTATTTTATTCAACGAGTTTCATAATACATTTTGTATTAGTATAATAACGAAGATGATGTTCTATTTTCAATTTAATATCACACACAATTAGATCTGTCCAAAATGATGTGCTGCACTGTGTTACTCTTAGTTCGCGGTACTTTAACGCTTTGAAACAAGAAAGAAAACAACAAATGAAACTTACAGTACAAGAATTGTCATATATAACATATGGGTATTTTTGCTATATGACACAAGGAAACAACAATATATTCAGTCAATATTCATTATGATAATAATTATAAATAGCCTAATAATAATAATAATAATAATAATAATAATAATAATAATAATTTGATAATGATAATTTATTGGCAGTAACCTTGTTAATGTCATTTTAATAATAAAATAATAAAAAAAATCATTGAAATATAATATTGAAATGCAAGTTGTTGTTTTTTTAATATAAATAATGCTTCTGCTAGGTTTCATTACAATACTTTAGTGCTTTATCATGTTATTAATTATAAGTTATATGAATGGAATGTCTTAATGTTATTTTGAATGGATTTAACTTATAAATAAAGAAATTTGAGGTTTTCAAGTTAATTTACATATTCGTTTGGTTGACTTTCAAAAATGTGAACTCATGTTATAATAAGATAAGTTAACCGGGAAGTTTTCCTGAATGTTTTCCTGCACGTACGCCTATAATGCATGAAACATTATAGATATAACCACATTATAATAGGCCTTAATGTGTTTTTTTTTAATTTTAAGAGAAATTTAGGAAGCGACACTTGTAAGGATATTGAAACTGGCTGTATTCTCTTCACCCGCGTTCTATTACCCATCCATTATACTGACATGAAATTACCGCTGTGAACGTAAATTTCACTTGTCACACAATGAAGTTTATAAACACGATATTTTCAGACAGCAATAATAATATAATGTTTTACTACAATAAATTCAACCATTTTATCACATAAACCACGGCATTCTTTTATAAAACTAATTATTTGTACGCCCTCTTACCTCAATAGGGAGAGCAATAATCCAGGGGTAGCTGGTTCGATCCTCCGACCAGACAAAATTTCTCCATGACAATAGATCTCGGACATTTTATCATTTTCATGGCCATTTGTCTCTCCCCGCTTAATCAGAAATCATGTGGAATAAGTATAACGTTAGTTGGTCACTTGCGGAACAATTGTTTATGACTGGTTAGTTATCCAGGAAAACGGGTTTGGTTGATTTATCGCCGAGATATGACCAAACTACATGTATGTGTTAAACTCGGCAGAAAACCAAGCAAATTATAACTGATTATTTTAACAGAACAAAACATAGTTTATTTTCATAGCTTGTACACACACTCATGATAGGTACATCGTTATAACTAACATGTTAAAATACATTTTTTAGTCACATAATGTGCAATAAAGAAAGAAAAAACAACAACAACAACAAATCAATTTAATACAGAGCAATGAGATAGTTTATACATACATACAATGCAATACACCACTGTGAGCACATTTATCGCATACCCGTGCCGATTTTGCGACTCGGTAAAATGGTACAGTACGCCTATTGCACGGCGGCCGTGCATATATTTTTACGTGACGTCATTTGCGTTATAGAGAAGCGCTAAATGTCAGACTTGTCAATGAAAAATGGTTCTTTTGCACATTTAGCAGTCATTATTTTGGGTATGTGATCAATCTTCGAACGAATATAATTAATAAATAATTATTCGGTCCCAGGAAAAAAAGTATATTTTATTCTTTTAGGTTCATTAGTGACTTTACTGAAATTGTTGAATAAAATAATAGGTTCGCTAGAGTTAGCATAATAAAATTTTATTCAACTCATTCAATAATTAAAGCATCGAACATACACTCATTCAATATCCTCTGTATAATTTCCATTCTTGTTTGCGGTATATAATAATGATAATAATAATAATAATAATGATAATAATAATAATAATAATAGATCTTATAATAATGATAATAATAATAATAATAATAATAATAATAGATCTTATAATTATAATAATTAATAAAATAATAATAAAGACGTTAGTAATTTAACGATGGAACTCATTTGAACAACATATCAATCTTCCATGAGGCCCTCAACACATCATTTCCTTATAGTGACATTTTGAAAATCTTCGTGAATTACTTAAAGCTGTTTTTTTAATGACATCCCTTCAATGTAAGTCTATAACAACAAATCCTATGACTTTTATTGAAAACTTCAGCTCCCTTTGACACTGGTAACATAAAAATGTTGATTTTTTTTGTATTACTTTTGTCATCATACGCTACGTACGTTATACAGTGAAATAAAAAGGATATCTCAGGATAATTCATTAGACCGTGTTACTGATCATAAACTGATTAAAATATGTTAGAAAATTTGTACTCGTAACACCTCAGCGATTACCCATAATCAGTCCCGTTATATTTAAGTATGACGTAAAGTTGCCGTTGAAAAAATTGATCAAATGTTTTTATTTTACGATTATTAAATCAAAAATCAGGGTTAATTATACCAAGTGTGTAGACAACTAATAAGTGTTTTTGTTTTGTTTTTTGTTAATAATGGGCGTAGGAATTAACCGGCGCCGGAATTAACCGTATACGCCCGGGACCTACGACGTCCGACCTTGCTGTTCCGCACCTGTTACCTCATCTGGAACGTCTAAGTCCTGCTGATCCTCATGTGTGTACAATGGTTCAATGAGACGACATCACCATCCTTGGCGTCTTCTCTTCACAAAACGGCTCTTTGTAGGGCCATCGTCCCGAATTATCATTCATCCCAGGTGCTTAACCATGACTTGACCTTGACCTGTCATGTGTCGTCTCGCCTCGATAGGGATTTAAAGAAGCATGTTACGTTTTCTCATACAAGCTTTTCTCATACAATTACTTATAAATAGAATGAATCAAACCGTTTATAGCTGTAAGTTTAATTTTTTAAAAATACCGATTGTGTAAATCATTATAATTATACTTTAAAATGTAGTGGTTTGTTTCTTGTTTCGGTCGTAGACTCGACAACACGTGCGCTTCAGGATACACAAAGTGACTGAGCTCGCCACAAATATTAGACCGATTAAAGTTTTGATAAAGTCATATAAAAAGGTGATGATTGCTTATCAGTTATTTTCGTTTCATATGCCATTTAATATTTTCGTAACTTTGGACTTGACAACGTCCTGGTCAAATAGCAGCGATTTGATTTTTTTATCAAACACATACTTCCGCATTTCAACACGTGCATTTTTATCGATATCTATATACAAAAAAAATCTGCATTAATCTGTTAAGTTATCTTATCAGGTAAATGCAGGTAACAGCAGAAAAATTATTTCGGTTAATCAATCGTAATACATGTTGTGTCGCAATTGTGATAAATTGCCATTGTGATAAATTACCTGTTTGGAATACAATGTACAATTCTATGATATTCCCTATAGTATCAGTGTTACAGTTTTGTTTCATTTATGCATTTCGTGCCTTTTTTTTTTTTTTTTTTTTTTTTTTTTTTTTTTTTTAAACATTGCTACAGGGGCGATGCAATAAATCAAAAAAGGGGAAAGCTGAAATCAACAACTAGGAATGTAAAATAGCCATTCTTCTAATCAAATTTACTATTTCAAATTTCAATTTTTCTCTTTTAGAGATGTTTATTTTGGAAATTAACCATTTTTCTACTACTGTTACAAAACTTTCTTCTGTTCAAATTGAAAACATGACTCCATTTTAGGGTAAAATACAGCATTTTGGCTAGGGGAAACAGCATTTATGCTTTGGTAATACTGTAAAATACGCGAAAAAATCACTGACCTAAGCAAATTAATTTGAAGGAACTGATCAGTTGTCTTTTTCAAATTTTGCAAAAAATCTTGATTATTTAACATTCTAATATATCAGTTAAGCGTTTATCAATCGCACAACGTCCTTAACAACCGTGTGCTTGGTCAATTCACTTATGTAATTAGTCACCGGCTTGAATAAATACGACCGGGACCTGTGTGCGTCGAACATTGACGCTTTTGCTAACGATAGTAATTATTATTTAAACAGTTGAAAATTATATGGCTTGTATAAAGATGTTGGTAGTTATACATTTATGGCAAACTAAAATAGTTTAGTGCTTGTGTAGTAAATAGTGACTCTCGAATCAATCATACAATAGTCAATGTTTCTTAGTGATAAATTATATGTTTATAAAAATCAAGGGATATGGAAAAATGCTTTTGCGCAGTTAGTCACCACTGGTAACAGCGTGGACCAATGATTGCATCAACCACGAAATGTAAATCCTCATTAGTGATGCCAGTGATTTCAATAATGATATATTATTTAATTCATCTTAAAACCCTTTCATAAATATGTTGTTTTTTAAGTAAGAATATTACTAGCATGTTAATTATTATTTACATTATTTGATGTCCAGAAATTGTTATTATGTTACAGATATGTTTTGCTACCAGTGTGAACAGACGAAGTCAAGGCGTGGGTGTGTTACGGTGGGGGTATGTGGTAAATCACCACAGGTCGCCGCCCTGCAAGATTTACTCATGTACGTAATCAAAGGACTAGCCGTACATGCTAACAGGGCGATCAATATGGGTGTATATTCTAATGAAGAGTGTGATGATTTTGTAAAAAAGGCAATGTTTAGGTAAGATATAATACACATGTACTTACAGGAGAAATTGCAATTGCATGTTTTCATACATTGTTTCAGTAGAGAAGATAAATGTACATTGAATATATTTTACACATGAGAGTTACTGAGTTTTTTTTCTCACTTTTTTCACCAGTGAATAAGCTGAAAGCTTACTTTATAAATTTTACAGAGTCATGTGACAGGAACTTTTGAAAAAAAAAATTCGTGACAGGTTTCTCGTGACTATTTTATAGAACAATACTAGTATGTTATAATAATTATACTAATTATATATACTAGTATGTTATTTAATTTTCATTTCAGCACGTTAACGAACGTGAACTTTGACCAGGACAGATTCCCGGAATACATAAGACAGGCTGTAGAATACCGGGAAGAATTTAGAGTTCCCCTTCTTGCCGCTTATGCTAAAAGCGGGAAACCAGTGTGCGAGGCCTTAACACAAGGTCCCGCTGTATGGAAATCAGAAAAGGGATACGAAGATCTAGATTATCTCGCTAGTGAAGGTAAAGTTTTTGTGTTTGCAGTGGAGTTTATGCTATCTGGCGCTGACTGTAATATGCCTACACAGCGTCGCTTGAAAACTGTAATGTTCTATCTCCAAATTTTCCAAAAACAAGTTAAATACACAATTTTGTCCGTAATGGACTGTTCTATCTCCTTGGCATGTTATATTAGTGCTTCAGAGCTTTATAAATAAAGTACAACGAAACCATCCTGTTCTATCTCCACAAATTTAGTATGTCTTGATAAATAGACTGTTCTAACTTACTGGACCAATCATATCGTCGATAAATGTCACGTGACCTGTGGGATATATGCAACATACTGTTCTAAATTCAAAATTATCGTATCAAAACATAGCATCAAATCACGTGATAGCAGGACACCCGCCATGCTGTACGAAACATTTTGAGTTAGATGGTTTGTTGTTTATATTAATACTAAATATAAGTATTGAATGATATTATGTATTCGTTTATTCCTTCCAATCATGGACATTTTAGCATTAAGTCCTGTAAATTTACTGCATGTGATGAAACAACAAGCAAAACTGATCATGATTTAAAAGTAATTTCGGATGAGTATTTTCGGATAGAAACAACTGTGATCATACAATTTCATCAAACAAATTCGTAAAAAAAAAATTTGTTGAATGTTCTAAAGTTTCTTTAACGTAAGAAACATTCTGTCTCAGAAACCAATTATTTATCTTTATAACAGACACATATGAGTTTAAAAAATTGACTGTACTCATTGCCAATATAAAACAGAAGCATAATATGGTTAAGGTTACTGACAAATGTGGAATATTTTGGAAACTATAACAGAACTCCAAATATCAGTCTTTTGAGATTAAGATAAAAGCATTTCTTGGGCAAAAAAGGCCTTTAAGAAAATTCATAGATATTAAACGTTTACATATAATATATGTTTTCGATTGCGTTAATGTTATATAACTATTTAGATTGCTTTAAAGTAAACACATTTTATACCAAAGACAGAAGAATGAAAAATATTCTTATACGTATATTTTGTTTGTCTTGTAATTTGACTTTGAATTTCTAAATGAATATTTATATAGCATTATGTTTGTAATGTTTTTGTACACGAACAATCTTTAAATATGACATTTTTCAAATATACGTCATGCCTGCTCCACCTTTAAGGTCTTTTCTAGCAGATATGTTTTCATTGCCTATTTAAGTTATAGAAACATTTTTTACATACCTTCAATTATAAAAACTTCTTACCAACACAAACAGAACGTGTAAAGAGCATAACAAAATAATTACTACCATTTCATACTTTTGGAAGGAATTTGAATTTGACCATCTTTTGAATTTTCATTAAAAAAATCTTGAAAGGTTTTTCCAGCATTCTAGAAAATTTGAAAGTTTTCTTTCCCCGTTTGCGGCTATAACTTTCTTTCAGACAATGAATCACTTTGAACGTGGCCAAAGTTATAAAAATAGATAAAATGTCTACAGAATTTATGTGGGTATTTTATCTTTATTTATTTAAATTATTTGTTTAAATGTCATTTAATTATGTAATGGATTTAAAGATTTTAATAATATTTCGAATGTCATAGTTCTTGTAGTTGGATACATATGGTCTAAGAAATAGTGTAGTGTCAAAGTCAACTAATCAAGGGATATTTAGCCGAGAGCATTTTTGGCAGCCTTTTAAAGATAAAACATACTGTTTTATATGATATAAATCAATTCACCTTAAAAGACATAATGTTCTAAGTCACATTGAACACTCTGATTTTAACAATTTTTGAAAAAAAGTTACAAGGACTGTTCTATCTCCAAATGTTTTTTTAGGTTTTTAAGCAAGGAAATATTAATATCCATATATCTTTAACGATATTGAGATGTTCTCTCGACATCACGTTTAGTAGTTTTTAAATTTTCAAAATCCGACAATAAATAAAAAAGTAATGCAATACTAAATCTTTACATGCTTTTTTCTCAAAAACAACAAATTGGCACATAGAACAAAACGTTTTTCAAGCGACGACAGGTGTGTTACTTGCATCATGTTGTTATGTCTCCTCTCACCGTAGGGAACGTGTTACAGTATCGCGTTTTTCGGTTACAGTATAGAATTTTCAAGATGGAGGATTATTTATGGGAAGAGAGGTAGGTGATTTTTATTCAGGTCCATACTTCTAGTAGTTTAGTTTCTAAAAGATGTTTTTGTGCTTTGCTTGTAAGGAACAGAATCCGGTATCTAGTCATATATTTCTTCAGACCCTACACCGCAGATTATCGCTATATTGTCTCATAAATAGGCAGATTTGACAGTTTGAAAATTTGAATCGAGAGACCAACGCATTTTCCTGCAATTTCGACATTATTTATGCATGCCTAGAAAAAGTAAATCTGCAAAACGTTAGTCCTTTATGTTAGGAAACGTTTATAAAAGTAAATGACTAGTTGAACCTATTTTCCTGTTCGTTAAATGCGTTTGAAAAAATAAACAATGTTACAGCATAGAGCGAGGTAATTTGTGCAGGGTTACAGCATGGACCTAGCGATTTGTATCCGATTTTGTTACAGTTTATACCCAGATTTCGGTTACAGTTTAGACTTCGATATTTTCTATATATACTAGGTAAAATGTATGAATGTTACATAGACTTTTAAATCTCTGTGAGCTTATTGGCCCGATGGCTATTCGTCCGTCTGACGTACACAAGTGTGTGCAATCCCATCCGCTCAGTAACTACTTGACTAAATTTAAATGTGATGAAATTTACATGACTTTCTACCAATTAAGTTGTTCAAGTGGTTTTGGTTGCAATCGGGGATACGAAAACCCAAAACATAGGTTTTGAAAAAGGCTTACAGACACTTCACCCCCCAGACACTTCACCCTAGGCACTTTTTTGCAGACACTTCACCCCTCAGACAGTTCACCCCCCATTTTAAGAAATTTGATTGAGACACTTCACCCCTCTTTTTTTTAATTTTGTGTTAAACAATTATTTATGTAGATTATGTTAAATACATTCAATAGTGATTGAGTATGTTGATTGTTTTAAGCCATTGTCTAATAAATTTTGAGTTGATTTAATTCTTGAAGTTTTGGTACTTAATTAGTTTGATTTCAGTTTGATTCTTACCATATAATAATCATTGAGTTACGTTCATTTGGTGATGGTTTGTGCTTTAACCTTGTGCTTAATTTACATAACTGGTGTTATTTATTTGTTTAATAAATGCCATTATGAATGATCTTTGTATTAAATGCAGGATAATTGTGTCTGATAATGATGATAAATAATTTATATTTACTATATTTTATAAAGCAACTGATTCATTCATTCATATTCATTTATATTCATTTTATTTAATTTATTTATTAAGAATAAATTTAATTCTCATACAATTATACCATTTTAATTCAATTATCTAATCAATTGTGAGATAACCGTTGAATAAACAACTAATCAACATGTTGAATTAACAAGGTGACATGCAATAAACACTTAATGGATGAAAGTGCTGTGATATATCATTTGGCAATACAACCAATTAACCTGAATCAGCTTTAAACTTAGTAAAAATAAAGATAATATGCAAATTTTTTAATCAAATAATACTAAAATAAAAAAAATATAAACATATATAAGCATTTTGTTGTTGACCAACTTGTTTTATTTACTTTATAGAACAAAATTGGATGAGGGGTGAAGTGTCTTACTGATTTTGGGGGGTGAAGTGTCTTAAGGGGTGAAGTGTCTTCAAAATTTGAGGGGTGAAGTGTCTGGGGGGTGAGGTGTCTTGCTACCTTGAAAAAAGGCAATGTTTAAAGACCCTTCTCATCTCGAACCAAAAGCATTCAAATCAAATCATGATCATGGCGTCATTTCGAATGCTTATTTGTTGAAGTTACGATTATTTTGTCATTATTAAATTAAAAGTCGTTTTTTTTTATTTCAGACATCCTGTATAGCAGTTTTCATGTTTCTGAAAAAGAAAATAATATTGAAAGTTATAGAGTATAAATTAAGGTCAGACAATTACAATATCTTCTCTAGTGAGCCTGATGGAGGTACATAATAGTGGCAGAGTCGGGATAAGGCCGCCGACTTCAAATCATCTTTCATTTACTGTAGTTGAAATCCAATCATGACTTTGGATTCTTTGTATGTGAGAAATCTATCAAGCTAATTGACGGAAAGTCAGTGGTTCTAGTCAGGTGCCCGCTCGTGTCTGAAATGTTTCACAGAGGGTATCTGGGGTCTTTCTTAACACTAAAGCAGGAATGTTTTCACATGACCTTAGTGTCGTTGAATTTTAAAGAAAGCCAAACGTAACAAAATAGAGTTAAACAGAATCCCTAAAGAAATTTCAACACAACAAAATTGAAAATGTTCACAAACCCTTTTAAATACTTACAAAATACATTATTGTACATGGAAATTCCAACATAAAAAATTTAAGGTTGCAGTATTGCGCACTTAAATACTGTTTAATCATTCTTAGGGTATTGCCTGCTTGTCAATTGTGTCTTTTGACAGCTTATCTATGGTATGCAGGCTTCATAACCTCCGATCCCCTCTCAAAATTTCATTTTGTTTAGTTTCACTCATTGTATTCTCGTTTAGGGCACACGCAATTTTTTACCTGGGGGTAATATGCCGCTTTTCATAGAATTGCAATAACGTGTCACATTGAAGGTTCCATGATAACCGCCATATGAACACATCCACAGATGTTAAAAAATCTGAAGTGTACCAGTTCATGTTTAATGTGAATTCTGCTGAAGCCGGTGCTAGGAGGCGTGGACGGTAGCTTGCAGTTACCACTACCGTCCATGAACAGGTTTAATCAAACTGAGCCTGCAACATTTTCATGTTTTCCGTGTTGGACTTCTGTTAAGGATTCTTTTTTCTCTATTTTATTACTAATAGGCATTCTTATAATGTGTAATGAAATCAAGCAATAATCTTTCTTCTCTCAATACAATTCGATAAAAGTTACTGTTGTTGTCGTGAAAACAGTCCTTACTTAGGACATTACTTATTCTGCAAAAAGTCTCAATCTGAAACTTAAAGTAAGAAAAATAGGAAACTATAACTTTTCTGCTGAAGAAAAAAAGTAAAACAACCTTTCAAGAATGTATTAAATAGAAAGGTATGAGTTATTTCATAAAAATAATGGATACACGAACTTTGTTTGAAATTTGGCAAGTATCTAAACTGTAACAGAAATCTGGGTATAAACTGTAACAAAATTGGATCAAAGTCGCTAGGTCTATGCTGTAACCTTTCAAAATTAACCTCGCTCTATACTGTAACATTGTTTATTTTTTCAAACGCATTTTACCAACAGGAAAATAGGTTCAACTGGTTATTTTCTTTTATAAACGTTTCTAAACATAAAGGACTAACGTTTTGTAGATTTACTTTATCTAGGCATGCTTAAATAATGTCGGAATGGGAGAAAAATGCGATGGTCTCTCGATTCAAATTTTTAGACCGTCAAATCTGCCTATTTATGAGACAATTTAGAGATAAATCTGCGGTGCAGGGTCTGAAGAAATATATGACTAGATACCGGATTCTGTTCCTTACAAGCAAAGCACAAACACATTATTTAGAAACTAAACTACTAGTAGTATGGACCTGAATAAAAATCACCTACCTCTCTTCCCATAAATAATCCTCCATCTTGAAAATTCTATACTGTAACCGAAAAACGCGATACTGTAACACGTTCCCTACGGTGCCTCTATATATTGCTTTGCACAGCGCCCGACGGTCCGTTGGTCCGCGACTTGATGAGATGAAATCTATTGATTCTGGAGTCATTTTCTCAGTAGTCAAGGTCGGCACATGTCATCATGATAATTGGACAAGTTAACGTGCTATTTGAACAAGTCAGCATGATCGTTTGACAAGACATGATGTAAATTGCACATGTTAACATGCTCAAACGACAAAATAATATCATCGTTTTACAAGATAGCAAAAACATTGATCACATAAGACAGTCACTGTGTTCCATAGATATGCATTTCTGTTATTAAAATTGCTTTATCTTAGATTACTGGTAACAGTGTATAATTGTAGAAACCATGCAAGCAGGCCGGCCAAATTTCTAACTGACCTTGATTAAATCAGAATCATTTTCTATCTACAGCTTTTTCTGATAAGTTGTACAGGCATTTATTGTGATTGATACTTCTATGTAAATGGAGATGGTATCGTGTAAATGTATATAGTACCTACATGTATACATGTGGTTCCTTGTCGGATTTTGAGGCAGTTTTCGATTTTGTAAATGAAATAACCCAATATTTAGCCAGCTAAAATGTATGTACAGCTAGAGAGTCTATATGTTGATAGTTTTGTTTAAATGTTAACTATAATGTAACTAGAATAATTATTAATATAAACTTTGTCCAGAATCAGGACTGTTGCAAGAATTAGTCATGCTCAATCTATTAATACTCATTTGAACTTAAGATGATATTGAAATGTCCTTCCATTGCTCTATGAAACGATATAATAAATTAAACTGTTATTAGTATTAATTCGTTTTTATTATTAAACCAATTAAAAAACCTTGTTTTTGCGGTAAAGCAAAAAATAAACTGTAAAGTGTTTAAATGAATTTTTGTGTTATTTGTCATGAAAAATTCAATTCATTATTTATTGGTTCGCTATTTCAAACGGTCAGGACTGTGTTTATTTACTTCAGGGCATAAAGGACTGTGTTTATTTATTTCAGGGCTTAAAGGACTTTGTTTACAGGGCCAAAAAACCCTTCTTTAAAGACGCCGAATATCGGCTACTTCCCCAACCAAACTAGCCTCTTTTTTCCCCCAATTTGGTCCTAAAATTTCCCCAATCGCTTGAAAATCCCCTGCAGAATTAAGAACTGAATTAACAGAAAAAAAAGGAAAATATTCAAGATTTCTTCGATCTTCCGAACAGCGTTGAAAACATGAAATCCCTGTATGTAAAAATAAACCGTGACCTATTAATATCCGCTTAGAGGGAGGTGCACATTGATCGTATAGAATTTCATTGACTCGCTAGGCATGACGCAATATACTGTATTATACCCTAGAGGGGTATGCATAATAGTTGTTAACATTTCATTGTCTCGCGAAACATGACGCTGTACTTTTTCAAAAGCTAAAAATAGATGACCTTAACTCTAGTAAAAAACCGAAAATCTATCTTTAGATGTAAAAAGATATTTACGGTTATTTTACCGCTACAAAGGTAAGTTAATGTACGAAGTTTAACTAATAATTTCGAGTACTTAAATCGTTTTCATTAGTAGAACTGTAACTAAATTTTTTGCTTTACGGCAAAGTTCAAAATGTCGCATAACTGGACACATAATAAAAATTTACACTTGTAAAAAAATTAAATTGTCCGACTCCAAAAATACCAAAAATATCACTGCTTTTTTTCAAAAGAAAAACGTAAGTGAATCAAGTAAAGTATCAGATACACCTTCAGATACCAATAGATCTAAAGTCATTGAGAAAGAGAAGTGTACTTCTTCAACCACTGTTGATCACAGACACTTGGGGTTTGGAGCTCAAAACGCCTTTTGTTGTAATGTTCGTTTATTATGAACAATAATTAATAGAAATTAAACCAAGTGCGTTGATACAATGAAGTAAAGTAAAACACGACGAGTGTTCAGCACAAGATATAAATTTATTCTGTAAACCCTTAACATGTGATCTTAGATTTACTAGAAATACGGAGCATGCGCAAACAAGCATTATACATAGGTCAGCTCAAGTTCATCATGTACGATGATACTACATCTCCCTGTTTTTAAAAGAAAAAATAAGCAACACATGTTAATAAAATTGTATATGATAATAAACAATTATGATGATTAAAAATGCATATACATACTGAAGAGAACAATTTTTATGTGCATCTGTTTATAGAGAAGCACTGACCCTGTGGACTGTGTATGGGGAAATTCATAAGCAAAATCATGATTGATTGAAAACGGGCAAATTTATTTTGCCGAAAACAACATAATTACATACATATAAAATAATTTTCCCATATCTGGGTGAACAAATACCGCACAAATACCGCCTAACAATAATATACATAAACAACAACAACAATAACATACTTATCTAAGTTAATGAAGGAACAGTAATCTGTCAAAAATTATTTTAAGACTCTAGTTAATAAAGGAACAGCATAACTGTCAAAAATTATTTTAAAATTAATACAAAACATCGTTTCAAAATTAATATTGACTATTGGTAACCCTTGAGAAAAACATAGCGGAGGAGGAAAACGGGAGGTGGTGGTAAAATTATAGCAGAGCAGATGTAGCGTGCTTTTCCCTTCTAAAATTTTTTCCAGAAAGGCCGATGCCGTTGATTGATTGGTTGTTAGAGAGCACGTGACGTTAAGGGTGCTCTCAGATTGGCCAATGCCAAATATACATTGAGAGTCAGTTTGATTTACTAGTTTAACCTACATTAAGAGTCGGTTTGATTTACTGATTGTTCAACAATGACATAAAATATTTTATCTATCTATAAAATACATTTATGTGCATCTGTTTATAGAGAAGCATTTACCCTGTGGATTTGTGTAGGGGGAAATTTCTTTAACCCAAAACCCATGATTGTTTTGGAAAAGGGGGCAAATTTTTTTTTCCCCGAAAAAAACCTAATTACAAAATATAAAAAAATTTTTCCCCATATCGGGTGAAAAAATTTACCCCCAAATTAAGGGCCCAAAGGAAAATATTTGGGACGGGGATGCCCCCAGATACCCAGGAAAATCCCAAAAATTTTTTAAAAATTTCACCTTTCCCCAATTAAATAAGGGGAACTTTTTGAAAATTACTTGGGGAAATAAATTTAAGTATCAGAAGAACCTCTTTAATATGACCCGAGGTATTGCTAATGAACAAAATGAAAATTCTAACAGGAGATACTCTTTGCTGTCCCAGACCGTCGAGCAAGTATTAAGCAAAGGATGAACTGGAGATAAGGCTAATGAACATATTAAAATTCAAAGACAATACACTAAGCTCGCTGCCTCAGACAGTCGAGTGAAATTAAGTTTATATGAACATAATAAAATTTCAAAATGTGACAAATGGCTCACTGCCTCAGACAGTCGAGTGAAATAAGGTACTATATCAAGAACATACTAAAATTACCAAACAGAAGACAATTTGCTCACTGCCTCAGACAGTTGAGTGAAAATAAGTATCATAATATGAACATAATAAAATTTCAAACATGTGACAAATAGCTCGCTGCCTCAGACAGTCGAGTGAAATAAGGTACTATATCATGAACATAATCAAATTACCAAACATGAGACATTTTGTTCGCTGCCTCGGACAGTCAAGTAAAAATAAGTATCAAAAGATGTACATTATTCAAATTTCAAACATGTGACAAATAGCTCACTGCCTCAGACAGTCGAGTGAAATAAGGCACTATATCATGAACATAATAAAATTACAAAACCTGAGACAATTTGCTCGCTGCCTCAGACAGTCGAGTGGAAGTAAGTATTATAATATGAACACATGTGACAAATAGCTCACTGCCTCAGACAGTCGAGTGAAATCAGGCAAAATAAAATAACCAAACATGAGACAATTTGTAATATGTACATCATAAAATTTCAAATATGTGACAAATAGCTCGCTGTTTCAGACGTCAAGTTAAATAAGGCATTATATCATAAATTACCGAACATGAGACCGTTTGCTCGCTGCCTCAGACAGTCGAGTGAAACTAAGCTTTATATCCGCATAAGAAAAATTAAGACGTGACAATTTGCTCGCTGCCTCTGTCAGTCGAGTTAAATAAAGTCGTAAAGTGACATCCTAATATCTATACGAGAGAAGTGTTTAGATATCTATTTGCCTTAATAATAAAATATAATCATGCGACAATTTTATTCAAGCATGTGCTCCAAGTCTTCACTGCCTCAGACAGTTGAGGGAATTGCAGTTTATCATAAAGATCATACATGGAGCTCCACTCCTTAATAAAATTATGTATAGTAAGATGTATAAATATATATAATGCTCTAGTAATGACACATGAAATTGTAACACTTATGGAGTATGTAGATGCCTATACCGTCATTGAGTATGAAAATATCACCGCGTAAAACCCGGTTGTACTACAATAACAATCTAAAATGTATATTGTACAATAAACTTTGCTGCCTCAGACAGTCAAACAATATTATCAAGTGTACAATAAGGATAGAGTGGACTATGCATAGGCCCTAGCCATACTTTTAATTTGACAATTAGTATTGAACTTGTCTGTACCCAAAGTGAAATCCTTGAATTTGTTACAAAGGACCTTATTTGATTGGTCCCTTAGAAAGGCTGGGCCGCAGATATTTGGTATATGCTTGTGAAGACCAACGGCCTAACTGTTGGATTTGTGTATTAGAGAAATTCAGGTCATGTGCTAAGGTTGCCCCTCCGATTCGAAAAGAGTGAGATGTATATTTGGTAGGATCTAGTCCGCTTTCTACTAGACAGCGTTTTAGCATACGCCTAAAGAAAGATGCTGTAACCGGGTGACCACTACTAAAGCGGAATAACGGGCCATTACACGAGGAGATCTGACTGACATAATTAGCTAATGTGCGTACAGGACAAAGTTGTCTGTGTTTTGACCTACTCAGCACAATTTTTGCTGTCTGGCCTTTTGAATGCTTAAAATGAGTGAGATGGATGGAGGCACTATTGAGCCGAGACTTATCATATGAAAATGATACATTCTCAAGTTTAACAATATTGGCCTTTCCCGTTTTGGTGACTGAAATTTCTCCAAGACGAAGCAAGGCATAGAAAGCCACCAGGTACATCGTTTTCAGTAGGAGCTTGGTAAATGGATTTGCAGTAATTTTGCTCAAAGATTGGATTAATGACCTAAGCAAAGGAATAGTGAAACCGTGACGTTTGTCCGAGACCTTAGTTTTCCTAATACTGTATAACAGTTTCTTAATAATGAATGCCTTAGAAGGATTTCTTAACCTGTGAAGACGATGAATATAGGACAAAGCTGATATCCAAGTTGATATAGTCGCCGGTTTAAGGCCCCTATCGTGGCATACTGCAATGAACTGTGCCATTTTATAAGTTGGAATAGGAAGAAGGGAGCCTTTGAACTTAGTGTAGTAAGTATTATGAAAACGGGTATACTGTTTGAAAGCATTTCGGTAACTGTTTCTTGTGGACGGTGCCAGGGATTTTAATAGTATGTGTAAGACCGAAGAGTTCAGTGAAGAAGCAGCAACTGTTCTGGTATTTTGGTAGGTTGGTCGTCCATTTGTGGTGCCAAAAGGCGGAACTGTTTGACCTGTAAACGTGAAAGGAGATCTGGTAAAACATTATCCTTTCCTGGTATATGTTTAGCCTGTATCAAAATATTATGTTGCATGCATGTTAAAACTAAGCGCCGAACTAACTTCATAACAACAGAATCTTTGCAAGATTGTTTGTTGATAATATGAACTACAGCATAATTATCTGAGTGTAAGATAATACATTTGTTTTTTAAAATTGTACCCCAGATTTCCAATGCTAAAACTATAGGAAAAAGTTCTTTAAATGTGATGTGGAATGATGTCATATGGTTTGGCCATTCCCCATAAAACCAACTATTGTTAAAAATAGCTCCATATCCAAGTGACCCAGCAGCATCAGTGTGTAAATGTAATGAGGGACTTGATAACCACCGTTGTTTAAGAAGGACATTTTTGCCATTAAAATGTTGGGTAAACAAAAACCAAGCTTTGAGATCCCGCCGACTATCGGCTGACAAAGTTATCCTATGTGTAGGTTTTGAAACTTTTACTGTTAAATTGATTAAACGCCGTAAGAAACAACGGCCTGGTATGACTACTGAACAGCAAAAATTCAGAAGACCAATTAAAGATTGTAAATCCTTAAGTGTTATTTTTCTACGACCTGTATGATATAATAATAGAGACCTTAACTTAGATAGCTTATCTTGGGGAAGACGAGCCTCCATAGTTATGGAGTCAAGTTCTAAGCCCATGAATACGATGACTCGACGGGCTGACTCGGTTTTCTCTTGTTTTATTGGGACACCCATGACTTTACAGAGGTTAAGAAATTGATCTAGATGACCTTGACAAGCCTTAAAATCATGACCAAAGAAAAGAAAATCGTCCAATATGTGGACAATGTGAGGAATTTTTAACTTGTTGGTAGCAATCCATTGAAGAGAAGTGCTAAAAGCTTCGAAAATGGAACATGAACTAGATGACCCCATCGGGAGGCATGTATCATAGTAATATTTACCTTGAAAGCTAAACCCTAAAAGCTCATGATCCGAGGGATGGATAGGTATTAACCTGAAAGCATTGTGAATATCAGTCTTTGCAAAGAAACAACCAGGGCCATATTTTAACAGAGTTGCTACCGCATCATCAAAAGAGGCATATTTAACAGTAGCTAGGTTTGGGTCTATGTGGTCGTTTATTGATGAACCTTTTGGATGGCTTAAATGGTGAATCAGACGAAAGTCACCAACAGTTTTTTTTGGAACTAAGCCAATTGGGCTGATATGGAAATTAGGAAAAGGCCTTTCATGAAAAGGACCTTGAATGCGGTTTGCGTCGATTTCTGCTTGAAGCTTTTGTAAAACCACATCGGGAAGTTCTGAACACGACTTTAGATTGGAGCATGATGTAGATTGACGAGGACCAATGTGACCTAGCTTAAAACCTATTGTGAAACCATTAATTAAGTATTTCCGGTTTTGGTAACCTTGCAAGTATGTAGACAAAATAGAAACCTTAACTGGTGTAGTAACCTGGCCAACCTTATTTTTTGGGAATACGGTTGACTGTGGGAGTGTTTTGAGATTTTGTGGCCTGACTAAAGGAGGGACTGGAGGTAATGGCCTGGTCTTTATTAGTAAATGAGCATTGGCCGGCGTAGTGGGCCCCCCTACAGAATCCACAGACATGAGGCCTGGAGCATCGGGGTTCCCGACATAAACCTCGTCTGTTGAAGGTCCAGCAGGTATTTTCAAGGAATTTAGAGGGTTTCCTGTAACTATAACCGGATTTGAATTGCCTACTGGACCCTGTACGAAAGGGCCGATTACTCTGAAATGACCCATTATGATGGGGTGCCAGTTGAGAGGTTGCCATGACCCAGAATTCTGTGTGAATCCTGTCCCATGGCATTAGCTCCCTTTCGCGAAACATGCGAAATTGGTTGTCATAGAATGACCATCCCAAACCTTGACGCCGACGGGCCAAATCTCTCACTATTTCCCCATATTTCATTAATTGAGGCATTTCATGGGGAAAAGTTGCAGCATAAATGGCTGAAAACCTTAAAAAGGCTGTTGTCCATGTTTCAATGGACTGGATTTTTCTGGAAGATGAATTAGGTACCAAACTTAAATGGTTATTAGCATTTAATGTTAAAGAATAATTTTCAGCTTGGGGCAAGGCCATGTTTGGCAAAAGGCGAGAGAAGTCCACAAACTTGTTAGTTTGGATTTTTTTAATGACCGACTTTGGTATGGAATGCGAAATGGGGGTGGAGACTGGTTCGACAAATTGTGTCATTTCTAGAGCATTACCTGTAATGTAATTTGAATGGGACGATATTATGTCCCTGAAATTTATAAAGCCTTCGTCATTATCACTCTCTTCCTCGTCTGAGGATGTTGACTTTTCTGAGGTTGAGGTTTCTTCATCCTCCGATACCTGCAGGACTTGAATGTCATTTTCCTCCTGATTGAAATTAGAAGATGGCGACTGATGAGGGACTGTACCCCTTTTCCTCTTCTGGTGTGATCTGCTTACAGCCTGTTTGTTTTTATGAGTTATATCACCTCCCCCTGCTAGTTGGGCAGCTTGCTGTGTTGAGCTTTGACTGGATTTTTTACCCCTGAGTGACTTTTGATCATTTTTGGTCTTTTTCCTGCGAGTTTGCCCATTGTTTTCCAAATGAGCCGTCGTCGGACTCTGTACATCATCTTTATTACTATTAGAACAGCATGGCATATTACAATGGCTCACTGTGGCCGAACGTTTATTGCGTTTCATCTGAAAGAAAAAAGCCAGAGTAAACCAACACTATTTTTCTGGTTATATCCTGTACAAATATTATTTTTCATCAGACAAACAAAATAATAAATAAATTCAAATAATCTGGAACATCAGACATAGTCTGGAAACAGTATAATACTGCGTCATCAGAAAAAATTCTGGAAACAATAGATAAATATAAATACATCAGAACATAGTCTGGAACATCAGAACATAGTCTGGAGAATCATTACTAAATGTTGTAGCCCCAGAATAAAATCTGGAACATAAAAACATAGTCTGGAACATCAGAACGTAGTCTGGAACATCAGAACGTAGTCTGGAACATCAGAACATAGTCTGGAACATCAGAACATAGTCTGGAACATCAGAACATAGTCTGGCAATTGATATATAAGCATGGTAACATCAGAACATAGTCTGGAACTTCACAGTCTAGACTGGAAAATCGAACATGTTATTTCCGGAAATTAATTGACTGCCCTTCCTTGTCGAGACGTGGTATTTGTTTAATAATTTACTAATTGAGACCTTACAGACTGGTTAAGAAGTGCTTCAGATGAAAACCTTCAGAAAGTTGTACTCTAATTTAAAAGGCCGTGAGTAAATATAATATAATGGCTAAAAGTATATTTGGCTAAAAGCCAAAAAAAAAAAAAAAAATTAAATTGAGCTTGAAAAGCAAATGCTGAAACACCAACCCAAAACTGACCTTTAGGTAAAAGGCCTATTTTTGTATTATACACATTATAATATATATCTAATATGTTAACAAGCTTGACCTTGAATTGAGTACTAAATATTGATGCGGTTAAATTTGTTAAGTGTTCAAAACTTGTACATATTAGAACATTTTTCCCGGATATGAACATATCCAGATATACACAAGTTTATACAATAATACTGTATGTAAATGGAAAATGACTACCCAAAGCTGTATACCGCTTGTTCTGTAACAATATGAATTATATCAAACAGTTATATACCAATCTGTATATCTATTAATTAGTTATAAAAGCATAGATCACACAGGTATCGCCTTATTAAAGGTGACTGTATGCATATAAACAAATTTGTAAAATCTTGTAAACTTTAAACTTGTCATTCAGCTTGTGAAAATAGATGGAAAAATGAGTTCATCCAAGTGACTTGGACGACCCCTACAAGCATAAACTTCTAGAACAGAAAAATGAAATGGAATACATATCTTTCATATCTCTAGACCATTATTTAAAGTGGCAACCACTGCAGCACGGATGTTAGAGTACAGCTTCTTTTGACCCATGACGGACAAATGTACCCCATCTAATGCAAAGACCTGAGACTGCGCTTCTGGAGACCAAAATCCCTTTAAACGCCAGAAAGTGGCACGGCCATGGGGCAATGCTTGAATGTTCGTTGACAAGATGTAATTTGTCTCATCTACACGATTATTAAACCATGTTGTATCAACGTGATGATGTGTTGACTGCGAAGGCCGTCTGTGTAATATTTGGCAGCAGATCACCCTTTTCACGTTTCCCAAGAAAAGTAAACTATCAATTAAGTCTAATATTGCTGCGGAAACACTGACATGGTCAACATCCGGTTGACATAAATCATTTGTCCCAATCAAAAGTACAACAATATCTGGAGCGAAATCCGTAATGTCTGTAAAATTCCTCCGGAGTGTTTCCACCTTAGCTCCTGAATAACCCGAATATTGTACCAACGGGAGCGAAGTTAAGTTTAAGTTAAAATGAAGATGTGGTTCATTCCGTAGAAAAGATTTCAGACGGGAAACAAAGGAATGACCAAATATCTGGATCGATGCCGCCATATTGAATCAGGCACTGTTATATCACAAAGGCACTGTTATCACACAAAGCCTCAAAGGATGACGTCACTCGTTGTGCACAATGAAAATACAAACTCATCCAATTTCCTAAATTAAGAACATCCGTGTTGCAGCGATTTTATATGCAAAAGTTAAAGAAGGATGAATGTAACGTTTTACCGTTAACTTCCAGACGGAACAATGTGTGAAAACTTGTAAATTTAAAATTATAGCAGAGCAGATGTAGCGTGCTTTTCCCTTCTAAAATTTTTTCCAGAAAGGCCGATGCCGTTGATTGATTGGTTGTTAGAGAGCACGTGACGCTAAGGGTGCTCTCAGATTTGCCAATGCCAAATATACATTGAGAGTCAGTTTGATTTACTAGTTTAACCTACATTAAGAGTCGGTTTGATTTACTGATTGTTCAACAATGACATAAAATATTTTATCTATCTATAAAATACATAAATAGTCTTAAAGTCACAAAGTTTTTTTTTTTATTATTATTATTACTATTATTTTATTTCTGTTCTCTCTCTTTTTTTTTTTTCTTTTTTTTTTATAATGTCAATCAATTCCGGATGATTAATTAACAGTGCTCCATTCATCGGTATTGTAACGTTTATTAGGTTTTACTACTCGACCACTGCGCGTCTGATAACCTGTGCCTGACCTTGTTTCATGGCTAATTGGATTTTGAATATTCTGGGAAATACCTGTATCATTTAAAGGTGCTTTGTTTGAGATTATGTCATGCGGATCTTGACCTTGGTGGAGGATATTAGGGAAGGACTCTGTATTGATAGGGAACTTTTCCCGCGTTTTGTTTATGAAGCGGCGATTACGGCGGTAAATAGCGCCATCTTCAGTTTGCACTTTGTATGATCTCTCCCCTTCTTTTTTTAGAACTATGGCTGGTTTCCAAGTTTTCCCAAATTGCACCCTGCAAGAGTCATCTTTGTTTAGCGGGGGAAGTGACCTCGAACTTTTATCGTAATAGTTCTTTTGCGTAACCTTGTTTTCTTGCAGAGATTTTCTTACAGATTTGTGGTTAATAAAAGATGGTTTCAATTGCTCATTAGTTGAAGGCAAAATGGATTTTAACCGTCTGCCCATTAACAGTTGTGCAGGAGAATATCCGCAGTTTAAAGGTGTGTTACGATATTCCAGAAATGCTAAATATGGGTCTGTTTTGGTCTCGTGGCATTTTTTCATTGATTTTTTGGCTATTGAGACCATTTTTTCTATGAAACCATTGGATTGGCTATATCCAGGTGAAGATGTTACATGTTTAAAATTCCAGTCAGAAGCAAATTTTTGAAATTCTTCTGAGCTAAACTGTGGCCCATTATCGCTTTTCAATGTTTCTACTTGACCATAGCGAGCCATATGCATTGTTAATTTTCTAATAACAGTTTTACTTTTTGTTTCTGGCAATGCATCGACTTCAAAGTAATTACTGTAGACGTCCGCAGTTATAAGGTAATCACGTCCGTCAAGCGTGAATAAGTCGGCGGCAATATGTTGCCAGGGTCTTTGGGGCACAATGTGGGGATTTAATGGTTCCTTCACATTTGATGCTCTGTGTGTTAGGCATAAAGGGCATGCTAACACGTGGTCTGTGACCTGTTTGACCATGCCTGGCCAGAACATAATATCCTTGGCCCTGTTCAGCGTTTTAGTCACTCCCATATGACCTACATGAACAGCGTTAATCATTTCAGTTCGCAATGAACTTGGAATGACCAATGTTTGACCACGGAAAATTATGTCATTTACAGTCGAGAGTTCATCCCGATGATTCCAAAATTCTAATATGGAATTCGGGCACTCGTGCCTAGATTCAGGCCAGCCGTCAATAATTGTTTGTTTCAGTGTCTGAAACTGACTGTCTTGCTGTGTGGAAAGTCTGAGGTCTTGTAATTTTCCGTCGCTAACCGGTAAACTATTAATAACCGTGTGCACGTGCACGTCAAGTCCGTCAGACAATTCTGGATACGTGTCCTTGACAAAATGACGGGATAATGTATCCGCTACGGGAATGCTTTTCCCGCTAACATGTACGACCTCTATGTCGAACTGTTGAATCTGTAATAAGAGACGTTGTAGTCTGGGGGTCGCCCGACATATTTCTTTTTTCATAACTGAAACTACAGGTTTGCAATCAGATTCAACTTTAGTATGTCTTGCGTAACAGTATTGCTTGAAACGTCGAAGACCATGAAGTATAGCTAATGTCTCTTTTTCTATTTGAGCATAACCTCTCTCTGTAGGGGTCAATGTCTTTGATGCAAATGCAATGGGCTTGCCGTCCTGTAAGCACGTGCAACCTAAACCACGTGCACTCGAGTCGACTTGCAATGTGACAGGCTTTTTCGGGTCATAGTATGCCAAGACTGGTGCCTTAGTCATTGCGACTTTAACCTTTTCAAAGGCGTCAATTTGCGCACTGTCCCATATAAACTCAATGTCTTTTTTCAACAAGTCACGCATAGGGCTTACCATTTCTGCCAATTTTGAATCAAATTTTGACAGATACGTGATCATGCCAAGAATAGTTTCCAACTCTGACTTATTTTCTGGGGCTTTCATTTCTACAATTGCCCTGATTTTTTCGGGATCGGGCTTAAGACCGTCAGCTGTCAGTACGTGACCAAAGTATTTAACTTCCTGAGAGCCGATAACACATTTGTCTGGGTTAAACCTAATACCCTTTTCACGTGCTCGGTCCAAAACACGTGTCAGGTTTGCATCGTGCTCTTCGATAGTCTGTCCGTACACAAGAAGATCGTCAACTATTGACGTCACGCCCGTCACGTCCTCGAAAAATTCGTCGATTTTTTGACAAAATATGTCTTGGGAACTTTTGATACCCATAGGAAGACGCAAATATCGGTATCTACCGAAGGGACTATTAAATGTCGTCAAATATGAGGATTCGTCCGTCAATTTTATCGACCAATAACCTTTCGTTGCGTCTAATACACTGAAGTACTTAGCACCTGTCAATTGGTTTGTCACGTCTTCTATAGTCCTCATAGGGTAGTGCGGTCTCATGATATTGTCATTTTAGTGCTTTAGGATCTAAGCACACCCTCAGCTTTCCAGTGCTGGTTTTTTCCACACAGACTAATGAATTGACCCAGTCAGTCGGTCTAGTAACCTTTTGGATAATTCCTTTATCCTCCATAGACTTCAACTCATTTTTTAAACGGTCCTGTAAAGCTACAGGTACACGCCTGGGTGGACAAATTACAGGTATAGCTTTTGGTTTTAAATGTAAACTGCATGTACCTGGGAATAAACCAATGCCTTGAAATACGTCATTGTAATCAGTCAAGATTTTTTGTTTATCTAACGTGACTGGTTGTTTTTCTATAGCATAGGTCAGTTTTATCAATCTCAGATCTATTGAAGTCTGTAAGCTTAATAATGCTGGAGATTTACTGCCTACTACGTGAAAACATGCAACGATTTCCTTATCCTTGAACTTACAGGGTAAGTTGACCTTTCCATAAACTGGGATAGGGGTCTTTTGTGTAGGAAGATAACCTATCATCAGAGGGTAGCAAGGGGCCTTTGAAATCTAGTTTTCTTGAGCATTTCCTGAGGTATTAAGTTACATTGAGAACCTGTATCTATTTTGAAATTTACAGGGGCGGACTTTCGGCCAATTTTGAGTTTAACCATTGCGCAATCAGGTCGAGAAGTATTGAAATCATTTACCGTGCATACATAAAAATCCTGATCGTCACTCGATAAGTCCGACTCACAATTTATATTGTTCACAGTATTACGTGATTTACACATTTTCTGGAAATGATTCAGTTTGCCACATTTTCTGCACGTTTTTTCCCTTGGCTGGACACGTTTTTTCCCTCTTGATGTGTGGTCCCGCATCTAGAACAGGTCATTTTCTCTTCACTGTATTGTGGCTTTTCCCGCCTTTGGACTAAACGTTTTCCTAGGCCTCGCCACGTGGTGAACGTCCTTGTCAGCCGCAGATGCCATTGAACTCAATTGCTGTTTGGAATATTCCATATTTTGAGCGATTTGTACAGCTTTATCTAAGGTCAATTCTGCACCCTCGTTCATAAGCTTTTCTCAAAATGCAAAATACAATACGGTCCCGTATCATTTCGTCTGTGTTTGCAAAACTGCAGTCTCGTGCACAGATTTGTAATTTTGTCAAGAACGAATCGATGGTTTCTTCTCCCTGTGTTTGGTTGTAGAATTTATACCTAGCAAATATTGGATTGAGCTTAGGTTGCACATAAGTTCTGAATTTTCTGTAGAACGTGTCGATCTTTTTGGCATCGTCTTCAGAAATATCTTTCCACGTGCAGTGGATATCCCGCCCTTTATCACCAATCCATAATAGAAAGTAAGAAACTTGTTCTTCTTCAGACTTTTTCTTCAAAGGTCCTGTAAACATTAGTTTTGCATGACGTTCAAATTTATTGTAAGCTTCAGGTAAATTTGAAGATTCCCAGTCCATTTGGGGCACTGACAATCCAGATAATTCCATTTTGTTTCCAAATATTAATTTAATTGTGTAACTTTATTTTTTTTTTAGATAAATATTCCAATTTTTTTTTATCGTATGTCCAGGTTATTTATTAAACGTTTTTACTCTGACACCATGTTGTAATGTTCGTTTATTATGAACAATAATTAATAGAAATTAAACCAAGTGCGTTGATACAATGAAGTAAAGTAAAACACGACGAGTGTTCAGCACAAGATATAAATTTATTCTGTAAACCCTTAACATGTGATCTTAGATTTACTAGAAATACGGAGCATGCGCAAACAAGCATTATACATAGGTCAGCTCAAGTTCATCATGTACGATGATACTACACCTTTAAAATCCAAATAAAATGCATATTTGTCAATCCCAGCACATGTACTGATCATATATATACTGTATATATAAAAAACTTAATATAAGCCGTTTTGAAAAAAATTCATATTTCAACATCTATGATAACCCCAAGTGTCTGTGCTGTTGATGATGTTGTCATTGTTGATAAAACGGAGTCCGAGAGATCAGAGAACCGCAACGCTCTAAATCAAGAAAGAATAGGGAAATGTTATTATAAATCAAGAATCAATGAATAAGATTGGTTTTTTTTAGTTATAATTACTATTAAGAGAGTCTATGTTGATTAATTATTTTTCCATATCAATGTTATATATCCCTTTCTTGACGATTATGAAACAGCCCAATTTTTCCCCAAATATGCAAAATCGGGCTTATTTTCCCCAAGTAAAAGGCTAAGGCCCCTTCCCCAAAAAAGGTGTTTTGGCCCTGGTTTATTTATTTCAGGGCATAAAGTGGGTGTGTTTATTAATTTCAGGACATAAAGTGGGTGTGTTTATTTATTTCAGGGCATAAAGTGGGTGTGTTTATTTATTTCAGGGCATAATTAAATTCAAAGTGGGTGTGTTTATATTTATTTAAGGGCATAAAGTGGGTGTGTTTATTAATTTCAGGGCATAAAGTGGGTGTGTTGGAAGATCAACAGATCTATGGTCCGGATATAAACGGTGTACGATATATGACACTGTATGGTATAAAGGGGCTGTCGGCATATGCTTGCCACGCGGATGCGCTGGGTGAGTCAGATCCATGGGTGTCAAAATTTATATACAGGGTAAGTACTATTAAAATGATACTCCTTAAAATTATTTAACAATCTGAGACTTGTAAGAGTAAATGGCACACGAGAACCAAAACACTTCTATATTCCATCTAGCTAGCAAAATCCACTAGATCCAAAAGCACTGACGAGGCAAATTGTGTTAAAACACTCGTAAAGCGGTCTCTTTTTGCGGTGGCTGAATTTTTGTCGCGGAAATAAAATTAACATGTTCGTGTGTTTATGTTGACGGAAGGGAAAGATAAAATAATATGCTAATTTCATTTGTTTTATTTTTTATTTCCTTGGGGAGGGGCTAGGGTTACATGTACATATCACTAGTGTGAGTATCACATATAAGGATCCGCAAACTTTTAAATTACCCTTAGATTAAAATTAAAATGTCATACGAATAGTGTGCATGAGTTTTATTTTGAATGCATAATAAGTTGTTATACAATCGAACTGGTACTTCCTTAATTATAATTAGGATGACCCTCCCTTGATAACGACTGAACCGGACACGATTTGCCTCATACATATATAACATTTACAAAGTTTCTGCATCTGAAAGTGATGTCACCAGACAGCCAGTATAGGACATATATACTGTAATGATAGCCTAATATTTAGCTCGACTTTACGAAGGTTATGGCGTTTATGTCCGTTGAAGTTTTTATGCAGTAAAATATTTATATATTTCTTATCATTTTAAACACATATTTACATGTTTCCTTACTAAAGCAGTTTATTTCCCTGAACACTTAATTAGAATGTCCATTTGAAATTGTTTTGTTTTATTGTGACTTCTTTCTTGGACATTATGTAACCTGTCCCAGATTCTTTACTTTCTGAGGGATTTTTTTTTTAAACTTCAAATATATTTTTATGCCCAAACTTCAGTAGGGGAAGGCGCATTTAGAATTGCCCATGTCCGTCCGTGTGTCCAGTTCATGTTGAGTTACATGTAGCTCTAAAAGTATTTGAGCTAAAGTCAACACACTTTACAAGAATGTGAAGTTGTACACATGTCGATCAATTCAGTTTTGTAGGAATTATTGCTTTTGACTTAGTAAAAATTTGCAATTTTCAACTTGTGTCGCCGTAGCTGAAAAAGTATTTGGCCTGTAGTCATTAAATTTTACAGGAATGTTGGTCAGCATGTGTAGCTGCATGTGCACCTGGCGTTTTTTTCAAAGCATACTTTAGCATATTAAATTAAGATTTGAAATTCTTGCTGCTCAATATTAGGAAAAATCAAGCTGTCAACAGTGGAAAAATTGGATGTCGTTTTTAATACCCCAACCACTTAGGGGAGGGTTGGGTTATGTAGAATTTCCCTTGTCTGTCCGTCTGTCATACTGTCCTGCTGTACGTCAGGTGACTGACCAAACCAGTGGAATGTGAGGGCATCCTTGTCCAATGGATGCATTTTTAGTTTTTATTTCTTTTACTTTAACTTCAAATATAATATATTCCTGAATTATCTTCAGTTCATCACATACATCATGTATGATAGTTCATGACGGAAGCATCTATATTTGAAGAGTTAATTATCTCCTCTTTTGACAATCTTTACCATGGCTAGTATTGAAATAGCTGAGCACCAACAACTATTGTTTAATTTTGATACTGCAATCTCTAAACAGTTAAATAGATTGTTCCAAAGACATCCATTGCACAAATTTATCTCTTATTTAAAATTATACTGTACATAGAATATTAATCTTTAATTTCGTCATTTTAAGTAGTTGCCATATTAAACAATCAAATTTTCAATTTCTAGGCCCTTGACTTCCTGGAAAGTGCCAGTCAAGCAGACAAATTTGACTTGGGCTTAAATCTAAAGCTAGCCCTTGATGTGGGTGCGACCAATATGAGAGTGATGGAGCTACTTGACAAGGGACACAGGAGGTTGCTAGGTGTACCTACACCCACAAATGTATTATCAACTCCAAAGGCAGGAAAGGTTTGTGTGATCTGTACTTGTTATATTGAATGCTTTGAACTTTTCTTAAAACTAAATACCAAAAAATGTACTTTAAAAATATAGTGGTTTAACTTAGTTAAAACTTTAATTGACTTATTATAGCTTGATTGTGATAAAAGCGTAAAGTTAATGTAAACCACTCTCAGTTGTCCACTATCTGGGTCCAAGGTTTTGAAGAGTTTTTCTAAGGTCAAACTCTGATGTCAAGTATTTGATTGGTCAGTAACCCAGAATGTACACATTAACCGATGAAAATCCTGAGATTTGAGACAAAACTCAAGGCCTGGAATCATATGAGAAACATGTATGTAACACCAGGGTCAAAGGTTATAAATATATTTAATGAGCACAAACTCAGATCTCAGGTATTTGATTGGTCTGAAACCAGCATAGAATAAATTTTGACCAATGAAAATTCTGAGATTCGAGACAGAACTCAGATAAAAGTTTTATAACTTCGAAGACAGGTTTCAGACCAGTAGTGCTCAAACCCAAAGTCCCTAAGTTTGAGAGGCAGACTCTTTAACCACTTGGCCATGGTTTCCCTCGGATATCAGCGATTTGTGTCACACATCTATGTGTCAAGATATCAGAACACATGTCAATTATCGATTTGTTTTATCATTTGGATTTGTATAAATGAAAAAAAGGTAAATGCTTAACTTATGTTACATATTTGCCTTATATACATGTATTTAAGTTCACCCCAAGTTAAAGAAATATGTGGTGAAGTATAATGTAGTACTGAAATACCCCTCTTGTATTAATATCTATAAGTGTTTTACTGATAATCTAGTTTATCTATTGTGAAAGATAACACTAGTTTTATCTTACCTGTGTTTTAATTAAATTTACTGAATGTTAAATGTCAGACAAAGTAAACAGTTTCCCCTCTTGCTCAAATTGATTGATTGAGATGGGTTTAAAATGTCATCTTTTTTACAAATTTATATCCTTCTATTCCAACTATGTAAAAAAAGCCTCAAGTGTTCTTTGAAAATAAAAAAAATGAATAACAGAAAATATAAAAAGATCTAGTGAAAACATTACATTGATTTGCCTATCTTTAGACTTGTGCCTAGATCCAAAGAGCCTAAATCTGTATGTGTTTGTCTAATGTAACTGTCACGGTTAATACCTCAGACTACTAGCCCAATTTTATCTATAGGTTATCTCCTAAAATTTATGGGTAAAATGCCCTTCATGTTCTGTACGTTTTTAGGAAGCCTTCCCACAGCTCATTTTGGTCTTAAAACACAGAAAAGACATGTGTGTGTTTGTGTTTAAATCCTTTTAAGTGTGAATAGCTGTAAGTATTTGCCTAACATTCCAATATTGAATAATAAAAGTCATCACAACCACGCAGTCTGTCCACACTCCTTGAAGTTGGTTGTATAGGATAATATTTTGATAATTTAACCGCTTTAGGAATAAATGGATTCTTTCTGATTAAGTTAGTTAATGAAAGTTCATTGTTGGATATAAATGGCATAATGGTAGACAAAAGCAGCATAAATAAATAAACATTTTGTGCAGTCTTAAATCTGGTCCTACTCAACACACTATTCTTACAGTTCAATAAGCTTATATACTGTATTGTTGAGTACAATACTGAATTATATTGATGAGTACACAGCTGTCAAAACTATATTGGACCAGGCCCTAGCTGAGTCTGATATATAGTGTACAAGTAAAACAGAATCAGTATTGTTCTTTACTATTTTTAATGTACTCTTTTATTTCATATCACTGTTTTTTGACATTTTAATAGAACTTTGTTACTCCAATTTCAATAAAAATTTGAAATGAAGTTTGGACATTCAAAAAATGAGAAAAAGACAAGATCATGTGCAATATGATGTGATATGAACCTTTTGGACTCTGTAAATAAAAACAAGGCTAAACAGGGTGTGATATGGATTTTATTTTGATATTTAGACTTTGAATTTGGAAATGAAAATGAGGCTAAATTGATAAGATTGGATCCAAAAAGGATTCCTATTGGGACATCACATGATTGAAATGCTAAAGGTGCATTGGTTATATTTGTAAGGTGTCAAATGATAATTTAAAAAATTAGTTACTACATTTTGCATTGAAATTGTTGAATTACAAGTATAACAAACTGTGATTCATGTATAAGACAAAATTATGTTGTTATTTTTTTTATATACAACAGTGTATACTGATATCAGGACATGACTTGGTTGACCTTCATACATTACTGAAGGCCACAGAGAGCACAGATATCAACGTGTACACACACGGAGAAATGATGCCGGCACACATGTATCCAAAACTGAATGCATTTAAGGTATAAATGAGCCGCGTCATGACAAAACCAACATAGTGGGTTTGCAACCAGCATGGATCCAGACCAGCCTGCGCATCCGCGCAGTCTGATCAGGTTCTATGCTGTTCGCTATCAGTTTCTCTACTTGAAATAGGGTTGGTAAGCGAACAGCATGGTTCCTGATCAGACTGCGCGGATGCGCAGGCTGGTCTGGATCCATGCTGGTCGCAAATCCACTATGTTGGTTTTGTCGTGACGCGGCTCAAATACAGCAGCTGTACGATATATTGGATAACTCATAAACATTGTAATACATTTTCTGTTTCTAGTACTAGATGGGGTTAATAGTAAGTAAGTAAGTAAGTAAAGTCTTTTTTTAATGAGGCTACACATTTGGTTTCTCAATCTTCCATGTGGGCCTCAAAAACATAAATATACATAAAATATACATAATTTACATCATGGTTATACAGTAAAGTTTTCAAAATACATATACACATGAAAACACAAAATATAATAATATATTACTTTATGAAACAATAAATAATTAAAAACACAATACATATTCAAAATACATGTACAATGCATGAACATACATTACTTTACACTAAATCTATGTAAGATCAAGGTACTTGAGAGAGATTCCAACTGATATAGGATGCTTGAAATTTTCCAACAGTTTCAGATTTACGTATGGAGAGAGGGATATTATTCCATAGTTTGGGGCCCGAGTAAGTCAGAGATTTTCTAAAAATTTCTTTTTTTGGTTTAGGTATAAATAAATCTGAATTTTTTGCTGACCTTAGGTTACGTTCATGTTTTTGGTGAATAAATTGAAATTTGTTTTTCATGTACTTTGGAAATGAAGCATTGTTTAATGATTTATACATAATGACAGCTTTCTTGTATCTTATTCTTTCATCAAATTTTATCCAATTTAATTCATTAAATAATTCAGTAGATGGGGCATCATAACTTTTGTCAAGAATGATTCTTGCAGCTCTTTTCTGAAATTTTATTATATCCATAATCTGTTCATTGCTACAGTTTCCCCAGACTGTACAACAATAATCTAAATGTGGTAAGATATAAGCATTAAAGAACAGTTTTCTTGTATTTACATCAAGGTACTGTTTTATTCTTAGAAGAAGGTACAACTGAGTATTGCATTTCTTTAACGTCTTATCTACTTGGGTTTTCCACTTAAGGTTATTGTCAATATGAACACCTAATAACTTTTCAGTTTCAGTAAATTCAATTTCATGTTCTTGCAGGTGTAGTGGTTTAATTGTTGTTTATTATTATTATTGGATGACAGGTTCATTGCTTTTGTTTTCTTTGCGTTTAGCATCATTGCATTCTGTTTGCACCACAGATTTACATTGTCAAGGTCAGCTTGGAGTTTATCATGTAAATCTTGTATAGAGAGACCTGCTGCTGTAAGAGTAGTGTCATCAGCAAAAAGATCTGCCTCTGAGGTTTTCAAATAGAGTGGTAGATCATTTATATATATGATGAAAAGCAAAGGTCCAATCTGGACAGATCCTTGAGGTACCCCTGAATATTATAACTGATGCTGATTTTGATAGGTTGCCAGATACACTGACCTTCTGTGATCTATTTTCAAGATATGATGTAAACCAAGTAATTGCAGAAGAATATTTGAGATAACAATTTTGATTGAAATATAATGCACCTTTCTGTAAATTGTTTGTGGAAGTTTACATTAAAATATTTATGGAATAGAGCTGACAGTATGAAGTAAAATATTGTGCTAAATATTATATTATACACTCATTTAGTTTATCAATAATGAGTAAAATTTAATCAAAATACTGTTATTGCACCACTTCAATATTTTTACCCACATAAGTATGAAACAATAATATTATTCAAGTAACACAATTACAATGTATAAACCAGTTTCTAGGCAACAAAATATTTTATGTTCATTATGATAAATCCTATTTAAAAAGTTTATAAAGGACACATGTAGCTTGTCAAATTTCAGAGTCTTGCAGGGCATTTTGGTGGAGCATGGCAGAACCAGAAAATTGACTTCGCAACATTTCCGGGACCAGTGCTGGCATCTACTAACTGTGTTATTGAACCACTACGCTCGTATCGTGACAGACTTTACACGCTCAATGAAACAGGAATAAATGGAGTGAAACATTTAGATCTCCATGATCCTGTTCAGCTTCAGCAACTTCTTGAGGTAATTACATGTAACACAGGCAGATACTAACATGTGTTTATTTTAGTTTCATTTCTGTAACCTTTAAGTAAATGTATTTTCAGCTATATGACACAAGGAAACAAAACCATTTAATCCAAATTACATTAAATTTTAATGTGCCAGACATAGACCATGAGTTGACCATTTTGAAAACATTTATAATAAGTCGTCATTTATTTTATGAAGAAGAAAATTTTATTTAATTTCTTCATTTATCTTGTTTTACATCAAAAGTACTGGTAATACATTTGAGCCGCGTCATGACAAAACCAACATAATGGGTTTGCGACCAGCATGGATCCAGACCAGCCTGCGCATCCGTGCAGTCTGATCAGGATCCATGCTGTTCGCTTACAAACCCAATAACAAGTAGCGAAACTGATAGCGAACAGCATGGATCCTGATCAGACTGCCCGGATGCGCAGGCTGGTCTGGATCCATGCTGGTCGCAAACCCATTATGTTGGTTTTGTCATGGTGCGGCTCATATTTGTATTAAATATAACAATAATTAATGTTTCAGTTTAAACAATCTGGAGAATCTAAAGCTCTAATAATCATGAAATTAGATATTGAATAAAAATATTTAACTTATAATTGTTCACTTATAGAGTTTAACAGTGAAATTATAATGAACATTGCATGTTATAGTCTAGGATATGAATTCAGTAAACCACTTCTTTTCTAGCTAAAGAGATGTAAGATAAATTTGATGATATAATTTTGAACTGATCTGTTGTTTGACTTATGCATGTCCATGAATTTGTATGTACTAGGTTTATCATTTATTTCCTGGTAAATGGTGTAGGTCATTTATTTATGTTTCGGTTAAAAGTTCATGTTACAGCTCTTGTTATTCAAACCATCTTTATAATAGCAAAAAATATTTCTTTGTGATGGTGTCACAGTGCTTTAAATAAATAACTTTGTTAAAAAGCATGCTGTGCTTTATAATTCATAATGCATTTCTTAAATTAATATTCTTAGCTTTTATTCAATTAAAGCCGTGTAACATCAAATCATTGAATTTTACTTAAAAGAAAGGAAAATAAACATGAATTACAAGCATTTCCTAATATAGGCCATTATAACATTATTTCTGGACAAATTAAAAAAAAAAGGTTTTTTTTGTAATATTTATATTTAAGGTTTGTAGATTCAGAGTTATTTCCCATGTATAAATTGTTGAGCAGAAAATGTATGCGTTTTTATGACCAAGTCAGACTAAAATAACACTCTATAGGGATGAGCTGTTAGATTTTGGTATTTTAAATCTGTTTTTAATGTACTTTTAGCATGCACAAAGTTTGCCAGGTTTTGATGCTAAAACAGCAAATAAGTATGAGGACCGCAATCTTGTTGTTGGGTTTGGAAGAGAAGTCATCTTACAACATGCAGACACTGTAAGTATTAGTTGATATTTCTTGAACCAAAATTAACTTGTAGTATCATTTTTTCAATTTTCATTATCATGAATGGTTATTATGCTCCCCGAAGGGAGAGCATATAGAATCCACCTTGTCCGTCAGTCTGTCTGTCTGTCCGTCCGTTGTCTTGTACGGAGCATAACTTGAAAACCCTTGGAGATAGTAATTTGTTTAAACTTCATACAGTGGTAGAGGGCATTGAGGGGGAGTGCAGTTCATGCCTGAAATAATGCACAGAAGGGCACCTGAGGTCTTCCTCAACCAGTAAAGCTGGAACGTTGCGATATGACCTATACTGTGTCGATGTGACGTAAAACCCAATCAAACAAACAAACCCATTTCTAAAACAAAATGATTGTAGTAAATACATATATGAAAATAAAAACAATATATAAATTTACAAGTTTTTTTTCTGAATTTAACATGTTTAAGTTTACACAGTTTTAAAGTAGTCTCAATTTATTTGATGTTAGAACTGATGTTTACTTTTTGTCGTAATCTTGTCTTCAAGATGATTTATTAAGTAAGAAGGGAACATGAGAGGGTAACTTTAGGAAGTTGGAGAGGGTTCTTGTTCTACCAAATAAATAATATTCAATTGACCTGACATAGTTTCATATCTTATGCAAAAAATATTTTTAAGTATATAGTTGCTTCTTAAAGGTCCTTAAGGCCATGATTTATTTGTCAATAAAAAAATAGATGTAGTTTATACATGTTATACAATGTATGTCAATCGGGAAATAGGACAACTTTTATAAGTCAGTTTGAAATACACAAAGGTTGATACATACGAGTATGTATGGCAATAAATATAGGATTAAATTTATGTTAATATGAACTCAATAAACCAGTTTGTTATGTTGGAACATGTGTCTATGATCAATGAAAATCACAATAAAACTATTGATTGATCTAATCAGTCTAAATAAAATCATTGTTATAAGGCTGGTATTTTATTAACATCTGGCTAGTTGTACAAAATAACTTACATATTTATCATATTTCGAAGATCAAAATGGTTAAAGGTGAAACTACTTTTGAATACTGAAGCCTATCAAACTCACTTCTCGCTGATTCTTTCAGTGTTTAAACATTTCTTAGTGTTTATATGGGGGTGTCAATGGCTGAGTGGTTATGGTTTTTGGGGGCATCCATGGCCAAGTTGTTAAGGTTGTTGACTTCAAACAACTTGGTCCTCAGTGCTGTGGGTTCGAATCCTGCTAGGGACTTTGGATTCTTTCATGTGAGGAAGCCATGCAATTAGCTTACAGAATGTTGGTAGTTCTACATAACTGCCTGTTAGTCCCTGAAATAATGCCTGGAGGGCACCCGAGATCTTCCTGGAAAGTCTCCATATGACCAGTTGGTGTGACATAAGACCCCAATAAAAAAAAAGAATAGCTTTTATGTTCATTCAATCTAAAATTTCATCTGATTATTCAATGTTGTTATAATACAAAATATTAAATGATTTTTAAGCATAATACATGTTGGAGCTTTTTTGTTTTTACTGTAAACTTAGTCATTTATTTAAACAAACTTCTATTTGTATTTAGTAATTGGGATCAAATGATAGCACACTGACTTTAAATATTCAAACCAAGATCTGTACAATGTAAACATACCTACAAATCAAATACAATCGGTAGTGTACAAATCCTCCAAAATTAAAGTGTAAATATAAGGTTATAAATTGCTACTTTATTTCAGGTTATAAATGCGGTGAAAACTGGCGACTTACAGAGAATCTGTGTCATTGGTGGATGTGACGGCTCGGAACACAAACGGAACTACTTTACCAATCTTGCCCAATCCTTACCTGCGCAGACGCTCATCCTTACCATGGGATGTGCTAAATATAGACTAAACACTATCAACTTCGGGACATTGGGGAATACAGGTATTCCCCGACTTTTGGATATGGGGCAATGTAATGATAGTTATGGTGCTATCATGGTAGCGAAAGCTCTTGCCGATGTTTTGGAAACAGACATAAATAGTCTGCCTTTATCAATTTCACTATCCTGGTTTGAGCAAAAGGCGGTTGCTGTTTTGTTGTCCTTATTGAGTCTCGGGGTAAAGAATATTAAACTGGGACCGATTATGCCTGCATTCCTTACCCCTGGGGTGAGACAAGCGCTGGAGGAGACGTATGGCATTGTGCCAATTGATATCCGACATCCTATGGAAGACATGAACGACATGCTTCATAATTAGACAACTGGTTTCATATAGACATTGATACAATGTGAATATATATAGACATATAACAAGGTGAAACCTATCTCTAATTAACTTTGTTACGTAAGAAATTATAGATCTATAACTAATTGTTATCTTTCTCTACTTTTGATGCAATGGAAATTGTACATGTGTACAGTTGTATTGTTGCATATCAACTTTAATATGATGTGAAGGTTAATACTGTAACAACTTACATGATTACCAAGTTACAATAAAATGTGAAGTTCAACCTGTTAGAAAAAAAACAACTTTGATAAGATGATCCATATCAGCTGTAGGACTTGTAAACTTTTCAAAGTACATTGTCATTTACTTAATGTGAAAAGTCATATTTTGTTTAAAGTAAAATGCACAACTTTAAAACGTATGTCAGCTATTTGCTAGTGATAGCTTTTCTATTTTTCACAAATTATTACTCAAGGACTATTCATTTCTAAACTACTATCTGCTGTAAATTTAGCTTTTAAGTTTTCAACGTAACCTAATTAAAGCTATGACATAACTGTTTTTATACTGTGACAGGACAGGTAGTGCCGCATCTGTTAAAATAACAAAATGTGAAAAAAAACAGGGATTTAATTAATTAAAGGAACTTCACTGAGGTGCTTAAGCCTGAAAATATATAATTTAAATTTCTTACATTAGGTTAACGGGGGCACTTGAAACAGAAAGGTCTACAAAAGATAATTAATAATAAGACTCAGAAATTAATTGAAATATAATTGTTTTGCTATAAACAGTTTAATTTGAGCGAAAGGCATTGCAATGCTTTTCAATTCGGTTATTTTTCACAATTGGAGTAATCATTCTGGAAAAACTGAATAAGCGATTGCTCTATGAAACTTTGCACAAAAGTTACTTTACTAGAAGTACAACAAGTGGAACATTAATCTCGAAAATTTGTATCCAGACCCATCATGTCAAAATACCTCAGTGAGTCCCTTTAAAGTTTTGAAAGCCAGAACTACTTTAGATACATTTTATATTGCACATTTAGAAAACTAACACAATCAAAACTGGATTGGCATGGTAAAGGCCTTGTTTTGTTTGGTAGATGTCATTATCCTCAATAAGCTCTCTCTCAGGCTAAACGTCTCAATGATGTAAATATTTATCCCCTGAAACAGTCCTATCCTTTTAATTAAAGGACCAATTTAATCCTGATGAAACGGGTGATTTTATTATGTGGTTTCCATGTAAAAGAATTTTTTTTATGAATTATTGTTCTTGAGTGTTATTGTAGTTTTTATTGTAATATATACATATTATACATCATTTTATATATAAATATTAGCTGTAGATGTTGTTTTTTTATTGTTATTATTTTTGTTTTTAATATGTGTGTTTTTTTTAAATTTGTTGTGGAAAACTGTTTATCCTTCATAAGTTTTTAAGTTGTTTTTAATAATAATAATAATAATTACCACATTTCTATAGCGCCCTTCTCAAAAAATAAAATTTCAAAGGCGCTTAATCAGTTAGGATTTGTACAAATTTATCATAGGGGTCAAATTCATACCCATAATTCAGGGATCCTTGGTTCACACCATCGTCGGATACCCACAGCCGAACCATGTTATGTTACATGTTAATCAACCCTGGGTTTGGTTTAAACTTATTTATTTAAACTCGATTGCGAAACAAGTTCTTGCAACTTAATAATATTAATCACTTTCGAGTCTGCTTCCTGGAACCAACAAGTACTGGTGTCATATGAAGAAACAGGGTTGTGACCCGAGTAGGTCTCAAAACCATGATCTATGGGTATCCGACAATGGGTTTACTCTGGAATGATGTAAATCCCCTGGTCCTTGGTGCTGATTATACAAGGGAGAGAACTCAGGTTATAAGACTAAATAGGTTGTCTCACAACTTTGCTTAATTAAATGGATATGTTTAAACTAATTTGCATAACACTTAAAGCATAATAGGTACAAAAAAAATAAAAATAACAATTTATATTTATAGAAATAAATTTTTATTTTACGCAAATATTTTTTATGTTTGTTCTGTAATTTTATTTTATATATTTTTATTTGTACAAGTAGTAACTGGTCAGTGAAATACTGACTGTGTATCTGCTCTATTTTGATACCAAATACATTACTTCCAATGTTTGCTCATGTTTCAAATGTTTATGAACATTTTTAATGGTACATATCAAATTACATGATGTGGCAAACAGCTTTCAACAGCTGCCAATATAGGGTAATGATAAGGGTATGTATTTGTGTTTTTGTTTATTTTTGTTTTTTGTTATTTACACAGATATATACGCAATCTGGCTTGCATAATTATTGTAGATACACATGTAAATGCTTTGTTTGCTTTAATAATGATAACTCTTTTTCTTTTCTTTTTTGAGCTTATAGAAATGAATGACTTTGTATGCAATAAAGGATTACATTGTATATTTGATTCAGAATATTGAATTTATTTAAATAAAGATTTTAATAGGGTGGCAACCTCATATGAATGTTTGGTATTGTATACACTTGGAACATCCCTTGATTGCAAAACATTTTTATCTTTTTTTCCCTGTTTAACTTCTGTTATATAAACAACAATGAAAATTATTAAGATTATTTTCTTCCTGCACCTCAAGGACTGTATTTTAAACTCTACATATAAGTGTTCATAATCTGACAATCAGTTTAGCTAGTGAAATCAGTAGTTCATATATTTATGTACGCTCCCTTCGCAGCACTCTGAATACACTCACATAAGAAAGTGAGCGTTAGTGGAACATTCCACCTATTGGCAGGAGAGTAAAGTTTATGTACAGTAGGTCATATATTTATTTATGTATATGATCTTTAGTTAGGAGATCCTTCAAGAGCAATGAACACAAAATAATTAAATTGACAATTGTAGGACATAATGACTGTTTATTATAGAATATAAACGGTACAAGTCAACCCGGCCCCAAGTCAACCCGGCCCCAAGTCAGCCCGTCCCCAAATTGGTCAACCCGGCCTCAAACCAATGTTATTTCTGGTCAACCCGGCCCCATTTTATTATTATTTATTTTGCTTTAAAATATAAACACTTATCAAGAAATAAAATAAAAAAAAAATTCTTGACACAATGTTTTATAATAATAAAATGATTTTACATGCAAAATATCGTAAAATTTTGTCCATAAATAAAAAAGTTATAAGTTATATTCGAATTACGTTCTATAAAAGTCATATCCGTAGCGAACAGAAGATACCGAATATGACTTATATTTTATAAATTGATTATTTTTTTATTAACTTTTCTTGATTAATAATAAAATGATTTTATATGCAATATATCGTTAAATTTGGTTTATAAATAAAAAATGTTATAAGTTATATTTGTTGGGGTTTTTTTTATATAAAAATCATATCCGTGAAGAACAGAAGATACCAAATATCATTATATGACTTATATTTTATAAAGTAAGTGGGTTTTTTTCTGTCTGGATTACAGTGAAATAAAATGATAATAATCGTTAAATTTGGTCCATAAATAAAAAAAGTTGTAAGTTATATTCGTTGCGTTTTCTATAAAAGTCATATCCTTGAAGCATGAAGGTCCGAAGATACCGAATATGACTTATAGGTTATAAAGTATTTTCTTCATATCATCTTTTATAATAATAAAATGAAATTGCATGCCAAAAATGGTTAAATTTAACATAAATAAAAATGTTACATGTTATATTCGTTGCATGTTCTAAATAAAAGTCATATCTGTAGCGGAAAGAAGATACCGAATATGACTTTTTAAGTTACATATAAAAGTCATATCCGTGGTGGATTGAAGATACCGAATATGACTTGTTGTTTCCAAACTTGTTTCTTTTATTTTTTATTTCTTTTTTGGGTTTTTTTTTTTTTTGTCACATAATTTATAATACATGCAAAAAAATCGTTAAATTATGCCCGTAAATGAAAAAGTTACAAGTATTAATATTCGTTCCTTGGCGGAACTTATATATGTTGCATATTCTAAAGAAAAGTCATACCGAATATGACTTATATTTTATAAAGTTTCTGATTGTTTTTCTTGATACCACTTTATTTCCATGTGTCTATGATAAATCGCCAATAACACCTTTAATGATGGGCTTTAATAAGTGTGTGTCAATTACGATAAGTGCGAAAATCCAATAATCAAATCATCGTATTAGCGCATTGATTGCTGCCGACAACCATGTGCACGTGTCATACGTTGTATCATTTTTTCCTTTTCTCAAATAGAAAGATCGTGTTCGTGCATTATCTAACTTATTTCAGCTGATAACGAGTCATATTCGGTATATTCTATTTGCCATGGATGTGATTTTTATATGGAACAAGAAACTTACCACTTTTAAATTATGGGCAAAATTTAACGATTTGCTTCATGTATTATTATTTTAACTTTATATATAATGTAAATGAAGTTAAAAACATACAAAAAACTTGGGATTTGTTATATTTTGTAGTTTTATCATAGAAAATAAATCTGATCATTTCTGTTTCACGAACAACAATTGACCAATTATGCTTTTGAAATTAATAAATATATAATTATTCATTATCACTATTGCGTATTAAAGTCTTAATCGGCGCAATTAAATTTACCGACACTTTTATGCCAGTTCATGTTTTTTTTACTATTGTTCAACAATAAATAATAAATCATTTTTATTCCATCATACAACAAAATGACTTAAATAATTTTCTTTGAAAATATATATTTTGGGGCCGGAATGACCGATTTTGGGGCCGCATTGACCAATTTTGGGGCCGCATTGACCAAATAAAAATACTGTGGGGCCGGATTGACCAATTTTGGGGCCGGGTTGACCAATTTTGAGGCCGGGTTGACTTGGGGCCGGGTTAACTTGGGGCCGGGTTGACTGTAATTCGAATATAAACAGTGCAACATCTGTTATTCTCTCTATTAAATATTTCACATCTCTTCTTCACCAAAGCACTGGCTAAAGCAGTATATTTAAAAAATAAAATAATCTTCAACATAAAGTACTAAAGAAAGAGATTTACTAAGTCTATACCAAAAAATGTCTCATAAATTTATTTTTCTCTACCTTATGTTAATATGTTGCTAGATCTCAAAGGCCCATAAAGTCTCAAAAATGTTAATATTTTATTTTTTCAAATGCTTTTTTTTATTTTTGGTGCCATTTTCCAGTTTCAAAAAAATATTACTAATTGGCCACACAGTGTTGTTTCGTTTGGTTTCATGGTGCATCAACACAATTCAGGTCATATGGTACCAAAACAGGAACAATGATTTTGGCTTACCTTGTGTCTTACAAAATTAAAGCAACACCGCTGGAAGAACCATCATTTGCTTCTTTTCAGTTTGGACAGTTTGTAATGGTTAAATTGATTTAATATTTATGTAGTATGGAAGTCAATAAATATTTTGTTTACATTTTGTTACATTTATGACTAATTGTTTCACATTTAAGCACTTTTATCTTCGTGTGATAAGCATCTTACATGTTCTAAATCCTTTATCATTTTATAACATTATAACCTTTTCTACAAAAAGAAAAAAATATTAATTTCTAAGGCTTAATGTGCCTTTAATAAATACAAACTGTAATCATTATAGTCAATAGGTTATCCTCTATTCCATGTTTTGGCATATTTACTCCAGTAAGTTCTATTTGCACCCATTATATACTTTATATGTGTATCAAGAATTCAAATAAAGAAAAATTCAATCATTCGTTATTTTCTTAAATTTATAGTTTCATTCATATATGTGAGTATCTTTCATGTCAGAGATAAATCTGTTTTTTCCCTCAAACAACCAGAACATCTGGTTTATATTGGACAGGTTATCTTTTAAAACAGATTACGTTTACCCTCTACTTAATTAAAATGAAAACTATTAGACTTCCAACTGTTTACCTCTAATGATGGCATACATATGCCTAAAGTTAATTAAGCTTTTTTTGTGGATGTTTGTAGCATAAATCTTATAAAACGAGTTTCATTAAACGTGTATATCAAGGGGCTGTAACTCTAATGACAAAAAAGAGTAGTTACAACCCTTTTGCACCAAGTAGTTGATATGCTCAAAAACGTATCATAACTACAGTATGAAGTTACGGAAATGAACCCTGGACAATCAAGATGACAATGCTGGGTCATAGTTATGGTAAAAATAATCTAATCAAATAAATCACAGCAATATGAACCATGGCACTCAATGACACTCATTTGGTGAAATGAGGTTGTATGTATAAATTTCCTGAGAAATGTAGGAAGAATTGTGCACAAAATAAATTGTTTAAGTAAAACCAACCAACCACCGACATTCACTTACTTAATAACCAGATTTCATCTACCCACATAAATACACATGTATATTTTAAAATATTTTATTACATTTACCACTGAAGTTACAGACATTAACCATCATTTCATTGTACTCTAACTTGATCAAGCATTCATCTACAGGATCATCAATGTCCATGTTTACTCATCATAATATAATGAAGCAGTATCCCTGAAAATAAGAGAAAAACAATAAACTACAATGTAATTAACTTGCTGAATGCTGTCTATGTTAATATTATGCCCATGTTTATTTAGCTCACTTTGTTAAATAGGCAGAGCACCAGATATATAATTCAGTAAGCTGCTGGTTCAATTTTTGGGCGAAACATAATTTCTCAGTGATAATTGATATCAGATATTAAGTCTAATTATTATTTGTCTTCACTGCTGATTTAGAAATTTTGTGGAATCAGGCTTTCTACTGCTTCTACCAAAAAAACTAGGGAAAAAGAAGGGCATTTTTTTACCAAAAAGTAGGGCAAAGTAGGGATTTCTGATGTTAAAAAGTAGGGATAAAGTAGGAATTTCTTACCGTTTTAGTTAAGACTTACCATCACCAAGACCACATCAGGCTGTGTGTATCTTCAGTTCAGTCCATGCTTGAAAGACAGGCACCTGAAATTGTTTTTTTATTTCTCTTTAAATACAAGTGCACCAATACAAAATGTTGTTTACAATGATAAGGACAAATATAATCAGCAAAACAAACATACAATGAGTATATTTAGCACATAGTTTTAAGAATATTCACATTAGTAAGGTGAGAGCTACTAGATCCTAGTATATTGCATAGTCAATGTAAATGCAAACAAGCTGTGAATACCAACACCAGGATGTACACTAAAAGCTATATGAACAGGACTGCATGTTAATGTATGAGCTACATGTACATGTAGGTTAAACTGATGTATATTCATGTTAATATGTTGCATAAAATTATAATATATTGCAAGGGCAAAGGTTATGACAAACATGCCACAGTGTAGTATTTTAAGGAACAATTTAACACCAACAAGAGGTACAAGTAGGTTACATGTATGCATGATTCAGTACACTGCCAAATGATAATGTTAAATGTTACATGTACATATACATACAGTTTGTGATTTATTTGCCAAACATGCATAGTTACATCTGTAAATACAATCTAGCTGAGCAACTAGCCTAACCCAAGCTTGCTACCAGATTGTTGTGCATTATTGTCAACAAGACAATGAAATGATTTGAATTTTTAAGACCTGTCATTTTCATGATTAAGGTTAACATTATATCATGTTGACAAAATGCACAACCATATGATGGATAGTGATGAAGCAATACCAAGGTATTTGCACATGTTAGATTTTTGTTAAGTGACAATTAAAAGCTTGGAATCTAAATTGATAAGTCACACTGCTGCAACTCTACTCAGACACAAGAGCAATTGGTCAATGCAGTGTTTGATACCCACAGCTGCCAATGCTTTAATCACATTTCAATATTTTATTTAAACCTTGTAAAATTTTTGATTGATCAGATGACTTTGTTTTAAAAATTCAAGTAACATGAACATATATGGTCTAATAGACATGGGGAAAATAACACAAACACAAATGAAACCAATAAAAAATATGTTCTTTTGAATCAGTACAGCATGGCAACTGTGGAATCCCTCAGCTAATGCATTATTGGGAATATTTATAAACCTAATTAAGACATTAATAAACACTTGGCAGTGTCAAACTAGACTGAAGCATGCCTTCATTTACAAGAGGAACATGGAAATTATAAAATAGTAGTTATTTAAACAATCAGTATGGTTTCATGTATTTACCTCATAGCCAGAATGTTGCTGAATGTTTTGCCAAGGCACCATGAGTCTTTCAAGGATGGACATCACAAGGAGACACACACACACACACCTGAACTACATATCAATTGCAACTGAAAATACTACTGAAATACCATTTTAAATATCTTCTTTTTTTCTTTTTTTTTTCATTTCAAAATGAAAAAGTAGGGATAATAGGGCTATTTCAGGAAAAAGTAGGGCAAAGTAGGGATCAAAAGAAAAAAGTAGGGAAAAGTAGGGACCAGTAGAAAGCCTGTGGAATCGGCAGTCCGTCACTTGTGGAGAAATTGGTAATCACTGGTTAGGTATCTAGGAAAGCCAATTATGTGGATTGACAGCCAAGATATGACCAGAAAAAAGTGTTAAAACCAGCATAACAACCAGAAAGACAAACTGACCAGCCTCTATACCAATGTCAGCTTCATTTTAACTTTATTGTTATAAAAACTCCTTGCATAGACAACAGACGGTTCAAATTTAAAGCAGGTTAAAGCTGCTCATCTCAGGGTTATAAAATACAGTTTCAAACATTTTGTAGAAAATTGTAAGAAATGTACAGGTATTCACAATTGTTGTACTGTGAGGCATATTGTTATGCATATTTCCTTGAATGGCACCAGTACAGGTTAAGTAAATGAAGCAGACTCGGAAAAGTGATTAATTCAAGTTGTAAGCTTGTTTATCAACCAAACTTTAATAAAAACATAAAAATTTATCATTATACAGAAATTGTAAGGTTTAGCAGGCATTGACAACAACAAAATTAACTGACGTTATTCCTTTCATTATCAAGCATACCTGTTGCTACGGAAACATTGAGAGAGTCCACACAGAAGTTGTTGAGATGTTGAAGTTCTGGTTGATAATTTTTAATATTGAGTAAAACATCACATAGTTCAATTATATTCTCACTGATTCCTTCAGCCTCGTTTCCTGAAAAGTATTTCCCATACATTTACATTGTTTATTGATTTGCTTTATTCCTCAAATATATATATGTATATTATTGCAGTAAAAGCAAAAGTAACTCGGTAGTTCTAAATTTTCCAAACACAAGGTACATGTATATTGAAGCCCTTTGAAAGTAAAATGGAAAATAAAGTACATACAGTATATATCATATACATGTATATATATTTTTTTTATAGTAATCCTCTTGCTTATAATACAGTACATTAATCTATAGTTGGGTGGACTTTGTGGCTGCTAACTTGAAATTCATATAATATGATAACACTTTTGGTTGTGTGTTAAAGTCCATATATGGCACACAATCACAATTATTTTTCACCCCCTCCTTCCTGGACTGTCACACCCTATGAATTAATCATGATGCACTAATTGACTTCCTGAGTCTTTTTCAATCAGAATAACAACAAAACACTACATGATCTTAACACTTAAGTTAACAGGTTTGATGTAACTTAAACTCCATCCATCCCCATCAACTAATAACGAAACCCCATCTTTCAACCATAACATTACCCCACCCTTCAACTAATAACAAACCCAACACATGAACCAATAACAAAACCCCACCCTTCACCAATAACAAAACCAAACCCATGAACCAATAACAAAACACCACCCTTTAACCAATAATAAAACCCAACACATAAACCAATAACAAAACCCTACACTTCAACCAAAAACAAACCCATGAACAAAAAGAAAAAAATCCCCAACCTTCAATTAATAACAAAACCAGCTTTTACAGATACATATTACAACATAAGCTTTCAAAAGAACCTTTCATGAATATCAATTTATTTCCTTTAAAGCTATATCAGTTTTTAATAATTCAAATTTTCATAATTTTATTTTAATTCATAAATAATAAATTTTATTATGAATTACCAATAATAAGCAGTGTTGGTTTATCAACAGTGAATTGATGTAAATGTAAAGCTTTACTATGACCCTCGTTACCAGTAGATCCAACAACTATTCCACCATTGTCTCTCCATTTCTGAAAATAGACACTCTTTGCTTGTAAACTTGATTTACTCATTACCATAACAGATTGTAATGGTATCTTTATAACAGTATCTTTTTAACAGTATCTTAATTTATATGAACAGGCAAATTTATGTAAACTTGTAAACAATGTATAACTTGTAAACAAGTATTTACCTACATTCAAACTGGCATACCACTCCATACACTTCACATGAATCAGCCAAAAGCAATTGTTTGGCTTCAAAAACAAGATTCCATGGTTATTAAGACATTTTCTGGCCTCAAATTCAGGCATTTGATTGGTAAGAAACAGCCAGCGAATGTGCATTCACCAATAAAAATCCTGAGATACAAGACAGATCTCAAACAAGAAATGTGTCCATAGGACACAGCTGCCCCCACACGCCACTGTTCTGTCAATCTTATGACTCTAGGTCAAATATTTTTGCCACAAGTTTAAAACTAAAAATCTTTTACTAAGTAAAGGGCAAAAACTTTACAAAAGTTTCATGACTCTAGGTCAAATACTTTTTGAGTTACATGCGACACAAAAGAGAACGGACGGATGGACAGAAGGACGAACTGAAGAACAAGGGTAAATCTAAATGCCCGCCACTAAAGTGGGGGCACAAAAAAAGTTGTATAACCTCAAGATCAGGTTTCAACAAGTTATAAGGATAGCCACTATTAGCAATGTCAAGTACTGGTACTCATAAAAACAATTATTATCAACAAAAAGTTTCAGACCACCTAGCAATCTATTAGGAGTTTAAGTTCTGAAGCAATATTCTAAAATCATTGTGAAAATTAATGTAATTAATCATGCATAACACTGTATATTTCATTAACAGCCTCACATTATATTAATATGTCACAGAAAGGGAGGGAGAAATATGCAGCCAGACTAGGGCTCAAACCATGGGCCCTTAGAAATATCGTTCTGCAGCTCTAGTTACCTGCCCAAAAACGTTCCTGACAATTTACACATTTCACAGTACTCCCAATTGACTTGGGAGTTATAGACAAGACCATCATATTTCAATGTTGGGCACCAAATGTCACAGGGTAAGAAAAAGCGGCATCCCAACTGGAACATGAATTTGTGACCATTGGAGTATCATTCTACAGCTCTTTTTCTCTCCAATTAGAGACAAGATCTATTCTAGAAAATATATATTGTTGTTGTAATAAAACTGATAGGCAACTAATTAACAGACATTTTTATCTTTCAAGATGAATTGGTTTTCAAATCAATCCAAACATTAGAAAAAATATTTCACGATCATTTGAGCCGCGTCACGACAAAACCAACACTATACGTTTGCGACCAGCTTGGATTCAGACCAGCCTGCGCATCCGCGCAGTCTGGTCAGGATCCATGCTGTTCACTTACAAACACTATAACAAGTAGAGAAACTGATAGCGAACAGCATGGATCCTGATCAGACTGAGTGGATGCGCAGGCTGGTCTGGATCCATGCTGGTCGCAAACCCATTATGTTAGTTTTGTCGCGACGTGCCTCATTTATAGATATACTAACCACAAGACATTTTTCCAGTAAAGTATCATGTTTGAGAGATTGTATATTCATGACTTCTAGAGCCCCAGCACTTGCCTTGCTTACTACAGGATTCAATGCTGAACTGGAAGGAGACAGCAAAACATGCTACTTTAGTGATATGTTCAAATACCTATCTCTTTAAATGTAATTACATTTTACATTGGAGTTTTTTAACATTTGACTGGTAGAGGACAAAAGGCATTGCCAATGTAGTTTGTTCTGTTGTCATTAATCAAAAAGCAGAAGAAAAAGCTCTGCCAAGAAAGTAGAGAAAAGGAGAACTAATACAGCAAGGCTATATGGGGGTGAATTTTAAGCTTTACTGATGGAGGCAGACCTCACTCACGTCCAAGTCCTTGCATTATTTGAAATACAAGCAGGTATCATACACTGAAAAGAACAACCAAGCTGGATAGCTTCCTTGCTAGGGTTTGTACCCACAATAATGACAGCCAAGTGATTATAACTATTGGTAGTAAAGTTCTTACCCATTGGTGGAATGAGACTTGATTTTGTTGATCTCTTATTTTTTTATTTTTTTTTAAATAATCCAACAATTTTGTAACAGTATACCAATATGTACAATTCAGTAAAAATCTGTGTGAAATTTATGGGTCATGAACAGTGACCTACAATTATGATCCCACATATACATGTAATACCTTTCAAGAAAAAAAATATCTTCAGTGATTGTGGGGATGAACTTGCACACAAAATATAAAACCAATCTTTTTCTACATTAAGTAAAAATCATGCTGGATTTATATGTCTTGTTTATATGTCTTGAATAGTGACCTACAAATCTGACCCCAGAGACATGCTTGTGTGCAGCTTCAAGCTGTACATTCAAATGTTACATAATGCTAATGTCAGAGGATAAGTTCAGACTGTTACTCTTCAAAGTTTCACTATGACTCCTAAATATTAAACTAAAAAGAAAGAAACAAAAAAGAATATTATATAATTAAAAAGCCCTTAATTGTTGATGTATTTTGGCCCAATACTTACAGCACCAACTTACAGTTAAAAGCTACACTAATATAATGAACAGAATTTAATGACAAACTTCAGATCTGCATCAAACAGGTATAAATTGTTATAAACTTATAGCATTTTTTAAAACATGAGATTCTGCACAAATAATACATAGGAAGATTTTAATAATTTCTCACCTGTAACGAGAAGGTAACAACACCTTGTTCACACCTAAATAATAAGATGACCTAAGAACAGCACCCATGTTCATGGTATCCTTTATGTGAAATGGTAACAACCATACATTGGGTTTTCCATCACTACTGTACAGCTTTTCACTGAAACATTAAGTCAGGGTAGAGGAATTATAACATAAACCCCCAAAACTGTTGCAGCCCACCCCCAACTCAAATCTGGATCACAGTCTCCAAAATCTAATAAAAATAAAACAAACCCAGAAATTCAAACACTACTACAGAGTTCCAATGATTATAATCAAGTCTGTAAAAGATTACCTTTAAAAATTGAAGAAAAAATCTTATTTTCAATAATTATTAACATGAAGGTTATTTATTCTAGTTAAAGTTCTCACCTTGTTATATCTGTATCTAGACATATATGGGGAGTCTTATATTTTGAGACATCTAAGCAGACACCCTGAATCATATACCAAATATAAAAATACAAATCATTATACATGTATATTTCCGTTATTAAATAACAATTAATTATGAAAATAACATGATCTACATTATATAGCATTATACTATTTATTGTTTAGAACAGAACTTTAATTAAAATCAGTGTTAGCAATTAGTGTTAATATTTTATATGTCTACATGGTGATTGATAAGGTATATCCTGGCCTTCTAGTGAAGATTCTAATATTCATTCAATGCATACAACATAATTATGTAAATGTATAAAACATAATTATGTATAAGACAAGGTATCAAACATGAATAACGGATTATAGACCCTGATGTGCATGTAAGTTGGCTGCAATATTTGGTATTTTCTCAAATAATGACGTCATAGAGGAAAATACCTCTCATGTGACAAAAACATACTAACACTAAAATATATGAAAAATTTATTAAAAAAATGATATTTACTTAAAAGTAAATTGATATTATCCAGCATTAGAGATATTTGTTTACTCCAGTCTAAAATGTCATAGTACATGTATAAGAATTCTTTATCAGATGAATCACCATGTCATAGTATATGAATTCATAACCTGATCATTGGCCAGGTCATAGTATATGCATTCATAACCTGATCGATGGCCAGGTCAAAGTATATAAATTCATAACTGAAACAATCACAAGGTCATAGTATATGAATTCATAACCTGAAACGATCACCTGGTCATAGTATATGAATTCATAACCTGATTGATCGCCAGGTCATAGTATATGAATTCATAACCTGAAACAATCACCAGGTCATAGAATATGAATTCATTACCTGATTGATCGCCAGGTCATAGTATATTAATTCATAATCTGATCCATGGCGAGGTCATAGTATATTAATTCATAACCTAATCGATCACCAGGCCATAGAATATGAATTTATAACCTGATTGATCACGGGGTCATAGTATATTAATCTGTACCCTGATAAGTCACTAATTTAAAGTATATTAATCAGTAAACTGACCAAAAAGATACTGGTGTATATAAAGGTTACCTGGTGGGGATGATTTCCAGATAAATTGTCCAATACATATCCTTTCACATCAATGATTTGTACTTGTTTCTCTACACACTGTTCTCTCAGCAGGTCTAACCTTTCATTGGATAAACCAACCTGAAGTATGACATGAAAATAAATCTGTCATTTATGACACTGCTTTTCCCTTTATTTTAATTTTGCCAACCAATAAAGCAAGCAATGAAACCAAGTCAAAATCTATTTATTTCTTTTTTTGGTTGTTTTTCCCTTTTTTCAAATATTAAGCTGATGTTCATATATGGAAGCACATTATTTTACATCAAAACATCACAAAATATTTTTCATACATTATTGTAAACATTTGAAAAGTAATTTATCAAGAAAATTTCTTGGAGAAATCACAATCAGCCTTCAACTCTATCCTTTTAACCTTTTATTATTTGTATTAATGCAACCATAGATGATATAAACATAATAAACAATCCTGATGCAACCTGAAATGCTACAGCAGTCAATTTAATTTTACTTAAAGGCCCATCATGCTTTAGAAATATCTTTATTTTTGTTTCCCAAAAGCCTCATACTTTTGGTGTTCTGTTACAGTTTCCAAACATTTACTCATTGGCCAAGTACCTGTTTTATTTTTTGCTTCTGCTGCATTATGGCAATTGGTACAGTTACTGTGATTTAGTAATTTGTATGTAAGTCAAAATACTACTTTGTTTACATTTTGCTACTTTTAAAACAAGTAATCTCACATTCAGCGCTAATTTGCTCAGGTGATAAGCATCTAACGCAACCTTAAACTATTATTCAAACGTTATAAAACTCAAGCTAGCCTTTCTAAAGAAGAAAACAAAGGGTTCTGAGGCATGATGTGCTTTTAAACTAAGGTTTCAGTTCAAGCATATACAGTATTATTACCATAAAGAATGCAGTATAAGGCTGTCTCTTCCCAGCATGCAATGCTGCCTGTACTGGATGGATGCCACACAAAACTTCACCATTTACATCTGGCAGAGGTATTTTATCTCCCATGTATTTCTTGTGATTACCAATCTTATGACTGTTAATAAAAATGTGTATCTTATCAATGTGCCTTAATTTAGAAAGATACATGCAGATTCATGCTAATTTGATTAATCAAATATCAGAAAATCATCAAAATATGAAAAAAGTTATCTTTTGAAACAAAGTAATTAGAGTTTCAATTGGACTAAGTTAAGATCTACTTAAGTTATTTCTTGCATGTACATTTGATTGCCACAACATTTGTTTTGCCTTTATCGTGATTTGGATTTCCAGTGGTTGAAATAAGATTGTTCCAAATTATGAAAGCTTGCCTATGATTGACTGTTTAAAAGGTCATCAGACGATGACCTCCTATTTGTGTCCATCAGATCCTGATGTGTAGCATTAATAAGGAGCTGATTTTAAACAGATTAATAGTGCTTAAATTTGACATTTACAATATTAAACAAGAGCTGTTGGTAGGACAGCCACTCAACTATTCTTAGTGCTTGATAGTTAAAGAATTATTCTGTCAAAATGCTTAGAGTTTCCTCCTCTTGTCTACAGATTGGGGGCTTGATGGTGAACACATGTGCTAAGTTTCAAAGCCATATGTCAATGGACTTTGAAAATATTTGAGGTGTTACAAAAAATTAACGTAAATTCTAAGCTCAGGTGACTACAATAGCAGTCTAGGACAGTAACCTTTTCACCTCCTAATACTTAGTCACAATGAGTGCTTTGTGTGCAGGTACATTGTCATGTAAAAGTCAAAGATACATATTTCTTCATTTTTTTTTATAGCAACATTTTTATTAAAATTACTGGTACATGTAACTCTTTTGCACTTTGGCACAGGAATTTACATGACAGGGCCTTTATTGTCATTTAAACAGTGAAACATTTGATTAAACGCCTATTTGTTTCAATTTATTGTCAAAGAAAATAACATACAAAACCTTCTTCACATTTTCTAATCTTTTAGCAATAGTAAGACCTTTTGCATTCTCTGATGCCCAGATTCTGTTAGAACTCAAGAAAGATTAAATTTTGGCTCAAAATAGTATACCCAGGTCTTATCACCAGCAACTAAATTATCAAAATATTTTTGCTATATTTTGGATACAATTTTAATACATTGTAAATTCTTTGCATTTTGAACCTAGCATTTATCTGTCTAAGCTTTAGTTTTATCAAAATACACAGTACCATGAACATGATGCTTACAATTAATCAATTTAATCGGCTCACTTTATACCTTGCATGTTTCTGTAAAATTTGGTAGATTTTTATATTATTATTGGTTGTAATGCAGAGCAACTTTGGTGAGGAGAATCTTTGAGGTGTAACCTGTTTCAATTAAGCAACCCACCTATGAATATCTAGTCTACCGGTTAAATGCCAAGAAAGGACCTACTTTTTATATAGAAATAAATCTGTCATTGATATATGATTACCTACATGTATATCCAGTACAATATTGTTAACACCTATATAATTACATATTGTTTTCAACATTGAATGTTATATTGCTGCATGTACATGGGCCATAAATGACTTACTACTTAATAAAAGATTGAATATAGAATATATATAGTCTATAATTCTATTTGCATTGTTTGCACTTTATCAAGTCATTTTGAGTAGTGTAATGAATATGCTATAAATCAATATGCACTGGAGGAAACCATGTTCCTTTTGGTAAAAATTGCCACCTATTTTTTAGTATACATAAACTTATATACATTGGAAACATATCTTAAAAATCTTATCAAATTGTATATTATAGAACTATTCATTATACCTAGCCTAATCATTCCATTATGGTTTGATCCACTTAACAGACTGTTCAAATTTTCCTACTGTTAAACCCTTGCCAAAAGAAATTGCCTGTCCAAAATTAACTTGATATTCATTTTTGTTTGTATGAAATAATAGATTTTAATGAGAGAATGGAGTTATATTTATAAAATAACACAACTTAAAGCTGACTATAAATTTCATTTATTCTGTTGAAATGTGCAGTTGAGATTTTCCAAAAAAAAATATATATGTTAAAACCTGTGACATCAGCTGATCTAGGTTCATTAATGAATATAGTCTGTACATGCAATTGAAGATGAAGATGTGATATTAAAAAATGTTGTCTATAATTTAATTTTTAGGGAATATTTTTCTTGTAATTTCATACAAGTCAAGTGTCCATTGTATTATTCTTTTGTAATTTAATATCTTTAATGGAGTATGTTTGGGTATATTTCTGTTCAAAACAAAATGATTGGAAAATATAAATTTGGTTATATCTTATATATTTATTGTATTCATAATTAAAACAGCATTTAAAAAAAAATATTCATGAAGTATATATTTTGAGTATATTCGGGTTTGGGCAATATTTGGGTATTAAAAATTTTGTGCTTCCAATTCAAAGGAAAATTAAATTCTCCCTAATATCTAAATGAGTGTAAAACCAGTCACTGTTCATTTATCCTAGATTGAAAAGAGTAAAATGATGATTCATCAGCTTACATTTATCAGATTTGACCAATGTAAAAATTTCGGTGTTCCGTTAGGCCCTTGATGTTTTCTCTGAGAACAAAAAGCACAAAAATGACAGTACGATGGTGACAGTACAACAGTATGGTGGTGGTAATACGACAGTACGTCATGGCAAAACACAAAAGCACGATGGTGACAGATTGTCATACAATCATATTGTCATAATAAAATTATTGTCCCCATCATACTGTCACCATCGTAGTGTGGTACTGACACTATTATACTGTCGTCTTAATGTTAGGCATGTGCATAATTAAATACAAACAATGAAAAAAATGTTGACCGTGTCAAAAAGTATCATTTTAAAAATGGACTAACATACACGTTTATTCTTGTATTGATGAAAGTAGTTTGATGGACTGTTACCAATAATTTACCATCATACTACGGTGTTTCTCCATTGTACTGTTGTATTGTCATTATCTTACTGTCATGTTGTATCCAAAACATTTCTTAATATGAGCCCTTTAGTAAAAAAAATCATATTTCAACGTCTATGATAATAAATGTTTTATTATACACGTGCTGGGATTGACAAATATACATTTTATTTAGATTTGACAGTCGTTTTGAGCTCCACACTACTAAGTACAATTATACAAGTGCCTTTGTACTTTTGTGAATACGATAACTAAATTAGCCTACATATACTTCCTCTTCTTCTGTGTTTGGTTCGCCTTTGACACTTGGCTATAATTTCTTTGTACAGTCAATTTACAAAGAAGCTCTGCAACTTTCAACAATTTCCTCATAGGGCCTGTTTGGAACATACTAACAGTAAAGATGGTGTAAGTGGCGTTTCTATATACAGGGGAGGCAACTTTTGAGATATTACAAAAATATCATCACGTAACTGGAAAGACGGCTGTAATTGAAATTGTAATCAACCTAGCAGCTTAGGCATGAATAAAAGTCATAAGATTTGAGAATGTACAATAAAATGACAATTTAAAACAAATAGCGACATGTACAGTACATATTGTAAGGGACTAACTACTATAGCATATAAAATGAACTGACAGTTTAACTTTAATTACAATAAAATACATATGTTGCAAATAGTAATAACATTCAGAGCATATGCATTATTAAAGATTTACTAAAAGATTTAAATTAATGTAATTAAAATAACACATGAAACCAAAATTGCAAAAAGAAACGTAGATTATAAAATCTCATAGAGAGTAACATTTAAAGCTAACTAAAAGAAACTGCATGCACAGTCTTATGTACGGAAGAGCATTAGTGCCAGGTAAATGTTTTTTATTAACTCGAAATTTCGAGTTACTAACTCGAAATTTCGACTTACTTATCTCGAAAATTCAAGTTTTTAACTTGAAATTTCGACTTAGTAACTCGAAATTTCGACTTAGTAACCCGAAATTTCGACTTACATTGCACGACTTTCATTGGTTGCCGGTGAAAGCAAGGATTGAATTCATGATACTTTCTTTCGTGTGTAGCTGTTGCACATTGGCAGAGCACCTTTAACATTTATTTAACAGAACAATTTAATAGGGTCAAATTGTCCACACATACTTCGCTTTTTTGTGGAGGGGAGGGGGTTGTAAAATCACACTTTCCACATTTCCGTGTTAACCGGATGATTCTTTTTCTTAAGCACACATACAACCATCATGTGGAGAAACAACAAGTCCAAAACCCACCCTACTGTAACTGTGCAATATCATGTGTTAAATAAGTTTTAAATGGCGTGTATACGCCAGTTAGTCTGTCACGTTTCTTTATACTAATAATGTTTTTGTAACATTATTCACTATTTACTAAGACTTTGATTCATATTGTGTTGATAAAAGTTGATAAAAGTGGAACTTGTTGTTATATATATGTTGTGAATAACATAAAAGCATCCGATTTTACAAGAAATATAGTCAGTCCAACAATTTTGACAAATGCCTCAGCACGCCATATTTTGGCCACGCAGCGATACTTTCCTCAGATGTCCCACACGTGAAGTATAGGATCGTTTTATTCACAGGGATGAGAAAAATATGATAAGTGAAAAGATATGTACGAACAGGTGGGATACACTACAACGTCTGAAGAACGCCTGATAGTACAAATTAAAGGCAGCCTTGTGTTTTTTAGGTCGGGTGTGTACATGCCATTACTAAGTTTAAGTAAAATTTCAATGGTTTGTCCAGGCACCCGTTTCTCCATCTCCATCGTTCAACAGCACTCCCTACTATATTTTATATCATCTAACTAATAACTTTGGCCTACTATAACTATTACTAAGTCGAAATTTCGAGTTACTAAGTCGAAATTTCGAGTTACTAAGTCGAAATTTCGAGATAAGTAACTCGAAATTTTGAGTTAGTATGTCGAAATTTCGGGTTAATAACTCGAAATTTCGAGATAAGTAACTCGAAATTTCGAGTTAATAAAAAACATACACCTGGCACTAATGCTCTTACGTACTTATGGATGGAAGATAAATGAGTTTTAATTAATACAGACAAATCTAACAAGCTTGGACAATAAGGATAACACTATAGCATAGAAATACAGCTTTAAATTAAAGCAAGCTAAAAAGGAGAGAGAAACAAACAAACAAACAAGCTGTATCAGCAGCATTTACATTGATCTAGCTAGGTAACAAACACATAGCACATTTACAGCTCGAGCCACTCTAGACCTGGATCAGTCTCCCAAACTCTTTGTAATTTTCAACATTGCGGATGTCATTAGGGAGATATTGTTTCATATGTGAGCACACTCAAACCTAAAAGAACTCTTACCGTACATGTAACTGAAGCCAACTATATATAAGCAAAAATAAATTTACATTTTGCCTTAATTCCTTTCAATTTTATAACTTACCTCGCATGAACTATAAATATCTCACATGGCCCAAGGAAAGTTCTGTAAATATCCATCGAAATTTACCTATAAATTTCAATTTATAAAAAGAGTGGGACAGTCATTTTATATTGTAGGCAGATTTATGTTTCATCCTATAATCAGCTGATGGTCAGTCATTATTGTAGTAGTCAATCTTCTGAAATATACAGCCAATTCATCTCAACTTGAGAATAAAAAAAATCAGCATAATGTCATTTCAACTTTTTGTTTTGTGTTAGATAGATGAAACTAGAGCTCGTGCATTTTCAGACAACCCATATGTGCCTAACTTTTGGACTCTTAGGGTCTTGCGGTAGACAGTCAAACGCCTTGGACATGTCCATAAGAATTGCTGCCAAATATTAATTTCAGTCTAACGAAGTCTTCCAGTCCTAAACTAGACGCAATGTAAGAGTTGTCTGGTATTCCTAGTATCAGGCCAATTTCCTGCTAAATATATTTTTCTTTCTTCTCTTTTATTATAAGTAATGATTTGCAGAAGTTCAAGCTTCTCTATGCTTAACCTGCACAAGTTTCATTCATAAAAATAAAATGATGTTTTCTGTACATGCTGAATCCACACATTTCTCCTATCACAAATAATAAATCGACATAGAAACTGGACGATATATATATACATTTCTAATAGTATGAAGTACCTTACCATTGATCAAGTAATACAAACGTTTCCCCCAAATTAGGACGCATGTTTTACCAAGATTCGGAAAACTGTATAAATTGAGCCCGCAACCCGCAGTTTCGGATAGCGGAGTTCCGTGTTTTCTTCTTATTTCAGGTAAGCTAAAATTCTTCTTCAAAATTTATAAGGGGAAATAAAAAAATCTGTTCATATTGTTCAATAGTTTTGTGTATTCATATTTTCTTAGAAATACATAAAGCAAATTTTAGATAGTTATGATTTATTTAAAAGTGTTCTGCTAGAATGAACTTTTATTTTTATTTACAAACAGTACTTAATTACAATTTATTTGAAAAGAATATTAACTTTACTTATTTGTTTTACATTACGATCTGTGCTATATTGTTAAGTATTAATATGTTCATGAATTTCAGTTTTGTACCATATAATAATATAATTTGGAAATAAAGTTTCGGATAGCGGAGTTCAGAATTTTCTTCTTATTTCAGAATATATGTCAGTCTTCTCTAAGAATCAGATCCCGAGTTATTCCCCAGGTCGTTTGTGTATTAAACTCAACTAAAAAGAACCAGCTCGACAAGTTAAAAAGCGATGTTGTTAAAATAAAAACAAAAGAAACAGCAGATCAACTGCCTAATACTAGCCTGGAAAAGCGAATCATTTTATCTTATCACTTGAAAGGGGGGGGGACACTTTCTTCATGTGTAAAAACATCTATTTTGTTCTGATAATCGAAGGTTACAATGTAAGAGAATGTTTGATCGAGACTTCTATATATATTTTATAAACATATAAAATAATTTATAACATTGTTGCACTTTTCGTGAATTGAATTCCCTTCCACTGATATGCTATTTTAGGAATTACCATTAGCCAATCAGAGAGTACAATGTTATCACATGACTTTCTTAACCAATCAAAATTCGGCATCTTCATTCTTAGCCATTATTTTGCGAAGGATAATACGCTTATTCATTTTGCTCAACCGCCGCCTCCCTTTTCCTCCACCTCTTATTTCGTTTACTCTCTTTTTGGCTGTTGGTTTTTATTATTTCTTATAATATTTACACCACTTGTTTTTATTACTTCTTATAATTTTGACTTCACTTCTCTTTGTTGTTAAGTCATATATATGAACTTTTTAAATTTTGAGATACAGACAATTATGTTATAAGTACTTATATTTACTTGTTTAAAGGACGGTTTTCGTCGCACAGATATGGAAAAATATGTTATATGTAGTTATATTTACTTGTTTGTAGTTATATTTACTTGTTTAAACTTTCATGGCAAATTTATATTTACTAGATTAAACTTTCTAGGCAAATAAATAAATTTGCCCTTTTTCAATCTACAACCTTGTTACTTTTCTATTTTCCCATACAAAGTACACAGGGCCGAAGTTTGGTTGTAAAAGCAGGTACGTTATGTTATATACGTACCTGGTAAAACAGATGAGATAAAACATACTTATATGGTACAAGGCAAGGTGATTAAACAACTCCGATAATATTTTTACATTTATAGACCAGTTATCTAATCTTTTGCGAGACAGATATGTGACTCGTGCAATTACATAACAAATGGATACCTGACATTCTGTACCGAAACTGCTGCAAAGCTACAACATTTTAATGTAGCTCAATCATTCATTCATTCTTTTGAAAAACATATCTGAACAACATTAGACACTTGATAGATAGATAGATAAAGTAAATGGTATAAACTAGTGAATTTATTTTTCGGGAGCTGATTGATTCATTTTATAAACAGCTAAACTTCGCACTCGTAAGAATGATTATAAAAATGGTAATAATGGTAATTCTAATACAAAAATCAACGGATATCTCGTACTATTAATAGCACTGGTACATTAGTTTATACTGGAATGTTTACCTACTTTATGAATCATAAAATCATAATTGAATTGCTTAAGAAGAACCTTTTATAAATCTATGCTAAACATATAAGAAGCTAAATGAGAAGAATAAAACTCATAGAATGCTTCAAGTTTATTATTGGTATATATACATGTACAGAGGTTACTGTATATATCAGTAATACAACTCCGTCATAAATCTCAATAAGAAAATATGAAAATCATTATTTTCGTATTCGTATTTCCCATAACGTCGGCCTTCATCTTTTCTGTCATCTCATTCTTCGTCTATCAATTTTGTGATAGCTGCCAGTTTGATTCTATGCTCTTCTACAGCTGCGGTGACTTTAGCGAAAGATTTCTGCAACTCGTCCAACATCTCACTGATCTCCTGTTGTTTATCAGACTTATTCTGTTTAGTATCTAAAACAGAGGGTTAAAGATATGTAAAAACAAAATCCGATGATTAAATACAAAGAAAGCGCGCGCAGCATCTAACTTGTTACATAAGAAACAACTAAGTCAATCAATCCATCTCTCCGTCCGTCAGTCAGTTAGTCAATCATTCAATCAATTAATTAATGTTATAATGTTCTCCATTTTTACCATTTTCAGAAAAACGCATTCAAACATCCAAGATCGATTATTTCTGTTGTCCTTGGTCGGTTAAAAAAAACAGAACAGGATATGCAGGATAATATGAAAAATATGTATAGTTTGATCAATCGATTTTTTATTTATTCACGATTTAAATTTGGAGATATATCAATTTTGATACATATGTTGCTCGCTAGCTATTATAGTAAGGTAACAATATATGTACATTATACCGTAGCCTAAGTCTTATAGTGTGCTAACCACCATTTGGAAAATTTGGTGTTATTTGATATCGTTGGATTCGTATCAGAGAGAAAGCTATCTTCTCATGCATTTTTCAAAGCGATTTGATTCCCAAATAAAAAATTTTTTTGCGCTATCTCCATGTTATTATCAACAGACTGTGGTATGTCCCGGAGTTAACGCAGTATAATGCTATATATACCTTTCAGGCAATCGATACAGTAATATGTATCTTCCTAATTTAAGCATAACCTTTAACCTTTAGTTACTTCAGATTGAGGTATGTCCTGCTTTCTTTGTTTCAGACTAAAATCTCCAGAATGTACAAAGTAATTATGATAGTAAGCGATATGCCAAAATCCAAACATAAGTAGGCAGGGTACATAAAATTTCATCTTTTAATTACTTCTAAAACACTTAACATGATTAAAGAGAAAATAACAAAAATGGGAGAGGCGCTTCTATTTGAGTCATCGTCCTTTGAATGCTTGTTTTTGCTCATTTAAGGCCATTTAAAGAACAGATAACTAAATACTTCAATAAGCAACACCTAATTTGAATATGAAGGATCACCTGTTGAAGGTTCAACGTTGTCAGCACCAAAGTGAATTTGTATTCCTGGCACAAATTCCACTTGTTTCGATTTTCCATAATAATTGGCAACAACCTTAAAATGAAAGAAAATATATGACATTACCTTTTTATGTACACATATAAATAGATTGGAACCATAGATAAATTGAAACCATAAAGGTTAAGGTTCTGTTTTTTAGCCTTTTATGGACGGCAGTTGTATTATATGTTACCTAATTTTCTTTTTATCTTCCAATGCGTTATTTAAATCTGTCTGAAGATTAATGCGGTGATTTGTCTTTGATGTATAACAGTAGCATACCTTATTGGTAATAACGCGCCGTTGATGATATTTAAGCGCACGTACGTTTATTTAGAAGAAATTGTGTTGTTTCAAATATAGCACAAAACGTTATTGTGGACTACGCAACAAGAAATGTCGCTAGACTGTTACTTAACCACAGGTTTGAAATAAAGGAACATATTCAGATTGGGGACAGTTCATTAACAGTTTTGTATGAAGCATGAATGTTTGTATTGTTTATAAACGTTTATTTTTTTTCTGAAGGTAATTTGGTAGACTGAAATTGCCATAGTTTTTGCATTTTCACATTATTTCATTGCAACGGTATCATTTACACCGCGAGGTGCACTTTAAAAGTCATGCGTTCTGCTTGCGCATTATTGCGTTACGGTTACGCATGTGATCAATAATGGAAATAAAAATGGTTTAATATCAACAATTTATTCAGAATCATATGCTTTCACATCTTGTAAGCTTTGTCTGTTTCAATTGACAGGAATGCGCTTGTGCAATCGGAACGTGGAAATGCGACAATGTGACAAAGCGAAAATGTAATAATATAAGAATGCGACAATTGCAACAATTCGAAAAAGAGAAAATTTAATAAAGCGAAAAAGGTGATATATAACTATTCCCCAAATCAATGACATAAAAGTTTGACTTTGTCGAGCTTTATAAATGTGTATTTCCATTGTTAAATCTTTGTCGCGGAGAAGAGACAGGATATATGCAATGCAAAAGTTTTACACGACAAATGTTATATGTGTCGCTTTGGTCCACAAAATGGTCGCCTTTCTCTTTTTCAGAGAATGTAAAAGAAATGCCAAGCACAAATGATACGACAAAGTTGGGCCTTTTATGTATTTTTGTGTTTTCAAATTTCATAGAGAAATAGGGCGTAGATAAGCCTCTACATGTACCTGGATTCTACCACCTATCCTAGGTGAGCCAGCTTCTCGAACAAATCCATATTTCTGTTTGTATTGGAACCCAACGTGACGAGGATAGAAAATGTGTATGCCTTTTTTAGTTCAGAAAGCAATAAAAAACCTATATATTATTCATAGTACAATAGCAAAACAAATGCAACACAAGGGTTTCATTTATTTCTTTATGATATAACCTGGTTCTGTCCTGTCTGCGGATCCATGTCAAGAAGGGAATAATCCATCAATCTATCACCATTTTCGTCTATAGCAACCGTGCCTGTTATGCCTAGAATAAAGAAGGAATAATGTTTTTATTAAAACTCTGTTGTTTCTTCAAACACTGATGCTTTTGATGTATTTGAACTATCAAGAACTATATAAAATAATCAGCAGTTATGCAATGCATTTATAAGCATTTTCAATGAAACAGATAGTACAAAGTTACAAATCTGAAATTTATATGATTTATTTCTTATAACACACCATCATTACAGGATTAAATGACACTCAGCTGATAATTTTAGTACCATTATGCCAAAGAAAAACCTTTTTATTTAACTTTTTTGTGTCCTGTTTGGTTTTCAAAAGTTACTAATTTGCCAATTGCCTGGAACGTTTTTGTTTTTTTAACTAGTAAAGTTATATTGAGTTAGTATTTTGTAAGGAAATCTGAATACTACTTGGTTACTTTCATGACAAATAATTTTATATACAGCACGTCAATAAGCATATAATATGCTCTAAAGCCATTATTTAAGGTTTATTAAAATCGCCGTTGTCTTGTGTAAAGAAGGAAATCTAAGGCATTAGAAAATAAGTGATACAGTTTCCATTATACTATATAAATGTAATTATAGACGAACAGATATATATTTACTATAAATAAGTCAAACCCATGAAACTCAATGACAACACTGATATCTTAACGTCAGGTAAATTAGAAATGTTAAAAGAAAACTTAATCTTAAGGTATGCCAGATTATTGAAATTCATTTAAATTTATGTCACGCAAATGTGATGAATGCCCTCGAAAAGATTTCTCGTACGTAGCGACGCGACATGCCGTCTTTATGTGCTGGACATTTGTGTCAAATTATATTGAAATTGATCCATGCAAAAGAAAATTACAGTCTAGTCACAAATGTTTGCAAATACAGAAATATTCGCATACATACAGGATTCAATAATCTACAACCTCCGAGTGTGTCCTGGACTTTTGAAGTAGAGACAACACAGTTTTGCACACGACACATACTTTTGCGTACAGAACACTTGTGCAAAGTTATTCTATGATATCCTTCAATGCATGAAAAAGTTACTGCAGTCCGGACATGAATGTGTATCTTCAACCTCAAACTGTGACCTTGACCTTTCATGTAGTGACATGGAGCTTATAGACGCGACATGTCAACATGATATGGTAGACATTTGTGCGAAGATATTTTAAAAACCGACAATGCATGACAAAGTAACAGTGCGAATGTGTACCTTTAAACTCTTCTACTCATTCAAACAATAATTGTGACCTTGACCTTTGAGGTAGAGACATGGGTCTTGGACAAGACACGTCTTCTTGATGTGGTAAGACATATATTCTAGATTGTTTAAAAATCTTCTCATGCATAACAAAAATACAGTCCGGACATGTGTGTAATTTTAACAACATGTGTAAATGTGAACCTTCAAAATGTAAATGTGACCTTGATCTTTGAATGTTGTGTAACTGGAGACGGACAGACAGACAAATAGACGGTGGAATTTGAATATACCGCCCTTCGGATGTATAGAAGTTGAGTACAAATTATTACAACAATAATGCCAGAAGTTGTAGATTAGTAATCTTTACTGCTTTACTGAAAACATTAGCATGGTCACTTGAAGTGTAAAAAATTCTATATTTTCTTACATGTTTTTTTTTTCTCCGAGCCGTCTGATCATGGTTCGCTAAGCATTAAGTTCATGCCTTGAAATTTTCCAAGAAAATGGTAAGATTGAAAGACGGACATATCCATTTAAGATTTTAGCGTGTTAAAAGGAGAAATAATCAACTTACCATTAAATGTTCGGTCCCACATTCTATGTGTAACAGCAGTACCGTTAGAAATTGGTTGACCAGCCTCAATAGTTTCATTTAAAGCAAGCGCATATAACACAACAGCATCATGAAATGCCCCTACAAAATTGTTTACCTGAAAACAGAAAGTACAGAACATTCAACACATTAATTATCACGGGTAATATGTTGTTCCCGTGGGACCATATTTGTTCTTTGCATTGGGTACTTCTGCTAATTTTTTTTAAAAAAAAAAACACCCTAAAACCGCGTTGTGTCATGTTCTTGGCATATCCTCTGGTCGCTTTGGCGTATCGTCTCCTTCCTTCAGTGTATCGTTTCGTCGCGATTTAGATTTATCAGAGGTCATCAATGCGAAGAAACGATGACCCAAACGGAGCACCATAGTTGGCACAATATGATATAAAGAGCTTGAATGGTTGTAATTAGTTAACTGTATACTATTCTGGATACATACCAGGAATGTTTCATCTCCACAATGTTTTCCAACGAAATCAATTTGTTTCATACGAAAGGGAATATTTGTTTTAAGTATCCTCCCCAAAGTACATAAAACACTTTAAGCAAACACAGAATAACATGATAAAAGATCATAACTGCAATAATCATAACTTCAATAACAGGAACAACTGAACTTACCGTTTCCTCGTCATAATTAATATTGGGGAACATTGCCTTGGTTCTTCTTTTAACTTCGTTACTGAAGTGATTATACTCCGCACTGGCTGGTTCCCGCACACTTATTGTCATAAGAGTTTCATAAGCTTTCCTTGCCATGTTGTTTTGTTCATCAGTATCGGACTCACGATACCAAGGTAGTCTGATATCGAGGTCACTGTGCTCACTGAAAAAAGTACTTATTAATATAACAATTACAACTTACTTATGCACGATTAATTAAACCAAATCATTGTTTTTAGTTTAAAGTAAGAAATAAATATTTTTCCTTCTGAAAAGTTTGTTTTATAATGTTGTTATACTGGTTTTAAGACATTTGAGATGCTTATCACCTTCAGAAGACGTTGAATGTGAAATAATTTGTGATAAAGAAAGCAAAATGTAAAGAAGCAAACGATAGCCTAGGGATTTGACCAATGAGTAAACTTTTGGAAACACAAAAAAGCTATTGAAAACGGAAATGATGTGTTTATGCGTATTGGGTCTATAACTGCTCTAGAGTATTCTCCCCTGCGCCACAAATATTTTAGTCACTGTGTTGTCTTGCGGTACACATTGCAAGAATTCAAAAATGTAAGTCACGTTCATTATAATCATTAGCCTTTGTCATCAGTATAAATACATGAACTTCCGTTTAGTGTAACCATGCTCTGTACTGTCGGAAATTACATTCTTGTATTTAAACACCGATTTCCTTCTAAGTTCAAATCTAAAAACAGGTAAGTCGATGGATAATAAATTCCATGCATAGATTTTTAATTGTTTATATATATGTAGGTATAATAGTTATAAATGTACATAGCTTTGTTATTTATCTGTAACAAGAGTTATCACCTGTTTTCCAAATGTATGTTAATGAATACATAGTCTCCCCTGTCCATTCCAAGCTTGTGTGTTTTGATCATCAGCTCTCTGGTAGAGTCAGGATTGCCACAAACAATAAATACTAAGAAAAGATATTAACAAAATGATAGTAATAGGCATGATTTAAAACTTACGTGTAGCAGCGACGACATAAAATAAAAAGTTTACTAAAACTAGTATGTGCTTTTTACTTTTAAATTGTTTTCCAAACATAATTTGAGCCGCGTCACGACAAAACCAACATAATGGGTTTGCGACCAGCATGGATCCAGACCAGCCTGCGCATCCGCTGTTCCATGCTGTTCGCTATCATTTTCTCTACTTGTAATAGGGTTTGTAAGCGAACAGCATGGATCCTGATCAGACTGCGCGGATGCGCAGGCTGGTCTGGATCCATGCTGGTCGCAAACCCACTATGTTGGTTTTGTCGTGACGCGGCTCATATGTTTTTTGCTTTCATTTGAAACAATTAAATTGTGTATGTAATATTGTAATGAAAATATGTTTTACTATTTTTATCTTCATAGTTTACATAGCATTTTATCGACAGCCACATAAAATAGTCTCTAAATTTTCTTACAAAAGTGAATTCATGATAAAAACAGAACCTGATCCACTTTTCTCAGTGCTGGATAGTTTTAGATAAAAGTAATACGGAAAAGGGGCATAATTCTGCAAACGTGCTTAGCAGGCTTACCTGCCCTAGACCCTTGAAATGGTACTTTTTGAGAAATGTATCTTAAGATGCATGAATATCATGTTATTTGTATCTGAACAGCATACACGTGTACTAGTAATCAAATCCGAAAACGTTATATTAACAAATTTTATTTCTATATACAGACCAAGAATTGATAAAGATATACAAGGCTCATTTTAAGTAAAATACTTTTATTGTAGAAATTAATTGAAACTAATATATTTAATCTACCAAATTCTTACTGAATATGTCTAATTTGAATTATAGAATGCACAAACTGCAAGTGTATTGGAAGATGTATTCCCAATTATTAGAAGTTGTCCATTAAAAAGAACAAACTGCCAGTTTGTATCAAAACCAATGTCAACATTAAGCATTTTTCATGATACTGGCACAAATAAAAAATAAAGTAATTTCACAGCAATAACAAAAACATTCCAGCTAGAAACCTAGCTACCTGTCGCTTTTGAAGATGCCGAACGTAATATATCCTCGAAGTCGGAGTTTTTGAATATCAAGCAATAATTGAGATATTTGAATTTACAAAAAAACTTTAACCAAAATTTCTAAGTTAAAAAGGGGCATAATTCTGTAAATATTGTAGACAGAGTTGTCCAACTTGTCAATCTGATGTACATTGTTACTATAAATAAGTATTGTAAGTTTCAATTGAATATCTCAAGCAATAATTGAGATATTTGAATTTACAAAAAACTTTAACCAACGCAGACGCCGACGCGGACGCTGACGCCGACGCCGGGGCGACTACAATAGCTCTCATATTCTTCGAATAGTCGAGCTAAAAATGGTAATGGATATCTCGTACTATTAAGAGCACTGGTACATTAATTTATACTGGAATGTTAACCTACTTTATGAATCATAAAATCATAATTGAATTGCTTAAGAAGAACCTTTTATAAATCTATGCTAAACAGATAAGTAGCTAAACGAGAAGAATAAAAACACATATAATGCTTCAAGTTTATAATTGGTATATATACATGTACAGAGGTTACTGTATATATCAGTAATACAACTTCGTCATAAATCTCAATAAGAAAATATGAAAATCATTATTTTCGTATTCGTATTTCCCATAACGTCGGCCTTCATCTTTTCTGTCATCTCATTCTTCGTCTATCAATTTTGTGATAGCTGCCAGTTTGATTCTATGCTCTTCTACAGCTGCGGTGACTTTAGCGAAAGATTTCTGCAATTCTTCCAACATCTCACTGATCCCCTGTTGTTTATCAGACTTATTCTGTTTAGTATCTAAAAAATGGGGGTTAAAGATATGTAAAAAAACAAAATCAGATGATTAAATACAATGAAAGCGCGCGCAGCATCTAACTTGTTACATAAGAAACAACTAAGTCAATCAATCCATCTATCCGTCCGTCAGTCAGTTAGTCAATCAATTAATTAATGTTATAATGTTCTCCATTTTTACCATTTTGAGAAAAACGCATTCAAACATTCAAGATCGACTATTTCAGTTTTTCTTGGTCGATTTAATGAAAAGAACAGGATATGCAGGATGATATGAAGAATATGTATAGTTTGATCAATCGATGTTTTTATTTACGTTTTAAAATTTTGGGAGATGTAAATTTTTTAAAATGCTCGCTTTATAGTAAGGAAAATATATTCCCCTTTACCCAAGTTTTATGGGGGGTGCAAACCACCATTTTGAAAATTTTGTGATTTTTATATCGTTGGATTCGTCTCAGAGAGAGAGAGTAATCTTCTCATGCATTTTTCAAAGCGATTGGAGTCCCCGTTAAAAAGTTTTTTCAATCACATTTTGCGCTATCTGCATGTTATCAAAGATGTTGTTAGCATCAGACTGTGATATGTCCCGGAGTTGACGCAGTATAATGCTATATACAATTAAGGCACTCAATACAGTAATTTATCTTCCTAATTTAAGCATAACCTTTAATCTTTAGTTACTTCAGATTGAGGTATGTCCTGCTTTCTTTGTTTCGGACTAAAATCTCCAGAATTTACATAGTAATTATGATAGTAAGCGATATACCAAAATCCAAACATTAGTAGGCAGGGTTACATAAAATTTCATCTTTTAATTACTTCTAAAACACTTAACATGGTTAAAGAGATTATAATAGAAGCAATATTATATTTAACAAGAGCTGTCCGTAAGACAGCGCGCTCGACTTTTTTATTGCTTGCCAATAAAAAAAGTTTTTGCAGTAAAAGGCAATACAAGAATCTCTGTATTTTTAAAGTGAACAATGGCCATGAGCATTAAGATATTTAGTGAAGAATTATTTTACTGAATTGTGTGATAATAATAATTTATGGTAAAGTGAACAAGTGGATAGGAATGAATTTTTTTAGATTTTTTAAGTTTTTTAGTGCTTGCCTATAATACAAAACATTGACAGTTAAGGGCCATAATTCAAATAAAATCTTTGACAGAATTACCTTCTCCTGGACATGTTTGGGAATCATGATTGTAAACAAGTATTCCAACTTTCAAATTAATATCTCAAACAGTTCAGTCAAAAAGTGGACTGGTACTAAAAAACTTAACCAAGATTCTAAGTCGATAAAAGGCCTTAATTTTTAAAACAAATCCTTGACAGAGTTACCTTCTCTTGCGTACAGATGGGGGTAATGATGTGAAATAGCATTAAAAGTTTCAAAGCAATATCTCAAAGGGTTAAGGCAAAAGTGGATTTTACCCATATTCAATGTATTTTCTAAGTCAAAAAGGGCATAATTCTGTCAAAAACCTTGACAGAGTTATGTCCTCTTGTCTGTTGATGAAGGTCGTGATGGTAAACAAGTATGGTCAGTTTCAAAGCAATACCTCCAATGGTTTTGAAATAAAAGTGAGGTGGTACAAAAAACTTAACCAAGCTCAATACACTTTCTAAGTCAAAAAAGGGCCATAATTCTGTCAAAACCTTGACAGAGTTATGTACTCTTGTCTGTAGATGGAGGTTATGATGGTGAACAAGTATGGTAAGTTCAAAGCCATACTTGTAATACTTCTGAAATAAAGTGGGGTGGTACGAAAAACTTAACCAAGGTGTGACGCCAACGCCGACGCCGACGCCGACGCCGACGCCGGGGCGAGTAGGATAGCTCCCCTTTTCATAGAAAAGTCGAGCTAAAAATGAGAGGCGCTTCTATTTGAGTCATCGTCCTTTGAATGCTTGTTTTTTGCTCATTTAAGGCCATTTAAAGAACAGATAACTAAATACTTCATTAAGCAACACCTAATTTGAATATGAAGGATCACCTGTTGAAGGTTCATCGTTGTCAGCACCAAAGTGAATTTGTTTTCCTGGCACAAATTCCACTTGTTTCGATTTTCCATAATAATTGGCAACAACCTTAAAATGAAAAAGAAAATATATGACATTGCCTTTTTATGTACACATATAAATAGATTGAAACCATAAATAAATTGAAAACATAAATGTTAAGGTTCTGTTTTTTAGCCTATTTATGGACGGCAGTTGTATTCTATGTTACCTAATTTTCTAAGTGGTCGCCCTTTCTCTTTTTCAGAGAATGTAAAAGAAATGCGAACTACAAAATGATACGACAAAGTTGAGCCTTTTTGTATCTTTGTGCTTTCACATTTCATAGTGATCGAAATCCAAATTTCTGTTTTTATTGAAACCCAAAGTGTTGAGGAGGGGAAATGTGTATGCCTTTTTTTAGTTCAGAAAGCAATAAAAAAAACGCTGTATATTATTTATAGAACAATAGCAAAACAAATGCAACACAAGGGTTTCATTTATTTCTTTATGATATAACCTGGTACTGTCCTGTATGTGGATCCATATCAAGAAGGGAATAATCCATCAATCTATCACCATTTTCGTCTATAGCAACCGTGCCTGTTATGCCTAGAATAAAAAAAAGAAAAAATGTTTTTATTAAAACTCTGTTTTTCTTCTCGAGGTATATGGCAATCACTACGGAATACCGTTAGGGCCATCGTGGTTATACGTTAAAATACTTAGGCGACAATGCGATAGTGCGACAGAGCTATGACGACAATGCGACAGTGCGATGACGAGAATGCGACAGTGCGATGACGAGAATGTGACAGTGCGATGGCGACAATGCGATAACGCGATAGTACGATGACGATAGAGCGATAGTGTTATCGCACTGTCGCCATCGCACTGTCGCATTGTCGTCATCGCACTATCGCATTGTCGTACTGTCGTCTTTGCATTGTCGCACTGTCGCCAACGCACTGTCGTCATCGCGTTATCGTATTGTCGACTCTCGCCTTCTGGTGAACGGTTCTAAACTGCTGGCGAATATATATTCTATATTTTCTAACATGTTTTTTTTTTCTCCGAGCCGTCTGATCTTGGTTCGCTAAGCATTAAGTTCATGCCTTGAAATTTTCCAAGAAAATGATAAGATTGAAAGACGGACATGTCTGTTTAAGATTTTAGCGTGTTAAAAGGAGAAATATTCAACTTACCATTAAATGTCCTGTCCCACATTCTATGTGTGACAGCAGTACCGTTAGAAATCGGTTGACCAGCCTCAATAGTTTCATTTAAAGCAAGCGCATATAACACAACAGCATCATGAAATGCCCCTACAAAATTGTTTACCTGAAAACAGAAAGTACAGAACATTCAACACATTAATTATCACGGGTAATATATGTTGTTCCTGTGGGACTGTATTTGTTCTTTGCATTGGATACGTCTGCTAAAAAAAACAATAAAAAACACCCTAAAACCGCGTTGTGTCATGTTCTTGGCATATCGTCTGGTCGCTTTGGCGTCTCGTCTCCTTCCTTCAGTGTATCGTTTCGTCGCGATTTAGATTTATCAGAGGTCATCAATGCGAAGAAACGATGGCCAAAACGGAACACCATAGTTGGCAAAATATGATATACAAGGAGCTTGAATGGTTGTTATTAGTTAACTATATACTATTCTGGATACGTACCAGAAATGTTTCATATCTACAATGGTTTCAAACGAAATCATTTTTGTTTCATAGGAAAGGGAATAAAGGGAATATTTGTTTGAAGTATCCTCCCCAAATATACATAAACACTAAGCAACACAGAATAACATGAAAAAAGATCATACTGACAATAATCTAACTTCAATAACAGAACCAACTGAACTACGTTTCCTCGTCAAAGTAATATGGGAACATTCCTTGATTCTTCTTTTAACTTCGTACGTGAAGACTTATACTCATAACTGGCTTGTTCCGCACACTTATTTCATAAAGTCATAAGCTTTTTTCCTTCCATGTTGTTTGTTCATCAGTATCATGACTCACGATACCAAGGTAGTTCTTCATATCGAGGTCACTGTCTCACTGAAAAAATACATTATTATATAACATTACAACATTACTTATGCACGATAATTAAACCCAAATCATTGTTTTTAGTTTAAAGTAAGAAATAAATATGTTTCCTTCTGAAAAGTTTGTTTTATAATGTTGTTATACTGGTTTTAAGACATTTGAGATGCTTATCACCTTCAGAAGACATGAATGTGAAATAATTTGTGATAAAGAAAGCAAAATGTAAAGAAGCAAACGATAGCCTATATGCATTTGACCAATGAGTAAACTTTTTGAAACAGTAACTGAACCCACAAAAAAATGCTATTTTAAGTCTTTAACTGCTCTAGAGGATTTTCTCCTACGCCACAAATATTTTAGTCACTAGAATATTTTGTAGTGGTGTCTTGCAATTAAAACTGGCGGTACACATTGCAAGAATTCAAAGAATGTTAGTCACGTTGATGTATAGAAGTTTTAGCAACAAACATATATGTTGCATTACTCACATCAATTAAATCAAACGTACATTTCAAAAATTCTATAACTGATGTATTTTATAGGTTTGACAAACATGCAGTTTATGTGCTTAGGTACATACCGATATTCATAATAATCCTTATTACCTTTGTCATCAGAATAAATTCATGAACTTCCGTTTAGTCAAACCATGCTCAGTACTACGGAAATTACACTCTTGTATTTACGCGCCGATTTCTTTTTAAAATCAAATGGACTGTTCAAATCTTAAAACAGGTAAGTCGATGGATAATAAATTCCATGCATAGATTTTTAATTGTTTATATATATGTAGGTATAATAGTCATACATGTACATAGCTTTATTATTCATCTGTAACAAGAGTTATCACCTGTTTTCCAAATGTATGTTAATGAATACATAGTCTCCCCTGTCCATTCCAAGCTTGTGTGTTTTGATCATCAGCTCTCTGGTAGAGTCAGGATTGCCACAAACAATAAATACTAAGAAAAGATATTTAACAAAATGATAGTAATAGGCATGATTTAAAACTTACGTGTAGCAGCGACGACATAAAATGAAAAGTTTACTAAAAACAAATATGTGCTTTGTAATTTTAGATTGTTTCACCGTGAAATTTTCCAAACAAAATTTCATTGTCTTCTGAAAAAACATGACAACGCTTATCATATGAGCCGCATCATGACAAAACCAACATAATGGGTTTGCGACCAACATGGATCCAGACCAGCCTGTGCATCCGCGCAGTCTTATCAGGATCCATGCTGTTCGCTATCAGTTTCTTGCGGATGCGCAGGCTGGTCTGGATCCATGCTGGTCGCAAACGCACTTTGTTGGTTTTGTCGTGACGCGGCTCATATGTTTTTTGCTTCCATTTGAAACAATTAAATTGTGTATGTTATATTGTCATGAAAACATGTTTCACTATTTTTATCTTCATAGTTTACATAGCATTTTATCGACAGGCACATAAAATATTCTCTAAATTTTCTTACAAAAGTGAATTCATGATAAAAACAGAACCTGATCCACTTTTCTAAGTGCTGGATAGTTTTAGATAAAAGTAATACGGATAAGGGGCATAATTCTGCAAACGTGCTTAGCAGGCTTACCTGCACTTGACCCTTGAAATGGTACTTTTTGAGAAATGTATCTTAAGATGCATGAATATCATGTTATTTGTATCTGAACAGCATACACGTGTACTAGTAATCAAATCCGAAAACGTTATATTAACAAATTTTATTTCTATATACAGACCAAGAGTTGATAAAGCTATACAAGGCTCATTTTAAGTAAAATACTTTTATTGTAGAAATTAATTGAAACTAATATATCTTATCTACCAAATTCTTACTGAATATGTCTAATTTGAATTATAGAATGCACAAACTGCAAGTGTATTGGAAGCTGCATTCCCAATTACTAGAAGTTGGCCATTTAAAAAGAACAAACTGCCAGTTTGTATCAAAACCAATGTCAACATTAATTAAGCATTTTTCATGATACTGGCACAAATAAAAAATAAAGTAATTTCACAGCAATAACAAAAACATTCCAGCTAGAAACCTACCTGTCGCTTTTGAAGATGCCGAACGTAATATATCCTCGAAGTCGGAGTTTTTGTCAAACTTTTGAGAATAAGGTGCAATGCCATAGCGGTTCATCAATTTGAAATAAATAGCCTGCATTGTAAAAAAGCATTCTGATTTCGCAGAGCTAACATTCTCTTCATAAATCAGTCCAATGTGAGTCCAATTAAAAACTTCAGTGAAATGAACGACACTTTCAGCTGTAAGCGTCTTAGTTTCGTGAATCCTTGTAAGTAATTTAAACTCGTTTTTAGTGTCAAAATCGACAACACTCGCACCTGCTGTTATAATTGGAATATTCCAGTTAGTGCTAAATCTAGCAACAGGGGCAACAGCATAATTACACACTGGTCCAAGAAGTACATGTGCTTTTTTCTGATATAATTCGAAGGCGGCCAAAGATGCTTTTGTCTCCGAGCAATCCGAATCGGCTACTAAAATCTCCAATCTTGTCCCTGGTAAAATATCATTTTGAACATATTCAATCGCTATATTAATTGCTGGCAGAACGCGCTGTATGCTCCATGGGTAATGTGAACTCTCAGGCAATATAACACCAATCTGAACTTCATTTGACAGGCACGGCTTAGCTAGACAAACTAACAGTGAAATCAGATAACTGGACTTGTAATCCATCTTGTTTATCTATATAAAATGATATAAAATAATGAATTTATTTGTTAGAAACACACCACAACGTGTCACGTGATTTATGTGCACACGTCACCAACGTCAATTCTCATAAGGCAATCATTGATAAGACCTCCGTCTGTTGTAAATCCCTCATCTAACAGGTCGAGATAACAAAATGACAACAATTTATGCCGTTATTATCCATGTAACCTTTCAAAAACTCATTATTTTTGCCCTTTTATATGTTTCATTTAGTTTGGTGCTACAAATGTCAATTAGGTAGAGTAATAGTCAGCAATAAAGTATACTGTTAAACAAAAGTTTGCTGACTATTATGACAAGAAAAACTGTTGACGCGATTTGAAGAAAAAGTATGAAAAATATCTAAACCACATTTGATTAGTCAAAAATATTGATAATGGCGTTGCAGCCAGCTAGCCGACCTTTTCAGTTTTGGAAGTTAAACTTCTTTTTATACAAACTATCAGATTTTTTTTATCACATGTATACTCGCGGGTTAATTGTTTGAACAATCATATGAGAAATTTCCGGTTCTTTAGTTAAGAGTTCAAATATCTGTGTGCATGTTAAGTAGCAAAGTTTGATTTCCCCCGTACAACATCAAAAACATCTCAAGGAAAACTCTATTAATTATTTATTCATATAATTTATAACTAACAGTACATGATATCAAAATCGGCACTAAATGTACTTTTGATATCACAATAATTACTATACAATTTGAAATACAGACGTAATATGCGATAAGAAATATTCATATATCTTACAACAAATGGAACTAACGACTGGGGCAATTATATGTTACCATTTTTATGGTCTTTAAACCAATCTGTTCACAGCCGTTTTTAAATCACCTGAAAGTTCTTAATTAAATATATTGAGTCTGAAACAAACAATTCGTGATGTATATTAATAGAGAACGCATTCTGAAACAAGGGCAACATTGTCGCAAAATACGCCCGTCATAAAAGCTTTTGGTGGACATGTGGGCATTATAGATATGCATAGCAATTAGCTCAAGTGTGACCTTGAACTTTGAACTGGATCATGTATGAAGTAATTCATTTAATGGCGGTGAACATTTCTATAAAGTATAATAAAAATTCGTCCATGCCTCCTGATAAAGTCCAGATATTTCATCATCTAAATAGTGACCTTGACCTTGCATAAATTGACCTAAATTACAAGTGGCATGGCGGTAGTCATGATAATGACCATTTGTGTTACAATCCCTCAAAATATGACTATATAGTCCCTATACATGTCTTCATTTTTTATCTGAACTTTGACCCCCATTTTTCAATTACCTCTGTGTGACATTGACTTACAGACCTGGTTCATGGGCGCGCCATAAATTCTCATAGAAGTGAACATCTCTATGAAGTTTCATTAAAATTCCCCCAGGCGTGTAGGAGATAATTTACGACAAAGTCCAGATATTTCATCATCTTTAGTGACTTATATCTTCCATATTTTTACCCATATTACAAGTGTCACAAATGTAGCCATTTGCGTTTCAATCCCTCAACAAATGATGACTAAATGGTCCTTATACACATTTTTATCTGAATTTTGAATTCTTTGAACAATTTTCAAAGTTGAATACCAAAGGAACATTTCTGTGAAGTTTTGATGAAATTGGCTTAGCAGTTTATGAGGAGATGTCGTTTAAAGTAAAAGTGTTTAAAGTAAAAGTTTACCGATGGACGCCAGACAAAAAGCGATCACAAAAGCTCACCATGTCACTTTGTGACAGGTGAGCTTTAAACAAGGGACCAAAAAGCCCTCCCCTGACAGAATGATTTTTGAACTCAAAATCAAGTAGCAATAGCTCAAACCTTTTTCTTTGAAAAGGAAGAGCTGAAAATGAAGACAAGTTTATATAGCACATAAATAATGAGCTTTATAGGTTTAGTAATCAGCTGGAGACAATAATCTCTATCATAATAAAGTTAAAACAGACATCACAAACAGTACTCTTTGTTGTTGTTTTTTATTCATATATAAAATTATGGTGAAACATCTATCCTTTATCATATTAACAGCTGAGCATAGCGTATCTCAATTGACCAGTGAGGATATATTTTAGATGACTTAACATAATAGAGATTTACATGAGAATGACAAGTACAAACTATAATATAAAACCTCTCAATATTACAATTTTATAATAGCTATATCTTCACTAAACAAACTGTTTGAGAAAGTCATTTTTATATGGATAATCTTTTTATATTTTACTGAATATTACAATTGTTAAATTTCTCAAAATTGGCTTTCTCTTTTCATATAAAATTTGAACAGCCTATTGTTTATGCAAGGAAATTTTAATATAAATTTTGTAAAAATTTATCTTCTTCTTTTCACCCATTTTCACTTGGCATGAGTAGATGTCTGTGTTCCAACACAGAAGACAGCCAGACCCAGATGTCTCAATACTTTATAGGTATAGACAAAGACATTTATTCTGGTTAATAACAAAATTATCTTTATCAAAACTACATTTTTGTTGGCTTTTATTTGGCACCAACACTATAAAGGTCATATGGTGACTTTCTAGCTTTACTGGCTTAGGCAGACTGTAGGTGCCCTCCGTGCATTATTTCAGGCACCTGAGTATAACCACTGACGTTCAGTTTAGCTTCCTCACATAAAATAATGCCAAGTCCCTGGCAGGATTCAAATCCATAGCAGTGAGGGGTGGAGATTTGAAGTAATATGAACTGAACCACTTGGCCACAGACAGCACACTCCATCAAACATTATGTTTCATACTTGTATGTTTTATAAACCAGACACATTTACATAAAAGTTTAATAGCACAAAGTGCTGATGCTGGCCTTAAATACTTAAATATCCAGTCTTATCAATCAACATATTTCAAAGCAAACCTGTAAAGAGAATACACACTATTTAAGCTTGTAACATTTAAAAATCTGAAGAAAAAATATTGTTTTTGATCTTATCACAGGATTTAAGTCTTAATGTTTTAATGAATATGCCTTGGAGTTATCAATCACCTAATTGTTTCAAGATTTAGTTTCCGGCATTTTCGGCAGATCTAACGTGTCCTCTGGTACCTGAAAGAATAAATAAACAAGATATGTTTGTAAAACATGTATGCCCCCTATCAGCAGCCAATTAGTCATGTGATAAGGTTATTATGCATGACGTCTGACCCAGTGATCAAACAATTAATAAAGGTTATGAAGTATCTACTGGTCATGACCTTGACCTTTGACCCCTTGACCCAAAACTCAATAGGGGTCATCTGCTGGTCACGACCAATCATCATACAAAGTTTGAAGTTCCTAGGCCTAGGCGTTTTTAGTAAATTGATCAGAAACCGTTTTTACCTACAAGGTCAATGTGACCTTGACCTTTGACCCCTTGACCCCAAAATCAATAGGGGTCATCTGCTGGTCATGACCAATCACCATGCCAAGTTTGAAGTTCTTAGGCCTAAGGGTTCTCTTATTATTGATCGGAAACCGTTTTAACATACAAGGTCAATGTGACCTTGACCTTTGACCCCAAAATCAATAGGGGTCATCTGCTGGTCATGACCAATCACCATGCCAAGTTTGAAGTTTCTAGGCTGAAGCGTTCTTTAGTTATTGATCAGAAACCGTTTTTACTTACAAGGTCATTGTGACCTTGACCTTTGACCCCTTGATCCCAAAATCAATAGGAGTAATCTGCTGGTCATGACAAATAACCATACCAAGTTTGAAGTTCCTAGGCCTAAGCGTTCTTGAGTTATTGATCAGAAACCGTTTTTACTTAAAAGGTCAATGTGACCTTGACCTTTGACCCCTTCACCTAAAACTCAATAGGGGTCATCTGCTGGTCATGACCAATCATCACACAAAGTTTGAAGTTCCTAGGCCTAAGCGTTTTTAGTTAATTGATCGGAAACCTACAAGGTCAATGTGACCTTGACCTTTGACCCCTTGACCCCAAAATCAATAGGTCATCTGCTGGTCATGACCAATCACCATACCAAGTTTGAAGTTCCTAGGCATAAGGGTTCTTAAGTTTTTGATCCGAAAGCATTTTTACCTACAAGGTCAATGTGACCTTGACCTTTGACCCCTCGACCCCAAAATCAATAGGGGTCATCTACTGATCATGACCAATCACCATCTCAAGTTTGAAGTCCCTAGGCCTAAGGGTTCTTTCATTATTGATCGGAAACCGTTTTTACCTACAAGGTCAATGTGACCTTGACCTTTGACCCCTTAACGCCAAAATCAATAGGGGTCATCTGATTGGTCATAACCAATCACCATACCAAGTTTGAAGTTCCTAGGCCTAAGGGTTCTTTTGTTATTGATCAGAAACCGTTTTTAATTAAAAGGTCAATGTGACCTTGACCTTTGACCCCTTGACCCCAAAATCTATACGGGTCATCTACTGATCATGACCAATCACCATACCAAGTTTGAAGTTCCTAGGCCTTAAGGTTCTTTAGTTATTGATCGGAAACCATTTTTGCTTTCAAGGTCAATGTGACCTTGACCTTTGACCCCTTGACCCCAAAATCATTAGGGGTCATCTACTGATCATGACCAATCACCATACCAAGTTTAATGTTCCTAAGCCTTAAGGTTCTTTAGGTATTGATCGGAAACCGTTTTTACCTACAAGGTCAATGTGACCTTGACCTTTGACCCCTTGACCCCAAAATCAATAGGGGTCATCTACTGATCATGACCAATCACCATACCAAGTTTGAAGTTCCTAGGCCTTAAGGTTCTTTAGTTATTGATCGGAAACCGTTTTTTGCTTTTAAGGTCAATGTGACCTTGACCTTTGACCCCTTGACCCCAAAATCAATAGGGGTCATCTACTGGTCATGACTAATCACCATACCAAGTTTGAAGTTCCTAGGCCTTAAGGTTCTTTAGTTATTGATCGGAAACCGTTTTTGCTTTCAAGGTCAATGTGACCTTGACCTTTGACCCCTTGACTCCAAAATCAATAGGGGTCATCTACTGGTCATGACCAATCACCATACCAAGTTTGAAGTTCCTAGGCCTTAAGGTTCTTTAGTTATTGATCGGAAACCGTTTTTTGCTTTCAAGGTCAATGTGACCTTGACCTTTGACCCCTTGACCCCAAAATCAATAGGGGTCATCTACTGGTCATGACCAATCACCATACCAAGTTTGAAGTTCCTAGGCCTTAAGGTTCTTTAGTTATTGATCGGAAACCGTTTTTGCTTTCAAGGTCAATGTGACCTTGACCTTTGACCCCTTGACCCCAAAATCAATAGGGGTCATCTACTGGTCATGACCAATCACCATACCAAGTTTGAAGTTCCTAGGCCTTAAGGTTCTTTAGTTATTGATCGGAAACCGTTTTTGCTTTCAAGGTCAATGTGACCTTGACCTTTGACCCCTTGACCCCAAAATCAATAGGGGTCATCTACTGGTCATGACCAATCACCATACCAAGTTTGAAGTTCCTAGGCCTTAAGGTTCTTTAGTTATTGATCGGAAACCGTTTTTGCTTTCAAGGTCAATGTGACCTTGACCTTTGACCCCTTGACCCCAAAATCAATAGGGGTCATCTACTGGTCATGACCAATCACCATACCAAGTTTGAAGTTCCTAGGCCTTAAGGTTCTTTAGTTATTGATCGGAAACCGTTTTTGCTTTCAAGGTCAATGTGACCTTGACCTTTGACCCCTTGACCCCAAAATCAATAGGGGTCATCTACTGGTCATGACCAATCACCATACCAAGTTTGAAGTTCCTAGGCCTAAGGGTTCTTTAGTTATCACTCGGAAACCATTTGGTCTACGGACCGACGGACCGACAAGTGCAAAGCAATATACCCCCTTTTTTTCAAAATGGGGGCATAATCACATGTCATTTGGTTTATTGACCTTATATCTGACATTGTATAGGCAGTGGTTTTTTTCCCCAATTTTCAAAACAACCTGTGGCTTTCTGAAGGGGAAGATATAGCGCAATAAATAAGAAACAGGGAGTCAAATTCCAATGACTGAGAATGAAATTTACCCATACATTTTATAAATTTTCAATTTCAATTCAATTTAACATGCATGGTACATAGGGATATATCATATACATAGGGTACATGGCAATAGGGACAGCTTTCTGTCTTCTAGCTGATGTAATAAGTCAGATGCTGTTAAGAAATGGTTCTAGTGAAGAAGTGCACAGGGAATTTCAGGGGAAAATATTAGCTTTTTTTAGGGGAAAATATACCTATTTTGAGCTAGGGGTTCAGCTGTTAAATACAGGAAGAAAATCACTGATAGGACATATGGATGTTCATCACTACACATATATTATATATTTACATCATAAAGAGCTTAGTCATTTTTTAAAAAGGAAATATTTGAAATCATGTTGAAATGATAATTATATTTAGATTGTGTGATAAAAGTTAACTGTTACATTATAAGGTTAGTAGATATTACTGAGTACAATACTGAATTTTATTGAACAAGTACACAGCTGTTCAACATATATTGATGGAGGCACTAGCCATAGCCAAATCTGATCTAGATTTTGCAGTTGTGTACCAGTCCAACAGAATCAGTATTTGTACTCAACAATGAGTAATGACCTCTTTATTTCACATTTTTGACATTTTTAACAAAACTTCCGATTCAACTTCAGTTATTTCCAAGACAATAAGGAATTGATATGATTTTTTTTACCCTGATAATGAAAATGAGACTAGATGGAGTACAATATGCATTTGATATAGATATTTTGGATTCTGAAAATGAAAATGAGGCTATATAAAATGGAGTACTATATATATATATTTGATATGGATTTTCTGGAAACTGGAAATGGAAAAGAAGATTAATTAATAAGATTGGATTTGATAATAATTTCTATTAGAACATCTCATGCTTTAAACGCTGAAAATTCATTGGATATAATTATTCCATAAGGCGAAAAATAATCACCTTAATTTTAAGCTGTACAGGGACTCTTGCATCTTCCATATCTTCCAGGTTTTCTATTGCTCTGTAATATAGTTAATCAAAATATTTTACTATGCAGCTAAAAGGTACAAAATCACATTATATAATAACAAGAGCCATGTTAGCATGGCCATCCCCCGCCGAATGTGTTTGCTGATTGGAAGAATGTATATGTAGTAGAGCAGAATAATTCAATTTAAAGAGGTCTTTTAGTAATGAAAACTGATGGCTGAAGTGGTTACAGATTTGAAACCAATGTGAATACTGATGGCTGAAAATAACAAAGGACAATATTAACTGCAAAATAATGCAGGGTAGGTTATCATTCTTGCGCACTGCACTCCTCCTCAATGAGATCTATCCACCTATGAAGTTTCAAGTTGATACCTCTAACACTTTTTGAGATAAGCTCCGGACAAAAGAATGAAAAATAACAAAAGGCAATAACTCAAGAATTAAAAAGGGTAGAGTTACCATTCTTGCACACAGCATTCCTCCTCAATGAGATCTATCAACCTATGAAGTTTCATGTTGAAATCTCAAAGACTTTTTAGAGTTATGCTCCAGGTGAAAAATTAAGTATGAAAAATAACAAAGGGCAATAACTCAAAAATTATGAATGGTAGAGTTATCATTCTTGTGCACTGCATACTTCCTGAGTGAGATCTATCCACCCATGAAGTTTAATGTTGATATCTCAAAGGCTTTTTGAGTTATACCCTGGACAAATATTAAGTTTGAAAAATAACAAAGGGCAATAACTGAAAAATTATATAGGGTAGAGTTATCACTCTTGTGCACTGCACTCCTCCTCAATATGATCTATCCACCTATGAAGTATCAAGTTGATACCTCAAATACTTTTTGAGATAGGCTCCAGACAAAAATGTCAGACGCAAGGACAGACGGACTGAGACCATTTCTATATCCTCGCCGCCTTTCAGCTGGGGGTAATAAATGTTACTCTAGCTGACACAATTATGCATCAATAGTAAGGGTGGGTTCTGAATTTATTTGCCTATCAGTAAGACAATATGTGAAATAACTTTGCTTTATATTTGGTATATTTTTGATATTTTAATAAAAGTTGGGACTTTAGGGTCAAACCATATGCATGTAATTACTACTGTCACATCTGACAGTTTAGACTGTTGCCATGTGTATTCAGACAATTGCCCATAGACAGATGCCCCTTTTTGCCCACTCATCTTTGGAAGCCACTTGCCCCCTTTTCCCATTCAAATCTATGGAAGAGGCAGACATTTGCCCCTGGACAGATGCCCCTTTGCTCATATCTTTTGAAGAGACAGACATTTGCCCCTGGACAGATGCCCCCTTTGCCCTCTCATCTTTGGAAGACATTCACACCTTTGCTTACTCATATCTTTGAAATAACAGACATTTGCCCCTGGACAGATGCCCCCTTTGCCCACTCATCTTTGGAAGACATTTACCCCCTTTGCCCACTCATATCTTTGGAAGAGGCAGATATTTGCCCCTGAACAGATGCCCCTTTGCCCACTCATATCTTTTGAAGATGCAGACATTTGCCCCTGGACAAATGCCCCCTTCGCCCACTTATCTTTGGAAGACATTTGCCCCCTTTGCCCACTCATATCTTTGGAAGAGACAGACATTTGCCCCTGGACAGATGCCCCCTTTGCCCACTCATCTTTGGAAGAAATTTGCCCCCTTTGCCCACTCATATCTTTGGAAGAGGCAGACATTTGCCCCTGAACAGATGCCCCTTTGCCCACTCATATCTCTGGAAGAGGCAGACATTTGCCCCTGGAAAGATGCCCCCTTTGCCCACTCATATCTTTGGAAGAGGCAGACATTTGCCCTTGGACAGATGCCCCCTTTACCCACTCATCTTTGGAAGAAATTTGCCCCCTTTGCCCACTCATATCTTTGGAAGACATTTGCCTCCTTAGCCCACTCATATCTTTTGAAGAGGCAGACATTTGCCCCTGAACAGATGCCCTTTGCCCACTCATCTTTGGAAGGGGCAGACATTTGCCTCTGGACAGATGCCCCCTTTGCCCACTCATATCTTTGAAAGGGACCAATATTTGCCCCTGGACAGATGTCCCCTTTGCCCACTCATATGTTTGGAAAAGACAGACATTTGCCCCAGTGTATTAAATAAATAGCCCTAAATTGCTCATCAAGAGTCCAACTTTTTAGGTTCACAATCTTAGTTTTGTTATGAAACTACAGTCATGCTTCTAGTTCAAACTTATTTTCTATATAAAATTCAAATTGATTGAAATTAAATAAAACACAAACAAAACGCATAGTGGACTGTGGTCATATGAGCTAATGAAAGTAAACATTCTGTTGACAAACAACAGACACCTTTCTTCCTCTCTAATTGCTTTTTCCAGCTGAAGTTGTTGATTGGTTAACATTTCTAACTCTGCGTTTAATTCATCTGTTTGTGCTTTGATTTTGCTGTAATTTCCATGTCTTTTATGAGGTACTCTAATGGTGTGCATCTTTGCTTTCAGTCTGAAATGAGACAATAAGACACATGGTGAATACAATAGCTTGAGATGTCCCTATGCTTTGATCATCACAGCTATTAAAAAGATTAGCTATACGAATTTGTCACTAAAATCTTATTAATTAAAGGCTTATATATGAATTGTAAGTGGTTTACATTATGTCAATTTCATATAAATGTCACAGAAAAATTTTTGCCTTGCCAAAGGACTGATAGAACCCTTCTCAGACCTTTCATTTGAAAAAAATAAATTACCCACAAACATTGACAAACAAATATGTTGTGGTGAAATTCTTATTGTATCCACTAATCTGATACCTAGGATTGGACAGGTCAGGGATCTATGCATTGAACCAGCTACCATTGCTAATCCCATGCTTTGCTTATTGATATAGGGGGCAATGAAATTATATTATATCAAAATATTTCATTGTAGCCAAATAATATTTGAATGCAAAGTGAAAGAATAAATCATAAATGGGCATAAATTGCGTCACAAAATGTACATGATTACAGGAAGCAAAAACATGTAAATATCTGGACATATCATGTTAAGAACAATATCGACAGAACTGCATGTATTTATCAAAATGAACATTGTGGCATTACGCGGCTTCAAATGACATATCCAATTAAGATCATGAAATCAGTAAACAAATATTTATTGTTCTGTATGCAAGATCAAATTATATTTCACTTTTGAACACAAGTAGTTATATGAATTCACTTGTGGTTATTGCCAGTCCTGAAAATATTGCAGCTGATGTTAAATCTGTCAATTATATTTCAATCATATAAGAAAAGTTAAAAAGTAATCCTCTATATTATTATACAATAAAATTTAACATTTTAAACCATGCCTTTTCAAAGTAAACAGTGCATCATAAAACCTTGTCTAGAAAATTTGTGTTACCCTCATGGCTAGCCTTGTCTAGAAAATTTGTGTTACCCTCATGGCTAGCCTTGTCTAGAAAATTTGTGTTACCCTCATGGCTAGCCTTGTCTAGAAAATTTGTGTTACCCTCATGGCTAGCCTTGTCTAGAAAATTTGTGTTACCCTCATGGCTAGCCTTGTCTAGAAAATTTGTGTTACCCTCATGGCTAACCTTGTCTAGAAAATTTGTGTTACCCTCATGGCTAGGTACATGTATGTGTTACAAGCAAAACTAAGATACCCATTGGAACCATATACTTACTGTAATTTTAACTCATTTAACAGTGTCTGTACATCATCATTGTCTGAAAACTTTGGTTTACTACCTACCGTTCTGAAAGATAAATTAATGGTTTGTTTATTATAGCTAGCCTATTATAATGAAAAATAAAACAAAGGCTATTTGTGCAGTAAAGTTAAAGGTTGGTTCCTTGTTTTAGTATCATTGTAACAGACAATGCAATATCAAATACTGCTGGACTCTGTATAGGTACTGATCTGCTTGTTCTACTTCTCCAAAAGTTTAACTATTAGTAATCTGAGTGAAGACATCTTGCTTTTTTATGTGCAGGCAATACCACCATCTCTAGCAAGATTCTCATATAAAACTGAAACATCATAAGACTTTGATGCAACATTTCATCATTATCATATTTACATTACTAATTTTAAACTGATGGTGTTGTAACTATCTAAGCTTGTCTGATGAATTAAAGAAATCAGTATCTGGGAATGACTTGTGTAAAGCATATTGTTGTTTCAACCTAATCATCACAGAAAAGACCTAGTTACAAATACATGTACTAAAGATTCATGAATCACAGGTTTTTAAAGAAAAGAACTTCATCATCATCATCAGCAGTAGCAGCAGCAGAACTATCAATATTATTATTAGCAGCAGCAGTATCACTACCACACCTCTAGCAATCATTATCATCATCATCATCATCAACAGCACTATATTGTTACTAGCATCATCATCATCATTACAAATATCATAATGAGTTTACCGTACACTACTGTCAATCAAATGATAGAGGTAATCTTTCAGCTGTTTCCCCATTGGTTTCCAGCTCTTTGTCTGTTTCCCAGTAAACTTGTAGTAATTCACATTAGAATCAGCTGCTGAAATCCGATAAAATGTTGAACAGCTGGGTGAGATAAAATTGATGTTCTGGTAACAGCATTTAACACAGGACATGAAGATATTACAATTGAATTGCCCATCACACAAGAATGCTACCAATTCAAAATGTAACTGCAAAACCTGTTTTAACCCAGTATGATGAAAAGAGTAAGCAACTTTACTGGAAACCTAATTATCACATTGTCTTGGCATGTAAATTACTTTCAGGAATTTCATTAAATAAAGAAATGCCATTGTCACATTTTAAATACAAATAAATTAAATAACTAAGGTAAAGAAATAAATTATAAAATGGACCAGAAAATTTCTGAGAAAGAAAAACAACAGCTTACCACTGCTTTAGTGGTCAGAACGCTTCTGACTGTTTTTGTTGTCAATTCTTTACACATTCAATGTTCGTTTAAGTTTTATGTCATAAACATGTCAATTAATACAGCACTTGCTAATAGCAATTTAGATACAGAATAAGATATAAATAACACTAGCTGATAAATCTATGTTGGCAAAAATGCCAAACGAATCCAAATAGTTATGTGATTATAATAATTGCCTAATTTTAAACAGGAAAAGTGATCATATAGTAGATATTAGTATTACCCACAATGGAAATTCAGATACCAGAAATAAATAGTGGTAAATAGTACAAATTTCAAATGAACCTTGTAAACTTGGTTATCTATTACACATGTACGATGTAATAGGCTCAATGAGAATAAGTGTATAATATCTATCAGTAATGATCTTTTAACAAAGTTTTACAGATATATACATTGTAGTTCCAAACTTCTGATGGGAGATAACTCAGTTAAGCATCTCAGTATGAACACAATTTATACTTACCAGCAGTTCCAATAGTATACTGTTTACTCCTCATATCTGACAAAGATTTTGGCTGTTTTCTACCGCCAGCAGGTTTCGTCTGCTGCTTAGTTATTCCTGATGCTGGACTTGTATTCCTTAAATATAAAAGAAATTTCAAAAAAAAAAATGGAAATAATGTTGATCTAATACTAGAGGTGCAAAGATTCATTCTGATGTATCAAAAACCGGTCTTGTGGGTGCCGTTTCGATTTCCAATATCAAATATGACAATTTGGATTCACAACTGAAAATAAGCACGAAAAATTAGAGTTTTAGTCCCCCTCTGACTAGTTTACTGCTTTAATACATGTATGAAATACGATTGTTTATTTAACTTAGTCATTCATTGTTTTGCTGAAACTCGTCCCTTACTATTAATTTAATAGTTGTTGATAATAAATGTTTGTTTCATGTATTGTTCTTTGTTGTTCAAGTTTAAAAGAAAATGCTTGTTGATAATAAGGCCTAAAAAAAAAAATTGTTTTGTTCGGGTCACCCGACCCTACCTAATAATATACGCCGACCCTACCGTTTTTTTCGTGTCCAAAAAAAAAAAAATCGATGAAAATACCGTATTATTGAGGTACGGTACGGTACAGGTTTTATCGTCGCTCTTAGTTACAAAATGGCGGATCACATCGTCAATATTTGTAAAACGGCGTGTGATCTTCACCAAACGGCAGAACGCCGAGAGTTTAAGATTGTTACACCTAAAATGTCTTTTGAAAACATAGAAGGGATGTATTTGTGCCACCCGGGAGGGATGTCAGAAATTTCCATATCTACATTTCAATATACTGGTGAATAAAAAAAAAATAAAAAAAATAAAAAAATCCGACCTACCCTACCTATCTCTTGAGAGCATGTTACTCTAACTAAACAATTTTTTTTTTTTAGGCCTAAGCAGATGAAAATCTTTTTCAGTATTTGTATACTATGTTTTGTTTAATAAAGTTTATGTTCTGTTCTATTTGTTTTGATTACTACTATTTAAAAAGCCTCATTAAATTACACTAGAACTCCTCGAGTCGGATGTGTCGCCTTGTGAACAATATAGTTTAGGAGAAATGGCCAGGACAAAAATGAAATAAGAAAACTAACAAAGGGCAATAGCTCAAAAAATAATAAGTGCAGAGCAGCAGTTTCTATGCACTGCACTTTTTATCAATAAGATCTATCATTCTATTAAGTTTCAAGTCCATATCTTTTATAATTTATGAGAAATGGCCTGGACAAAAGTAAAATATGAAATTATATATAAAGGGTAATAACTCAAAAATAAGAAATGCAGAGTACCGGTTCTTGTACACTGCACTTTTTCTTAATGAGATCTATCATCCTATGAAGTTTCATGTCTATAGCTTTCATACTTGAGGTGAAATGACCTGGACAAAAATAAAGAAAATTAACAAAGGGCAATAACTCAAAAAATAAGAAATGCAGAGTACCGGTTCTTGTGCATTGCACTTCTTCTTAATGAGATCTATCATCCTATGAAGTTTCAAGTCCATAGCTTTTATACTTTTGAAGAAATGGCCTGGACAAAAATAATGTATGAAAATTAACAAAGGGCAATAACTCAAAAAATAAGAAATGCAGAGTACCGGTTCTTGTGCACTGCACTTCTTCTTAACGAGATCTATCATCCTATGAAGTTTCAAATACATAGCTGTTATACATTAGGAGAAATGGCCTGGACAAAAATAAAGTATGAAAATTAACAAAGGGAAATAACTCAAAATTCAGGAAGTGCAGAGTACCGATTCTTGTGCACTGCACTTCTTTTTAATGAGATCTATCATCGTATGAAGTTTCAAGTCCATAGCTGTTATACATTAGGAGAAATGGCCCGGACAAAATTAAAGTATGAAAATTTACAAAGGGCAATAACTCAAAAATTAAGAAGTGCAGAGTACCGGTCCTTGAGCACTGCACTTCGTGTTATTGAAAGTAGCATGCATACCAAGTTTGAAATCAATCCAACTTAAAGTGACTGAGTTATGCTCTGGACAAGCTTTAGGGGACACTGCCGCCGACAACGACGCCGCCGATAAAAGTAATCCCTATATGTCGCCTTTCAAGGCGACACAAAAAAATCATAAATTTAATTATTCAATTAATTCTCTCATTCCTTTATTTCATTCATTTTTGAAATGCTATTACAGTGTAAGAAATTTGGATTTGAATCCACTAGGCTGGTCGGACTACCAGACTGGAATATTCACTAGCCCAAAAGACATTTCACTAGCACGATTCATTTGTTCAAAAGAGTTGTTTATATATTGCCTCTGAAAATACAGTAGCCTGATTGGGCTTGTTACTGTGAAAAGTTGGTAGCCCAAGGAGAAATTTAGTAGTCAGGAGCTAGTAAAGGTACTTGACTTATTATTAACTAAATATGGAGCCGATTTGGTAAAGGGCCGAAACGTCCGGGGCCGAAACGTCTTGGGTAATTTGAGGTTGATAATCTTGGGGCCGAAATGACTCGAAATCAAAACAAGAGCTGTCAGTAGGACAGCAACGCTCAACTATTTTTAGTGCTTGATAGTAAAAAAAATGCTTGATACAGTTACCTCCTCCTGTTTACAGGTTGGGGTCATGATGGTGAACAAGTGTGCAAAGTTTCAAAGCCATATGTCAATGGACTTTGAAAATATTTGAACTATTACAAAAACTTTAACATAAATTCTAAGTCGAAAAAGGGGCATAATTCTGTCAAAATGCTTGATAGAGTTACCTCCTCCTGTTTACAGGTTGGGGTCATGATGTTGAACAAGTGTGCAAAGTTTCAAAGCCATGATGTCAATGGACTTTGAAAATATTTGAACTATAACAAAACTTTAACGTAAATTCTAAGTCAAAAAAGGGGCATAATTCTGTCAAAATGCTTGATAGAGTTACCTCCTCCTGTCTACAGGTTGGGGTCATGATGGTGAACAAGTGTGCAAAGTTTCAAAGCCATATGTCTATGGACTTTGAAAATATTTGAACTATTACAAAAACTTTAACATAAGTGGTTACGCCGACGCGGACGCCGACGCTCGGGTGACTGCAATAGCTCTACTTATTCTTATCGAATAGTCGAGCTAAAAAGGGGCATAATTCTGTCAAAATGCTTGATAGAGTTACCTCCTCCTGTCTACAGGTTGGTGTCATGATGGTGAACAAGTGTGCAAAGTTTCAAAGCCATATGTCTATGGACTTTGAAAATATTTGAACTATTACAAAAACTTTAACGTAAATTCCAAGTCGAAAAAGGGGCATAATTCTGTCAAAATGCTTGATAGAGTTACCTTCTCCTGTCTACAGGTTGGAGTCATGATGGTGAACAAGTGTGCAAAGTTTCAAAGCCATATGTCAATGGACTTTGAAAATATTTGAACTATTACAAAAACTTTAACATAAGTGGTTACGCCGACGCTCGGGTGACTGCAATAGCTCTACTTATTCTTATCGAATAGGCGAGCTAAAAAGCCCTGCTAATTTAAGTTCGTAGCTTCCTACACGTTGTATCTGTGCATTTGTGGTTTACATGGGCCGTTCAAGATGGGGATAGGATCTGACCACCACCCTCCCAATTGTCTTAGGTAACGTAGAAGTCTTATCATTATAATAAGGACTAGAGCAGATATATACATGGCCTAAAAATAAAATTCAGGTTTGACAGTTTTGCCCACAGACACTTGGAGTATGGACCCTGCCCTTCTCCGCCTCTGAATATTGAAAACTAAAAGTATTGTTTATTACAAGAATTAGTTTTAAATTTGTGCTTATATTAGCATGAGACGGTTAAGTGTCTAACACGTGAACAAGTTTGAATAGAATTTCATAACGTTTTAAAAAAGTCAATTTTTTACCAACGCTTCAATTTCCTGAAGATACCAAGCTTCGAAATGTAAACACAACTGACCTACATATATTTCAGGTATTTATGTTATCGCATGCCATTTATTTCTGGTGTAAATCAGTCTATGCATATATTCCTTTAATAAATAAATGCATGTTATTTTCAGATCGTACCTTTCTTCCAACTTCCAAGCTTTGCACATTTAATTACATTTTCCTAACCGTGTCACAAGCTTCTTTACGAATTCATGACGACTGGAATGTTTCCCGTAAGTTACAGCAGGAAAATCGGTGGAAAAAATAAATTCTATCGCAACTACTCGACCCTTTCCGTCAGTGTTCTTGATTTGGTTTCTGTACTGATTAGGGGAAGTAACCGCTGCGGGGTTTTGGTTCTCGGCATGAAAATGAAAGCGCAAAACAGTGCCCAAACACATTCCAGTCGTCTCACATCAAAGGAAAGCGTACGTTGTTATCTTTATGAAATTATGATATTTTAGGGACTTTTTTAAACCACAGGGGATTCTGTCATATTTTTTTTCCTTTCCCACTATATATATAACAAGGGATACAACTCAAAATTGCTCAATTCAGGAAAAAGTAAATACATGGGTGCAAGTTAAAATTTTTGAAAAACCTGAACTATTTGTTTGGGGGCCAGGGGGCCGCAAGGGCCCCCGGTGGGTCCAGGGCAACGCCCGGCCAGGGGTCCAGGGGGCCGGAGGTCCCCGGAAGCTCCTGCATTATAGCACATTTAAAGGCCTAAAATTCAATTCCCTTGAATGATTACATGCCAGATAACATACATACTGTAGTATAGTATTTTCACTTTAAATATTGCTCACATAATTATTTTCTTCTTTTCTCTCTCTTTTTCTTAATTATATAAACAAAAACATTTCAACACAAAAAGAAATGTGCATTCATATATTGGTTCCACTATTTAATATTGTGGTTCCAACAGTAAAGAGTGATAAAACAAACCAATATATAAATAAATTGAAAATTGAGTTGATTTGTACCGAGTTTACGTTTTAATTAGGGCTGAGCTGACCCCGATTCCATACAAACAATAAATTGTTTTCAAAAAAGATAATTAAAACAAGCCTGGTTATGTTTCACAGTAAGTTTGTTTTTCATATGGTTTGGATCGTCTGCGTGCATTTAATTCTTTTTTTTTCCCGCTGGATCCATACTTGAAGCTTGATGGATTTTCTACATACAGTGCAGAAAGCTACGCCGGGAACGTCTGGCTTTTCCAGCCAGTTTCCGTAGTTATCCCCGTTTCGATCACATACAAACAACCATTCCCATCTCCATTTATTTTTTGAGGTTTTCTCGATATCTTTTGTATTAAATCCTTCGTGTAGAAACTTCATTTTGACTAACAAATTGTACAATTACTTTCTGTTTACATATTACTCTGTAGCCGAATCGGTAACGAAGCCGCTTTTTCATTGGATGATTATAATTAGCGCGCCAATCTAAATTGTTGTAATAAATTCACGGATAAAATTGCATGCCGGGATTAATAATACATGTTTTCGTAAACATTTCGTATATCTTCGGAAACTATCGGCAGTTTCCGCGAAAGTTTACTATTGACGCTTCGAGAACAACCGTGAGCATCCGTATGTTATATAGCGTTCTCGATTATGAACTTCTAATCGGTGGTACTTCTCAGTTTGAAAGAGTAGACCCGCACCATACCCCTCCAAATATCTCAACGGATTTACGTGATTTGCAAAAATGATCCCTTCGGCACGTGAAAAACCGGAACTTCCGGCACATGCCGGAAAACTTGCACCCATGTAAATACAACGCAGTATACAACAGTTTTTTTTCTTCTGATTGTTGGACATTGATGAAAGAATCGATAATTTCAAAAAAAATGACTCACTTTGTTACATGGACAAGATATTATTAAAAATAACCTTTCATGTTTCATTTTTACACACATTCGTAAAATTTCGGTTTGTAAAATTACATGTGTTAAACGACATCTTATGCAAACGTATGCTCATATAAGAAAGTTTAATCAAGTAATCGGTTAAATATCAATTATCTACCCAGAGCTCCAGATAATTTTTTTGGCCAAGGGGTTTTTACCCCTCAAAATTTAGAGTGAGGGGTAAAATGCAAATTCTGAAAAACTTAAGGGGTAAAATCTGTCAAAAAAGCATTTTGCATTTTTTATAAACAAATTAGACTTATTGCTTTGTTTGTTTGTTTGTTTATTTTCTTTTTTTTAGAAAAACCTTTACAAATTAATACTGATTTAATGTGAAAACAATACAAAACATGCCATGTAAAGTCAGACTTTTCCAGAGTATACTGGAATCAAGTATTAGGATACGCAGCAAAATTATCAGGGCTTCCATTTTCAAAATTTGGGAAGTCAAAGACTTCAAAATCTCTGATATTGGAAGTCACATTATATAAGGTAAAGAAGGAAAAGTATTGATTTTCGGAAGTCACAGGCCAAAATGAAGGAGTAAATGACTCCCAAACTTCCACTAGTGGAAGCCCTGAAATAATTTTATTTTCTAGGAGTCAATATTTTTCTTTCTTTAATCCTGTTGGCATGTACCTTATCATGTACTCCAGTTTGAACAATTATAGTTGAAATTAGAATTAAAGAAATAAAAACAAGATTTTTTTTATCTTTCCTTTAAAAAAAAGTATTGGTCTGAGAGAAAATTGTCCGTAACTGTAGACTGGGTACGAAAATATTGAGTACAAAACTACAGGTGAAAAACATGTTATTTTGTTCCATCAACAAAAGTTAAAGAAATTAAAATATATTATTGTTTATATTGAGGCATAAGCATGTCAATAGATGCCTAAACAAACTAAATACTGTGTTTACTCCTACAATGATTATCTGGCACAAATTTCATCAATAATTTCACAGGTTGATCTACGGGAGTTACCTCCCTTCTGTATTTCCTTTAACATGCGTTGTTGACAACAGAATTTTTACTTTTCAATGCAATTAAAGGGAAATATATTGTATTTTTATGCTCAAAACATTTTCTTTCTACATATCAAATGTTTACACTTCTATTCTTTCACGCATAAATTTTGACATACGAGCGTATTTTCATTTTGTTGTGCGTAACTGTGACGCACGAATTTTGAAAGTGATGCGTATTTTAGATTTTCTATGCGTATTTTACGCTTATACGCACGCTATCTGGAGCTCTGCTACCACCATCAATGATGCAATCATTAACTTCTGGTACAAATTATTGTAACAATTTATGTTTGTTTTGATAATTTCTATCCTCGGCTTCCATTTTGATGTTGCCCGTATGTTCCAATGCATAAATCCAACTTCTGTTAGTAACTGTCAATTTCATTGGCTAATGAATAATAATAATCCGGATATTAACGGCATATAGCCGCGACGAATAGCGGTTTTTTCATCAGCCAATGAAAATACTCGGAACATAAACACACCTGCAAAATGGACGACAAATTGACAGCCAATGTAAATATTGAAATGTTAGCTATTTCCTGCAATGTTACAGGTTTTAATTAAGTGTTTGTAGTAGAACTTGGGTAATGATTTGTTCATATATTAACTTCTACAATAACTTTGATGGAAAAGAGGATATTTTATACAGTTTACACGTGTGAACAGGTGAATGCATTTTACGAAACCGTGCTGATAGTGCGAGGCCACGACTTGTATCCCTTGTTTATATTATATATAGATCTATCTAGATTTAATAAAATAATGACAGATTTCCCTGTGTTTTAAACGTGGTTAAAATAGCGGAGTTCAAGACATGTGACCAGGTCGTAATAATATGCAAACATATTTTGACGTACGGTTTGCACGATAAAAAATAGGCATGGTGTATACAAGTGCGGATACAAGTTGCTGCACAACATAAATTTGATTTGTCAAATATAAAATTTATCACTTTGGTCGAGAGATGGTACCGTTCGAGGGATGGTATCAAAAGGCTAACCCTTTGCCAGTTGTTTACAGCTGTTTAAAGTGTATGAATGCAAAATTTGACAAATCCTTGACAAAACAGCTTTACGCTCGTAAGATAAAGCACAACTAAATACAACTTTCGTACACATTTTTCTTTCCTTTTGCCTGTTTCTTCTCCTTTACTATCCGATTTTTGGTCTTCGCCATTTTCAACGCTGTCAAATTTTCCCGCGATTTTCTTCTTTGCTATTCCGCTTCCGGGTTTGTTTAAAAAAGGAAAAGATTTAATTTAAGCGGAAAGGCGAGTACCACTAAAATATGCAATGGAGTTTTTTTTAGCGCAACGGGCGCAACAAACAAACGGCAAAGCACCTTATTTTCAATACGTAATATTTGAGCATCTTAAATAATTGTTTAGCACTGGAAAGTCAGTTTGTTTTAAAATGTTTCATACATGTGTATACCTGTCGAAATGGCAACGGAGATCAGTTGAGCAAAATGGGCACAACGTATGTACTTATATGATATTGATTAAAATTAAGGTTATTTGAATAAATAAATAAATAAATAAATAAATAAATAAATAAATAAATAAATAAAAAAACAGTATAAAAACCATAATCATATATCAAATAGCTGCGATTTTGATGTTTTAAAGGATTGTGTGCCGGAGAAATGGACAATTTGTCTGCGCAACGGATATTTTTAGTATAGGGGACACCTTGTACGCTGTTAAATAAATCACAATTAGTAAACTAAAATGAATATTCAAATGAACAGTTTTCAACTTGTTATGTTTTGAAAGATTATATATCATGCCAAAAATCCTCTCTGTTTTTTGTTTGATTTTTTTTGTTATCCTTTTTAGCTCACTTGAGCTAGCTCAGGGTGAGCTTTTAATTAGGATCGTTGAATGTCCGTAGTCCGTCGTCTGTAGTCCATCGTCGTCCACACTTGTTGGTTAACACTCTAGCGGTCACATTTTTGCGTCAATAATCATCAAACTTTGTCCGGATGCTTATCTAGGTAATATCGGAGGAAAAACAAGGTCACATATGAGCTAAAAGTAGAAAAACCTTGTTAACACTCTAGCGGTCATATTTTTGCCTCAATCATCATCAAACTTTGTCAGGATGCCATTCTAGGTAATTGCTCGGATAAGCTCGAACATGGGTCATCTCAAATGAAAAATTGTTCGGGTGAGTTCGATGGATCAGGTGAGCGATCAAGGGCCATCTTGGTCCTCTTGTTTTTTGTTGTTTTTTTGTTTTTGTTTTTTGCAACGGAATTTGAAAAGAGCAAATAGTAATTTGAAGAATTAAATCAATAAAGATATTAACTGAAGTGGTATAATGAAAGTCTGTTTTATTATTTAAACAAGAGCTGTCACGCAAGTGACGGATGCCCCCGAAGAGGTTTCTTAAGCATTGCAGGTTTTATGAAAAGTAAAAAGAATGAAAGTAACTAATTGCTGAATATTGTTCTTGTGAAATGAAATGCTATTTATAGCAAACTTAGCACCTTGGGACAAGATTTTTTGATGAGACACAACATCTTGATTTGGTAGACATTTATGCCAAGTTATTTTAAAATCCTACAATGCATGACAATGTTACAGTTTGGAAACTAATGTGTACCTACAAACTTTTTTTATGAGCATAAGTAACTTCAAACTATCAGTGTGACCCTGACCTGGGTGGAACATGGGTCTTACACACAACACATCATCTTGATGTGGTAGACATTTGTGCCAAGTAATTTTAAAATCCTTTGATGCATTATAAAGTTTTTGTCCGGACACACATGTGTGAACCTATAATCACTAATTTTGATAGCGTGAACCTTCAGAATATAAGTGTGACCTGGACCTTTGAAAGGGGGGGGGGGTGGTTCTTGGACGCAACACATTATTGTCATATAATATACATTTGTGCATAGTTATTTCAAAATCCCTCAATGCAGGACAAAGTTACAGTCTTGACATGATTGTTGTGTAAGTGGGGATGGACGGACGGTCAGATGGACATGAGTCTAAGCCCTGACACATCGTCTTGATGTTGTAGACATTTGTGCCAAGTTATTTTAAAATCCTTCCATGCATGACAAAGTTACAGTCCAGACATGAATGTGTATCTTCAAACTCTTCTAGAGTTCTAGAGAGAATGAGTACCTTCAAACTATAAAAGTGACCTTGACCTTGAAGGTAGGGACAGTGGTCTTGAACGCGACATGTCGCCTTAATGCGGTTGACATTCATGCATAATTATTTTAAAACTCTTCAATGCATGACAAAGTTACAGTCCGGACACGAATGTGTGCATCTATAAACTCTAATTAAGATAAAGTGAACTTCAAAATGGCAGTGTTACCTTGACCTTTGAGGTAGGTACATGAATTTTGGACGCGACACATCGTCTTCATATGGTAGACACTTATGCCAAGTTATTCTAAAATCCTTCGATGCATGACAAAGTTACAGTCAGGACACAAATGTGTGTACCTATAAACTCTTATTGTGATAAAGTGAAACTTCAAAATGTTAGTGGGACTTTGACCTTTGAGGGAGGGACGTGTTTCTTGGACGCGACGCATCGTCTTGATGTGGTTGACGTTTATGCCAAGTTATAGTAAAATCCTTTGATGCATGACAAAGTTACAGCCCGGACACGATTGCGTGTACCTATTAACTCTTATTGTAAAGTGAACTTCAAAATGGTAGTGTGACATTGACCTTTGAGGTAGGGGCATAACTCTTGGACGCGACACATCGTCTTGGTGTGGTAAACATTGATGCCTAGTTATTTTGAAATCCTTCGATGCATAACAAAGTTATAGGGCGGACACGAATGTGTGTACCTATTAACTGTATTTGTGATCATGTGAAACTTCAAAATGTGTCACCTTGACCTTCGAGATAGAGACGTGGTTCTTGGACGCGCCACATCGTCTTGATGTGGTAGACATTTGTGCCAAGCTTTTTCAAAATCCCTCTATGTATGACAAAGTAACAATCTAGACACGAATGAAGTGGGGACAGACAGACGGACAGACAGACGGACGATGCGATTTTAATATGCCTCCCTTTGTCTTCGGGGGCATAAAAATATGGAATTAAATATTGTTTTGAAAGATTATATGAAAATGGCCTTATCCGCGGCGCAACGGATACATATTTTAGCGCAACGGAGATTTTTTTATAAAGGACACGTCCTAAATTAAAACTTTGAAAATGGAATTGAATACAAATATTATATGTAGCATCATATTGAAAGTCTGTTAAATTTAATAAGAAAATTGTGAGAATAATTGTTAATTTTAATTACAGTCTTGCTAAAATAGACTTATTATCGACGCAAAGGCGACTATATCGTTCTGCGCAACGGAGTTTTTTTTTCTCATATAAATAACAAAGTGTGCTTTATAGAGTCCAGTTAGAGACAAAATCAAACGCAGTATCATAATGGAAGGAAAAGGACTAGTGACTTAGTGGTTTAAGTAAATATTATCCTCTCAACAAACGTAAGTTCTCGGCCATGCTTCCACAGTACCCGTTATTATCGGACATGAGAGTGTGGTTCTAATAAGTCAAATATGTAGAGTAACTGATAAGTTTCATAACCATATAAGGTAGGGAAATGGACTTTTTATGTTCAATAAAACCAAAGAAACAACATATTTATCAATTAAATATATTCAACATTATTTATGTCATAAAATGATATTATATTTACAGTACACTATAACTAATAATAATTAACATTTCAGGGAAGATGAGAAACTTATATATTGTTTGAAGTAAAATTTTGCTTTGCCAGAAAAAAGTATTAATAGGAAGAGGTTTTTGAGAAACTCAAATGTGGTGTTCGCACAAATTTGTATTCAACAGACACACTCGATCAATATACACGAAGGGAGAATACTAGTATTCGTATCCATGGTTTAATTCCTAAGCGGTGGCCTAGTGGTTAAGGTGTCTGCAACTCAACGCAGAGATCATGGGTTCGAGCCTTACTCGGGTCACGACCATGTTTTTTCATATAACACCAGTACTGGTTGGACTCGAAAGTGATTAATATAATTTGCAGGAACTTGTTACACAATCGAGCTTAAATAAATATGTTTAAACCAACCAATTTCCTGATAAAGGTGTTGATCTAGCTGGGCATGTTGTAGATATGCTAAATCGGTTGGCAGTTCTGCAAAGAAAGATCCAGGTGGTGGTAATGTGCCAAGATCCCTTACTGTCATCAGCCATGCTAATACCGAGTCAGTTGATGTGTCTGCTGAGTGGTTTCCTGGGAGTCCTACTTCGGATAGATCTAGTCCAGTAATGATGTCTCAGTCTAGTTCTTTTCAAGCTAATGAGATAATGACCAGTCTGTTGCTGGTGTTTGCACAGATAAAATGCTTTGCGTTGCAGATATAAGAAAATGCCACCCAATGGTAACCGCAAGTCATTTTGCGTTCCCTGCCGCGCTATAAATTGCATTCAGTTTTCAAGCTTTGAAACTTCATGAAGAAAACTGGCAAATTTAAGAATGTGTTTATTTCGGAGGACCTCACTCCCCTGAATGCTTCAAACGTCTCCAACTGTATATAAGAAAAGGAAACATTCACTGCACTTATGATAATCCAACAAAGTATGTCAAGGAGAACGGGGTTATTTCATTTCCAGACGACCTCTTTCATATCAATGTTGAGACCAATTACCTGACAGCTTTAATAAAATAAGGGGTGAGGAGAATGAGTTTATAGACTCTGCCAGGGGAGAGGTTGGAAATAATTGCAATGACACTTACACTGATTGTTCTTGTTCAAACTTTGAATTTGAAAATTGTTCTTCATGTTTTCATTGCTTTCAAGATAGTTATTCTTCTTATTCACTGCAGATAAATGCCAAATTATGTAATGCACACAGTTATAAATCTTGTTTGACAATTGAGGGTAGTTCGATCTTCATCTAGTTAATGTTTAAAAGATAATTTTATACACGACCGTGTTTATTGTACTCTTTTTTATACTTAAAATCAAAGCTGCTGTTATAAAGTTTGTGGATTAAGCACAAAATTGAGAAACCCTGACTCACAATAGTAGGTGTCAAGTGCCGTGTGGCAGCTGTAAAATGTTGCCCCGTACTTCACTTCAGTGTTGTTATAATTTTCTGGTTTTCGGGATCATTGATGCCAGCACTATTGAGTTTTGAGAATTGAGTACCGCTCAAGACGGCGCTATGGGACGTGAGGGATGTTGCACTTATTCATTATTCCTCATGTACAGACTCTTTCAAACCGAATCTGCAATTTTCATGTAATTTTGTTGTGATTAATGCTTCCGAGGGATCACTTTTTCCAGATTTTTGTACTTCACAACAGAAGGTGTCAAGTGCCGTATGTGTAAATGTATTTTTCTGGTCCTTCGGGATCATTGATGCCAGCACTATAAAGTGTTAAGAATTTAGTACGGCACAAGCCGGTGCTAGAGGGGGATGGGTGGGTGAGGGATGTTGCACTTATTCATTATTCCTCATGTACAGACTCAATCAAACCGAGTCTGCAATTTTCATGTAATTTTGATATGATTAAATCTCTGAGGGGATCACTTTGTTTCCAGATTTTCATCAGTTTTATTGAAGAGTATGACATTGTATGTGTCGCAGAAAAAAACTTTGATAATAATAATAATAATAATAATTGTTATAGTAATAATAATGATAATTAAAGACTTTATTTAACGAGAGAACTCATTTAAAAAAAACATATCAATCTTCCATGAGGCCCTCAACAAGGAACAATATAAATTTAACATATTCAAACTATTTAAATACATAAATGTAAATACATACAGGAGATTATCACTTTGTAATGCGAGTATGAACATCTGACGATAAAATGAAATTATTCAATAAATAGGAAGGCGCCTGATTATTCTGTATTGTAAACATCATATAATAGCTTTTTGAAAAAACAGCCTTCTGTGAAAAGGTCATCCAGCGGAGTTCAGAAAGAAAAAGTTCAGCAGAAGGAGTATCATAATCTTTGTCTGAAATTAGTCTTGCAACTCTCTTTTGGAACTTAATGAGTTTATCTTCTAGAAAAGACGTACAGTTACCGTAAATTATGCAACAATAGTCAAGATGTGGTAAAATATATGCATTGTAAAACATTTTACGTACAGGTATAGATATGAATAATTTTATACGAGATAATAAATGTAACAATGAGTTGTTTTTTTATGAACTTGATGTTAATGGTTACTCTTTTAAGGGTATAAACAGATCTGGTGCTAATCGCAAATCTGGGGGTGTTGGCATTTTTGTCAAAAATGTCTTAATGGATTCTATTTCCTTCTGAAAAAATTTCTTTGGTTTAAGTTCAAAAGGGATAATTGTATTTTTGGAATTGTGTATATTTCCCCTGATCTGTCACGTCATAGTTCGCTTGAAATTTTTGATACTTTAGAAAATTCTATTGTAGAAATTTTTTTTTTTGTATTGTTGGTAATTTAAATGCCAGAAGTGATGTTTTGTCTGATTTTGACAGATTTTTATCACGGATTTTGACAATTGCATTGTAAAAGACAACTTTAGTAATGTTATTACTGATGCATTAAATCGTAACAATTTACTTGACCTGGGTTTTCCAATTGATCGTTATTCAGTAGATAAGCAAACCAATAATATGGTAAACGACTTGTTGATATTTGTTGGAATGCATGCTTATATATTGCTAATGGTCGGTATGGAAAAGATATTTACATTGGTACAAACACATGCATATCTGGCAATGCTATTGATTTTGTTTTATTATCGGGTGTAAATTTTCCAAGAGTAAAACACTTTGATAGTCTGGCTTACGATATTCTGTATTCAGATTTATATCGCCCTACTGAATTTTGTGTTGACTCATCTAATTCTATTTTTCATGTATATCAAAGTTATAGATGAAGATATAGAAATAGCTGATGAGGATCAATGTGTGATACCTATCTGGGTCAAAGAAGAAGCGCCAAATTTTATGAAAGAATCTGACAATGATGTCTTAGATGATATTTTGTGCAACTATCTGACTTGTATATGTAATTAAAAATTATAGTGAAGTTATTGTTAATGACTTAACTGAAAAATGTTTAAGAATCATGTCAGATGCTGCTAAAAAATACGATTTTCTTAAGCGGAAACTGTCTAGTAAAAAAGGTAGGACAAGTAATGTGTATGTTAATAATAGCAAACCCTGGTTTGATTAGTCTTGTAGAATGTATCGCAAACAGTATTTTCGTGCAAAGGGTAAATATAGAAGGTTTCGCTCTTTTACAAACTATTAAACTTTGATAACAAATAGTAACAAATAGTAAACGTTACAAAAAAGTCAATGATAAGTTTAGGCCATTTCATTTTTTTTTTTTTTTTTTTTTTTTTTTTTTTTTTGAGCTCGTTGAATATAAATTTATACAACTGTTTCAATAAATTCAGTATCGAACTTACAGTCATTCAGTATTCTCTATTTAAGTAAATATAGAAGATTTTGATTATAAAAAAATCCCGGACATGAATGTTTAAAATACAACGTAGGAGGGATGTGAAGATTGATAAATTTAGAAAAGAATCAAAAACAGAATATTTTTGACATTTATTGAAAACAAAAAATCAGAGAGAGAAAACTTGATATTTACAATTGTTAATAATAAATATTTTACTGTGACATGCATACATGTAATTTATTTTCATCGCTGGGTAATTGCCAATGAAACACGAAACACAAAATTCAAAGGAAATTTGCAAATATTATATAGCATATTTGATCATGCAAAATTTAACAAATAAGTTATTGGTCTTAGCTTATATCATCATCATCATCATCATCATCATCATCATCTAGAGACTTTGAACAAAGTTTTTTTAATAATATTTTTTAAAGAAATATTTTTGTTCAAAAGATTTTTTTAGATTTAAAAAGAAATGCAAATTCCTATCATCTGCATACAGTTAAATACAGTCAATAACGTAGCAAAATCTCAAACAAATAAATAAAAAGGCTACTAACTAAACAAAACAGGTTTCATATCATAAATGAAATTTCAATGTGCAATAAATAAATATACAGATACCGGATAATGTTAATTTCTCATATGTAATTTCTCATATGTGAGACCCTATAGATAAATTAATATTTCATAGTGCTTTTATTCAAATTTTATTGAAAAACATATCAAAGTTTCTGGGCGTTGCTAATGATGATTTGATATACTGCACACCAAATGACCCTATTCAAAACGAATTCAATTGAAACACTTTGCAGCTGCACCCCACCCAAAAGAATGAAGAGATTTTATAATTCTATTAAAGAGAAAGACAAACATATTGATAGCTTAATGTATTCATGTTAAAAATATTAACCGTGTATATAACTATTCCATGTTGCATGCAAAATATAACAGAATACTATATTAATAATTACTGCAGGGGGTGTTATTTTTAGTATATTTTAACATATTTTAAGGTATTAGATGTATAATAAACACCTTTTCAAAAGGCATTTAAAACTTTATGTTAATAAACTGTACTATATTGTGGACATAAATACAAAACATTACAAAAGTTTAACATCTTGTTGGAAGAAATATTGACAATTGTAGTATAACTTTAATATCAGTTTTATACAACAACAAAGAAAATGGTTTCATTATCTGAAAAAAAGTTTAGCTTGTTTCATATTTTTCTTAGTTGTAAAGTTCTAATAAAGAGCCATAGTTTTTTAATAACTACAAATAAAATCAAGGACAAATGTCTATGAAAAGTTGGGTTTTTTTTTGGTTTATTGATACAGGTACTTGTTATTTTACATCAAATAAGAAGAGAGTGGGGTAAGAAAACCTGTTAGATTTTGCCATATAAAATAGGGGTATAAATATTATTTAGTTATAATTATCTTGATACATATCTAAACATTTGTGAAAAATATAAAAAAAAAAGTTTACCATGCCAATTTAAAATTGTAATCATTTTAAGTTGTTACCCTTTCAAATTCCACACAATTCACAGTAAAAAAGATATGCATTAAACTTTAATTTTTTCTTAATTTCAGATTTTATATTAAAAAAAATATGAAAAAATTAAAATCTGGCCAAACAAAACAAAAGAAAAAAAGAGAGAAAAAACTGCCTCTTCTGTGGTTTGAACCCACGCTCTATGTGTCCTCACTGAAAATGAATACTCCTCAGAAATAGGCATCCAAAACCCTAAGTAATTGAAAGAGCATCAAAACACCAGGTTTTCTGATTGATACGAGGGGGTATTGCACCGAGTAGAAATCAAATAGCCAAGTGTTTTGGAATTCATTCTGTTGTCTGTCACAACGGGTTCCCTGCCGTCATAATATGTAAAAAAAATATAGCCAGTACATACATTGGTTATAAAACTTCGGTATATTCGTACCCGGCCTTTTTTATACCCTAACATACGTTGAATAATGTATCCTTTAATAAGCAGGGGGGGGGGGGGGGGCATTTATTTTCTATCCTAAGTTTCTCCCTTAAATATAAAAAAAACTGCCTCATCTGTTTTCATCAATTGAACGTAACAGGTAAATCTCAATGGGTAATTACAGAATTTCCGTGAGCCTCGTGAGTTATTTATCGTTCCTCCTAGGAAAATCATATAATTGAAAGAAATCATAACTTCTTTGGCTTTAACCTATTCACTCGTCATGATGTCAATTCTCAAACTGAATAAAGTTCATTTCAATTTTTAATTTCTACTTTTTCACTGTCTGGAGTGCAGGTATCTAAAATCTGAAGGCGAGCTGTTTTAATGAACAAGCATATCCACGGTGTTATAGTTAATAAGAATAAAATATTTACAACATAATTTTTAAATTCATCATAAGTATTTTTTCAATTATCAAATTTAAAAAAAGATTGAAAAGGAGAAACAATTTCATTATTGCTATTCAATCTATTTCGTCATTTCTTAATTATTATACAATGTATCTGTTATATACATTTAAGAATCTATATTAAACGATGTAGCTGAATCCATGAACTGAAAACACAAATGAAAAAAGAATAGGCAAAAAAAATCGATGACAATTGTCATAAGATGCATAAGCTAAAATACATGTCGCTAGAACTTGTTATCCAACCCAGTTGCTTTTTGTTATATACTTATCATTTGTATACTTTACATGTATGTTCCGCAATAAAATATGTTTAAACAAGCCAAAGTAAAAAAGATAACAAAAACAAATGAACAAATGTTTGGTCTTTTTACATCATTGGCTTAAATTTCACATAAATACATGAAACGAAGTTTACAAATTACATTAAATAAACAAGCATACATATGTTAGGGGTAATGTTACCATTGCATGTTGATTTAATTCAGCTTAAGTTATATATGACATTAATCTTATTGAATTATTGTATATTGGATTTATACACGATGAAAGACATATTAACATGAACCAATATTAAATAATGAGATCAAAATTATATGAGTTTTTATACATTAATTCAAAAACATGAACGAAACACGCAGTTACTATAATAAATGCAGAAGCTTAAAGTTACTTTACACTTTTAACCATACAAGGAGCTCCACCGGGGTCCTTAGTCTTAAAATATTAAATTTGAAATTCTCAAATAGATCATCTGGGACTCTAAAACGTAAAAAACATGTATAAAAGATAATAAAGAAATTTAATCAGAATAAGTTTTCAAACATTTTTGTGCGATTTTTATCCCAATTTGACATTAAAAACGTTTAAATGATTTCCATTTTGGGGCCATTTTGCAAAATTAAAATGATTTTTCTGGGGAAAAAGCAGACTCAGCGAATGACTTGACAGTTTTCACATCGAGATCTCAGTTAAATGGCACAATAAAATTTCGAAAATATTAACAGCGTCGTCATGTCGAAAAACAAAAATTATTCCTGTTATTAAAATGTTATTTTCGTTGTAGGCGCAAAGTAAATAAATACTTATTTTCATATTTTTTCATACTTATACATAATTGACTAGATAAAAGTGGGCTAAAACAATATTTCAGTTATTTTTTAGCATTTTGTATAGATTTTTCTTAGGTGTTGCAAATTTACAAATATTGTCTACCAATTTAATTTAATGATAACTTCACGGAAGTTGTTGATCTTTGTCAACAGCTGTTACTCCAGTGTTTAAATAGTCTGAATAGCTTGTGTAAATACTTTTTCTTTTTCACATACTATGACAGTCATGACTGTGAATATGTTACATAATTCCAGAAATGTTACAAGGCAAACCTTCTTTTCCCATGCGAAAAATGATATAAAACACATTTTTTGTAAATGTTGTTTTTCTTTAGCATGAACACCATTGCTTCTTTGGTTTTTGCTGTTTTGACAAAATAACTCTGTTTGGTTGCTGCATATTTGGTGTAGAATCTTTTGTGAGGTTTTCTAGAATCGAATCAGCTAGTTTCTCAAACACTTCAGTCACATTTTTGTTTTCTTCTGCACTTACTTCCATATAAGGTAATCCGACACTTTCCGCGAATTTCACAGCACGTTCATGTGATACCTCGCGCTCTTCTGGCGTCACGTGACACTTTGTGCCAACAATGACTGTAGAGATTTCGGGATGCGTGGAGTACTCCTTCAGATCATGAAGCCTGTGTATAAATAAGAAAAAAATATTACATTTAAATTTATAAACAAAGAATTAAAAAAAAATTGTTCACCGCAATATCGACTTTACAACAATATAATAAATTTATATTTTTTTCTCATTTATAATAGGGAACGAATTTGAATTTATGATTAGTGTTTCATCAATTACGGGAATACATGAATATTGTACCTACCAGTAAGTGAGATTATTGAACGTGCTTTCCTTCGTGACGTCAAACAGCACGAGACACCCGTGCGCTCCTCTGTAGTAGGACGCTGTTAAGCTGCGAAATTTTTCTTGGCCTGAAAATAAATCATAAACCATTTGAAATTTATTTTATTTGCTTTTATTCTATTATCTTTTATCTTTGAGAGTTAGCGGGGCTTTTTATGGGGGAATGGGGTTTGTTTTGAGAAAGTACTTCAATCTGTTAAAACTAGCAAATTGCGTCATAAAGCTTTTACGAATCTCTCTAAAATTAATTTTATTTTGTGTAAACAAGATAAATCTTCAATTTGAATATCTAGTTGTAAAATAAAGTTTTATGGCCGGTCAGAATGCATATGTAAATAAAGATTTGTAAGTTTAGTATATCAACTTGATTATCTTAAATTGACTGTTTCTACTTTTAATCTCGGATCGGTCCATTTTCAAATTAAGGGTATATCAAGATTAAGATTGGAAACTGGTCATCCTTCAGTATAGAGCCTGTACTTTTTTTATACTGGCCACAAAAGCTAATCAGCAGGATAAATGTTACATTTTCTGAGTATTCCCAATGTTGTCTGGTTTTCTTAGCTTTCACAATATCGTATTTTTAAGAACTAATATCTTAAGTCAAATGTATAATTTTATATTTCAACTTAATATTTAATTTGAACAGCTTTAACGAACATCTCTATAACGAAACCGCTATAACGAACATCTCTATAACGAAGATCGCTATAACGAACAACTCTATAACGAAGGCCGCTATAACGAAGACCCTATATAACGATAGACAGCTATAACCGAGAACATTTACTTAACGAGGTACGGTATAATGAGAACCGCGCTATAACGATGACCGCTATAACGAGGACACATGCACTGAAGATTTCAAAAAAAGAGTAATGAATTTTGAAACATGACATATACACCTTAAAATAATTTGTAGCTCTGTCATAAAAGCCGATTAAGAAATAGATATAGACCATAGATTTATGAAAACATACGTAATATTAAGTGATCGTTGCAGTTTATGTTTAAATGAAAAAAGATTAATCACATTTTTAACGTTAAGATGATAACTTATGTTTAGATTAAGTTTTTTTACCAGCCGTGTCATATAGGCGAATTAAGACTTTCTTTTCCGCTACATGAATGATACTGTCAATATATTCCATTGTATTAATATTTAATCCTGTCGGTCTTTTAAGATAACTCGTTTTACTTGCAATACAACTGAATTTAAAAGCTAGAGTTGTCTTTCCTGAATTACAGTCGCCTAACAGCACAGTTTTAAAATAATAATCTGGAGGCAGCTCATAGTCTTGGTCCCTATTTTGAGCTTTCCGTTTAAATAAAGATGTAAACATCTTCTTCATCCAAGGTTTATTCATGCCATTCGTGTTACTGTCCGAAGAACTTTGATCATTATGTGTGGTACTAGAAGAACTGCATGTCCTATTACGGCCCATCCTGATACCGCTGCCTATCCTGTCGTTGTCGCTTTCAGAATAAGATTTCCGGCGTATTAAAACCATAATTTCACTTACAATCCACCAGAAAAAAATTTGAATTATAAAATATAAGAGCACACGTTTTCACAACATGAAATAAAAGGTTTTTTTCTAATTACATGGCTTTAAACAAGTTTTATATCTCCTCCATGTCAAATAGCGTCAGTCAAATTACTTTCATTATTCAAAATATGTCCCAACTCACACGGCTTCAAAGTCTTATATTTGTTAATATGTGTATATTGACAATTTCATATAAACAAAACCCGAATACATCAAGTTGTTACAATGAGATTATAGAACAATAAATTCAACAAATTGACTGGGGTTTACAAATTACACTACAGTTTACTCCGACACCCAAACTTTTATAACTCTTTGTTTGATAATTTCACGTTTCGGTCAATGTGATCTTTCTAACAAATCGATGATGTTTGACCACTGCTGATAACGGATGAATATGTATTAGTCACCCGTATGAGAGCGTGAATCCCGACTTGACCGAAACGATAAATCAGTCTCAACCGATATTGTGTTGATTCTTTGATAAAATACTCTAAGTTATAAAAATTGTGACACAATCAAACAATTAAAAGTTGACATGGTTTTCATATTAGATCTATATCCAAATTTACGAACAATCACTTAATGAATGAGTGATGTTAATTAATATCATCAATGTCAACACGATATAATGCACGCGCCTTAGAAATGAACTCAGAAAGTTGTATCGAATTTATAAAACTAGGCTTTCTTTAATTCGATTTTCATTGGATGATAATCTATACTTCACGGCTGCTGAATATTTACGACGTAAGTTTTTAATTTTCCTCAAATAAAGATATTATGCTATATAATGCTTTCGTTATAAAGATTTTTGACACGGTATATGTCCGTGTATAAACGGTTGTTTGCTGAATGTGCCACCGATTAAACGCCAGTAAACAACGTACGCTAGTGACGTCGATAAGCGAAACAGCGTTAGTTACGCAAAGCTTATGTCAAAAATCTATAAGGAACGCTGAGTTATAAATGATTTCAGATCGAAACATCAGAGAGATACAGTACGTTACTCATTTTTAGCTACATTTTATTTTCTATTTCATAATGACTTACAACAGTCGTCCTTCTTTCCGATGTTTATATTCTGATAAGATACCTTAAATTATTGAACTCACAATTGTTCTCCAGATAACCTCGTGTGTGTAATTTGACCCTTTTGTATCTTATCCTAAAGGTTATCTTACAATATCACCTGTTATCTGTTATCTCACCTGTTGTCTCCAAATCAAACACTTGTCTCATCAACGCCTTAGATATATATAAGCCGCGCCATGACAAAACCAATATAATGGGTTTGCGACCAGCATGGATCCAGGCCAAAATTGTAAAATGAAAAGTTGTTTCCCTTTCAAAAATTATTTCATTTTGTGGCTATGTCTATTTGCTATATACAAACTAAGTGAAACATGATTTTAATATTTTTCTAAGTTATTAAAATCTAAATGTGTGCAGAAAACACTTTAAACCGACCGAGAGATCATCAAAGAAAAACTAGAGAGAATAGATATAAACTTTCGTATATTTTCAATAATTTCCCAAATAGTTGTTTGAGTTTAGTGGTCTTATTTCAAAAAAGTTTCTTCACTGTTAATTTATCCCATTAATGAGATCATAATGCTTTTAGAATTCTTTAATTTATTCTAACAAAAATGAGTCTTCAATGTATGCATTTTGCCGTACGCAAGACGCGCATGCGCGAACTATTTTCCTCGTTGCTATGGTTCGATCTATATAAAAAGATATTTAATGCATGTTTTGTAAGGTCTACTTCTCGATTGTACATCACTAACTTTTAGCAGTTAACCGCTTAGGCGGCTATAATTCTCGTCTGCCGAACCGCTGACGCCATCCAGATGAAAATTATATGAGCCGTGTCACGACAAAACCAACATAGTGCATTTGCGACCAGCATGGATCCAGACCAGCCTGCGCACCTCGCAGTCTGATCAGGATCCATGCTGTTCGCTATCGGTTCTGTACTTGTTATAGAGTTGGTAAGCGAACAGCATGGATCCTGTTCAGATTGCGCGGATGCGCAGGCTGGTCTGGATCCATGCAAGTGGCAAACGCACTATGTTGGTTTTGTCGTGACGTGGCTCATATTACAAACTTATATAAGTAAATAAAGAACACATACATGTGTCATCATACGACAGTATATGTAAACCAAGCCAGTTTTCTATCCGTACAAAAGGATTAATTTCCTTAAAAAAATTTACTTGCGTGATTTTAGTGAAATATGATATTGCTTTTTATTCACTTAAAATTTAAAAAGGAACAAGCATATAGATTACAATACATTTTATACGGACTAATGTCCTCATTTTCTTTGTTAATTTAACAGCGATGCGTTTTTTTACTCGAATTCTATAAGTGCAATAACTATAGCTATGAAACAAGACACAACCTAGGGTGATACGGTTACTGCTGTATCATCCTTACACAAATGCGATAACCAGCAGTATATTACCGAACCTGCCACATATTGCACAGTGGCCTTGATCAGTACAAACAGTATTTTTACAATAATTTTGAAATTTATCATTACAGGGAAGTAAAATCTTGTCACTCCCGCAGAAACGTCTTTTGTTTGTGAATTTTTGAAAAGTTTACAGTTGTATTGGACAATTTAAATTGTAAACAAGGTGTGTCAAACTTCGTTCATCTCAAATGCATTGGGCAGCAGAGCCTTCCGCATGCTGACATAGTCCGTGTTTTTTGATGAAAATGTTGGTTTAAATGAAAACATTGCACTGACGGAAATTTAAATTACTTTTGCAAAACCATATTTTTTCGGTAAAAACATTGATAAGAAATACCATTTGTAAATCAATAAAACAGTTGCGAAGTGTTTGCAGCGTTTACTTTTCCATTCGTTTAACTTATGTTGAGCAGTTGAAACTCCATGTCAATAATTGATATTTAATAACCACGACACGTGCTTTAGTTATTTTCTCAACGTTATTTTGTTTCATTTATTATTTACACGTACGTCGCATGGTTTAATACATGTTTGTTTTTTATAAACCTTATCATGCCTGAGGTATATAATTTATTATGTACTTTCACAAAAACTTTTTATGTTCTATTTATACAATTTGTTGAATGTGAACGATTCAATTTCCAGTATCTAAAAAAAGGCCATTCTCATAATATTTAAAACATTTTCATATTTATCTGATTTCTGTATACAAATAATACAAGCACGCTACCCGTATATAAATAGAATGATAATGTTTTCTTAATACATGCAATATATCTTTTCATACACAAAATAACGAGACTTCATACGCGACTTTGACAAAAAGGAACTGTTTTTCTTTTTGTTTTAAATATCTCTTAGATTTTATTTAAGATAACAGATTTTTCTTTGTTGTCCAAAACTTAAATTTAACAATTTAGTTGCGACTGATTTAATAATAGAAAATATTTAGATGTAATAAAAAAATTCTCATAGACGAATAGTTTCTCGATTTAGGTTATCGACAAAATATTAATTCAAAGATCCAATATAACCTATAAAAATGATCGTAATTGTAAACTGTGTAACAGTCATATGGATGATGAATATCACCGTTTACTTCGCTGTTTATTTTCAAGAAAATAACGTCAATTATTTCTTATCTACTTTGAAAAGGTTTTATTTTCTGTTGTCTACAGTAGCAAAAATGCCAGAACTATTAGAAATGTTGCTAATTTTATTAAATGTGCTATGAAATTTTGAACAAAAGTGATAACAGTGAGTGATACAGACATGATTAAATACAAAACTAACAGTATTTCAGTATTCATTGAAAAATATCTAAGAAACTTTGTCTTTTATCTAATGCGTAGAACAGGTAGAACAGGTACATTGCAGTGTTTCTAATTTCATTTTTGTTAGACATTAATGAATAAAATTTAACAAGTGTTGGTAGTATAGTGTCACTTGTTTAAATAGTATAAAAACATATTGAACATTTCATATTTTTGTATTCTTGTATATAATATTTTTGTAGATCTATATCATGCTGATTTTCCCAAATACACTTGTAAACTTGACTTTGTTTTATATAACATGTCAATAAGGATTCTTTAACTACTTAAACATACACGCTTTCATGCTACTCCTAATTTAGCTTTGCATAAAATATTTAAGTTACAAAGCACTTACCTCCTGTATCTACTAAATTTATTCGAACATTTTTTCCACGGACAGTTAGGTTCAATTTCAAAGTAAGTGGAGAGGCATAACCTAAAGGTTCAATTTTCTCTGGATGCAAATTGTGAGGTCTTTTAATTCCTCCCAGTCGGCACAAGACTGATGTTTTCCCGACCGAATAATCACCCAGCATCACTACGTTTATGACACAAGTAGATGACATTGTAAGTTTTGATTCCAGACTCGGCTCGCTTCCCTTGATACAACAACGAAATTTTCCCATTTCAACTATAACTGGTTAACATTTCTTTTGTGATATTTGAAAATCAACTTCATCCGGTTTTACATTTAAAGTCAACACAAAGTCTTTCCCTATTGAGATTACTTTAAACTTAGTTTGTTATTCGAGTTATAATAGATATTTCGTCGTCGTCGAAGAATAAACGCACATTAATTACATATTGATGAAAATAAGTGTCTATTTATCTATCATGTAATTTGAATACTTGTTCAGCAGCAAGTTACAATTAGTCCGGCAGATATGTTTACAGATGTTTATATACACTTCGTCACTTTAAATCTAATTTTGATTCGCCACCCTAATAAATTTTCCACTTTTATTTTTAATTTATAAGATAACGTTCTTTTCTGCCATAAATATACACCATTAAACAATACATCCAAAATAATATAGCGATTGAGTAATACTTTATTTTAACTTTATTTTGAAACAAGTATTTGTTTACCTGTATATATATATATATTTGTTAATGTTTATATTTTCTGACGAATATAAAATAAACACTGGTTACGTTTACCGCGCTAAAATGTTTACATTATTCATTGCTGAAAATAATGTCGCTAAAATTTTAACATATTTCATGTCAAACGTAATAGTAAAAATATTAACATATTCATGCTAAAAATATTATCATATTCCTTGCAAAACGCAATGTCGATAAAACAATTAAATGTTATGATTTTGTCATATGTAATGGTTTTAAATGTACGGAAAGAATTCCTTGTTAAACGTAATGTCGCCAAACTATTTACATATTCCTTACAATACGAAATGTCGCTAAAGTATTAACATATTAGCATTCATTGCCAAACTTAAGGTTAAAATGTAACCATATTCCTTGCAATACGTAGTTGACTAAATGTTAACATATAATTATGTATCGACTATTAATTGCACTAAAATCATAACATCTGTATTGCTTATATATGTTTATAACTAAAGGTATCATAACAATCACTGCAACAGGCTATGGTCCTTAACCCATTAC